TCAAKCAATCAATCAATCAATTAATCATTCATTCAATAACATACACATATCAGACCGTCCAACACTCCAACTCCAACTACAGCTCCAAACCCGATCATCTTCCCTCCACCTGATCAAAGACCATCGACATTGATGTCGCAGCAGACTCCTCCATCCTCCCCTCCCAGCCCAAGTTCGCCGGCGCCATCATCGACGTCCAACAAGCCCAACAATGGTGGTGGCGGCGGCGGCACCGGCGGCGAAGAGTCTGATGAGGAAATGGGCAATAAGTCAGCTGCGACAGAGACTGATATGCCCGACCAGGCGGCCGCTCAGAATAATAATGCGCCACCGCCGACGACAAAACAGCAACTGCCACATCATTTACACCAACAACAACATCAACAACAACAAACACAGCTTAGCGTAACAACGCCAATCAGCAGCTCGACGTCCACATCTACATCAAACCTGTCACCTCCGTCCTCTCCCCTGCCACCTCCTCATAATCCTCTCCACACATCCTCTTCCTCCTCCCAGCAACCAGCAATATCACCAACGTCCATAATTACCAACAGTTTGGAATCATCATCGCTCCAAACACTGCCGCACCATAATCAGCCATCGTCATCGCCGTCGCCAACCCTACTGACGTCGATGAAGCCATCCCCCTCCCCACTCTCCACTTCAACATCCATTCCGAGTCCAGGTGCGCTGTCGCTCTCCTCCTCCACCTCATCCACCCTGTCCATGGCCATGGCCATGTCGACGTCGACCACATCCACATCCACCACCAGTACCTCCACAACCTCCACCTCCACCTCCAATACCAACACCAACATCAACATCAACACTACGACTGCCGCCAAGCGAAAGATGATCGACAGCGAGCAGTCCGAATGCATTGACCTGGATTCCATCCTCAACATGATGCAACGTACCATTGACGACAATGGTGACGGCCACATCAGGTTTCCAAGGGATCAATACTATCATTTCATTTGTATATACAGAGGTATGATTCCTGTGTGTCCCTTCTGGTCTGGAATTATTCCATACTCACACCATCCCTCCCTTCGATCAATCACTCAACAAACATAGGATGCCTACATCCCATTCGATCAAACAAACTGGAAAAGTACATTGTCCATCTGAAGGTACATGAGGCACAGGGCCATCAGCTGATGGAGGACTTGCTGTTTGTGGACGGCAACTCGCGCTTTGATAAAGAGAAGGATGTCGATGAGCAGATACTACAGAACTCAAAGGCCTACGGGAAGGAGTCACTGGTGCGCTTTCAATCACTGTTCATCCACTACCAAAACGAAACACCGCCCACCAAGGAAATGCTGGCTGCATCGTCCAAGCGCCAGCGGCGGCCAGACATCAATGAGACGACGCCAGAGCCACGTACCGAGGACGACGAGTCTGAGACTGGCAGCTCCGCCATGATGATCGAGTCATCGTCGGGCGGTAAGCGCGCGGCGGGCTCGTCCACCACCACGACACACACCTCCAGCCACAACTCGTCGCCGCCAACCCATGGAGGCGACGCCGACGACACCGAACAGCACTACGCCATCCCCACGCGCTACTCCTCTCGAGGCGTCCAGCTGCGCGAGCAGATGATCAAGTACGGACTGAAGCTGTTCCGCATGGACGCTGAGGGCAAGTACATCTGCTTCTTCCAGGGCTGCAGCCTGCACATGATCACCAACTTCTCGCGCCACGTCGCCAAGCACGAGAAGGTGGGCGATGTCATCAAACCTGAACTATTCCACCTGAGCAACCTGTACCAGCAGCAGCACCACTCGCCACATTTCCAGCACTACCAACAACAACAGCAACAGCAGCATCGCACGTCCTCGGCCAAACACCTGATCGCGCCCATGCCGACCCAGCCCATCCCGCTCCAGCAGACGCCATTCGCGGGCATGTATGGCGGTCCGGGCAGCTCGAGCCCCACACACCCCTCGCCCTCACACAAGAAACTCAACACGTCGGGCAATAACATTGGCAAGCTGGCAATAGACGACGCGCCGCGCATAGGTGGCAGCAGCAGCAATATTTATTCGCCGTCGGCTTTCAACATGCGCCCCACGCCACCGCCCGGCAGTCTGGCGCACTCACACCCCCTCTCATCCAACAACAAGTTTACAAGCTATGGAAATAGCATTAGTTTAATCAACAGCAGTAGCAACAACAACTCGATTAACAGCAGCAGCACCGGCAGCTACCCCCCGCCTCCCTCACCCTACCACCACCAACATCAACAATATGTTGTCTCCTCTGCGTCCAACACCCCGACTGGCGCGCCGTCCAAGCTGTCGCCGTCGCTCTCGCCGCCATCAGGCGCGCCACCCACCCCAACCCTACCATTCATACATCAACAACAACAAGTTGTTGTGGTCCCTGGCGCTAGCGCTGGCGGAAATGTATATCATGGCGGCGGACATCTTCCAAAGAGTCCTGTGCCAACCTCGCAACTCACAAGTCATCATCATCAACAACAACAATTACACCTTACGCCACCGCACCTAACATCGTCGGCCATGCCCATACCGAGTAGCATGCCGTCACATGCGCACTCCCATCCACCACTACACGCACCATCAAATCACCTTCAGCATCATCTCTATCCATCACAATCACAATCATCACCATCACATCCACAAGCAGCACCACCAACTCAGCAATATCCTCCTCCAACTCATCCTCCACAATATCCACAACCACAACCACAACAACAACAACAACATCCTCATCCATCACGTTCTAGCTCATTGGATGAGTCTGAGATCAACTGGGTCTTCAAGAAGAAACAGCCAAAGTGACCTGGCGTCCAAACCTTGGCAACGGCAACCAATACGCGGCCTCGTCGTAGCTCCAAGTCATCAGCCAACATCAATAAACACCCCCACTCTCCCTCATTGTATATATATACAACCAAACATACATACCCTTCATAATCTTTGGAACTATCCCTTGGTAGAATTCGGTCATTCATTCTATAAAGGCCCGGGCATTATTTTTGATCATTCTGGAAATGATCATGTGTGATGGGACTGGAACGAATTTCAAAAATTTGAAGTCGAGTGCAATGTGAGAGGAAGAGGGAATGGGGATTCGCATGAATGAATGAATGAGTGAGAGTGTTCAAAGCAATCAATCAAAGCGCATTATACAGACAGAGAACAAACATGAACAGACTGGTTGGGTTGACTATCAGACACTCAACACAGTCAGCAGTGTTGAGACGTCAATCAACGTTGTCAATCAACAGCAACATCACCAGTGCACTGTTCCTCAGACACTTCACAACTGATGGCTCATCATCATCATCGTCATCAAACAACAACAACAACAATAACAAGAGCAGCAATGTCAATCAACAACAGCAACAACAAAAACAACAACAGAAAGGACATCCAAAGGATTTGTTGCAATCAAGACAACAGAGACCTCAGAGTATGCAGGCGAGACAGCAGAGACATGGATCAAATCCATTCGTCAAATCACAACATATTCAGTCGCAGCCAACTGGACTCTACACAAACAGTGGCACGTATAATGCGAGTTCACAGGGTGGCGGCGCGCAGCACAACGAGGACGATGACGACGACCGCGAGCTGAGCGAGCAGGAGCGACAGGAGCAGGATCGCCAGATCGACCTGCAGCTGCAGCACGACCTCGCGCAGCTCGAGCACGAGCTGGTCATCGACGACAATGAGCTGCCACGTGACAGCGATGAATTCAGCCGCGACGAGTTCAGGCGTCTGGCCAACCAGCTGCGTCTGTCCGAGAAGATCCAGGTGGAGAACGAGCGCATTGCACTGGTCAAGCAACGTGAGAAGGCTTTGCTTGGCACACAACAGGATACGCCACAGACGAGGAGATCCCTGCTCAACTTGGAGAGCATGGTGCCAGAGTCGCTCCTAAAGGAGATGGAGGCGGAGGACCCCGAGTCCAAGGACGCGCCCCTCGCTCTCGACGACGAAGAGGGAAATGAGGACGATGTTCCCAACGAGGACGTCGAGTTCTTCGAGTCGGAGCCCATTCTCTACCAGACAACCGAGCAAGGCTCGCTTGAGATGCGCCGCCGCCGACAAGAGCGCCCACTCCAGCTCAATGCGATCAAACCCATGACCAAGCAGCTGCCCTACAGCCACGCCACCAGCGACATTGAAAGCGCGCTGCGCATGCACTTTAGAAAGTTCTTGCACAACGTCAACCCCAAGCGCTTCAGCAACGAGGCCAAGGCCAGCACCAACCGCCAGTCACTCTGGAAGCTTGCACGTCTGCTCAACAACCGCGACGACTACGTGGCGTTGGTCAATGGCACTTCGCTCAGCACCAAGTTGGAGCGCGTCCCACTGACGACCGCCTTCACATTCCACTACGAGACCGAGCAGGGTGCCGAGGGCCTCTTGACTCATCAGTTTGTCTTTGAGGAGTCGCCCGCCGAGATCGCCACGTCCAAGTCGGCGCTGATCAGCTACACTGCGCGCTTCCGTCTGGCGCTTGACCGCCAGCTTTACGAGCTCGTCAAGAAGTCCGGCATTGCCGTGACTGCCAAGGAGCTCAAGGACCTTCAGAACCCAGAGGCTACAATGGGCGCACAACTATATGAGGACCCATGGGAGTCCTACTTTGACAGCCAGGGTCGCGATCAGAGAGAGCTGGCCATGATGGAGCACAAGTCGAGCATCACGTCGATGGTCGAGGAGTTGGTGCGTCCCGCATCAAAGACACAGGAGAAGACATTGGATGATATTCTGTTCGAGGGCATCGAGCAGGAGCACGACATTGACGATATAATCGATGAGGACGGCACCGTTGTGGACAATCAGCACGACGTCGAAGAGGCGGCCACCAAAGCCGCCGAGGAGAACAGCCAGAATGAGTTGCAGTCGATGTTCAACGAGGACAAGCTATACTTCTACTTTGGCAAGAACGCAAAGGGCGACATCAGCGAGATGCACGCACGTGGCCTTGGCGAGCTGACAAACAAACAGATCGAGCATCTGCGCAGCAACCTCAAGGTGCTCGAGTACAACGAGTGGTATCAGCTGCCCATCCTCATCACCAAGCCACAGTTCTTGGAGAAGATGCAGGAGGCCACCTCTCAGCAAGGCTTTGTCGTGTTGGCCACCGACTTTGACCCATACACCACCCTGCCCTACATCAAGCAACAGGTGCCCAGACTGTCCAAGACATTCAGAGACCTCTACACCACAGCCAAGACCAACCTGTCCATCCTTGACAAGACCTTGTCCATTGTTGAGAAGTAAGATCAATCACTGGAATCCATTCCATTCAATCAATCAATCGAATTATCACACTAACCCTCGCCCTCCATCAACATCAACAGGACACTTGGAGCAAACAGCTTGATCATTGAGGATATGTTCTACGTCAATCAACCATCAATGAGAGCAGCAAGAGAGAAGTTGTCAAAGACCAACACAACAGTGTCCAAGATGACAGTGCCCATTCTGCGAGTGTTCGAGACTGAGCGCGCCAACAAGTGGCTGTCGCTGCCAGACTCGCGTGTGGACGACATTGACTTTATGAAGTGGCAGTTGCACAACATCAAGCTCGACGGCATTGCCAAGACCCAACTGGCCGAGAGTATCATCAAGCAGGAGTATCACTACCTGACGGCTGAAGAGCTGGCCATGGCCGTCGAGGGCCTGCTCCAAACAGTGTCCAACAAGAACGTTGTGTCAGATGTGCGCGAGACTCCGCTGACAATCATCGATAACAACCAGGTGGAGTACATTCAGACAGCACCCAAGGTCAACGCCGCAATGAAGGCCGCCAACAGACTGCTGGAGATGCTCACGACCGAGCAGCAGGTGCCTCTGGTGTTCCCCAAGAACAAGGTCGAGATGAACACGACTGAGAACAAGGTGAACCAAGAGGAGGAGCAGATGGAGAACATGAGTGATATCGGCGTCTTTGACTCGCCCAAGCAGACAGTCGAGTACCTCACACACAGAGAGTCGCTGGCGCCCGTCCAGGCCGACCTGAACGCCCAGTCACGCGCCAAGCTCGTGTCTAACTTTGCCGCACCCACCTTTGGCACTGGCGCCGAGACCAACGTCAACGACGCAACAAATGTCGACGCAGCCTCCGAGTCTACACAGGATGCGCTCGACGCAGCAGAGAAGCCAGACACCGAGACCGTCAACGCACGCCAGAAGCTCACAGACTTCCCCTGGTCCAACATCCACGTGGTCATCTCGGACCACTACAACTTCATCATGTCGCATGACCTCGAGGTGGCGTTTGTGTTCATCCCAATGAACTTTACCGAGCGCGACCTGGTGCTGTTCCTCAACTCGCACTACGACAAGATGATGCTGCTGCACAACAGATACTACCAGTCGGTGATGCAGCCCACGCAGAACCTGCTGCAGCTCAAGGCCATCGAGACGGTGATCAACTCGATCGTCGAGAAGTCGGCGCTGGCGTCGGTGCGCATCGACGCCGACAGCATCGTCAGCACGCAGGCGCAGTACGACGCGGCCAGCCATCTCAAGAATGTAATTTTCCTGTCGACGGACGTCGCGTCCATCCAGACGGTGGGCCCGCACGTTGACATCGTGATTGGCGCACCCTCCTTCCTGATCGAGTACCAGGGCGACGACAAGAGCAGGGCCACCATACACCTGCCGCAACAAGACAGATCGGCCTTCAACTTCACGCACATCATCACCGAGCTCACCAACAACTCTCCATTTTTCAAGCAGTTGCTGCCAGACTACAAGCCATCATCATTTGGTCTCTCGTCAATCTTCCAAAGTAACTAAAAATATACTTATAACACAATAAACCCTTTATATATAATACATACACTCAATCAATCAATCAATCATATTATCTTAAGATGACCCAAGTTGACAACTCGAATGGGACGTCAAGATGGAATGAATCGAACTTCAAAAAAAACTGGACGACTTTAATTTTTATTTAATTTTAATTTACTCACACACGGGTGTGTTGGTGAGTCCTCGCGTGCAAGATGAGTACAAGTTGAAGTATCTCATATCCTGTTCCTCCTTTTTAGCTCCTACTTGATACACAATGGTATATATCATCACATAGAGACGACGATCAAGCGATGATATGAATGACGGATTGAATGGATTGCATGGATTGATCTATACAGGATACAAAGATCAATGACATATTAACATATCGTCACAACAATCTACCCTTAGTCCAAGAAAGTCTCCGTCCCAAAGCAGGTTGAGAATCTTGCTAACAAGATCGGTAACAGACCAGGTGAAGAGGTCCTGGCTGTTGCTCACATCTTTGCCTCCTTCAACGATACCTTCGTTCATGTGACTGATCTCTCATCAAAGGAGACCATCGTCCGTGTCACTGGTAGGTCTTCACTCACACAGCTCACTCCATGTCAATCCCTCGTGTAGACCTACCTCATTGCGATCATACGATATGCGATATGTCGATCAAACATTGGACAGGTACTCAAGATGATGATGATGCGCGAGTCAAACAAACAGACGACATATCTATTGCGAGCAACACAATGACGACGACGATCACAATTATGACGACGATGAGACGGCTACTCGAGGGCATTCACACCACAGTTAGATCAAGAGGACATGATGATTAATCATATCGATTCACTCAAACAATCAAATCAAATAATATAGGTGGTATGAAGGTTAAGACTGATCGTGATGAGTCCTCCCCATACGCCGCCACCATGGCCGCTCAGGATGTCGCTGCCAGATGCAAGGAGCTCGGAATCACCGCTCTCCACATCAAGCTCAGAGCCACCGGAGGAAACGGCTCCAAGACCCCAGGTCCAGGTGCCCAGTCTGCCCTCAGAGCTCTGGCCCGTTCTGGTATGAAGATCGGTCGTATTGAGGATGTTACCCCAATCCCAACCGACTCCACCAGAAGAAAGGGTGGTCACAGAGGTCGTCGTCTCTAAGTCGAGCGCCCCCCTCCTCCTCCCGCCTTCCATCCTTCATCCTTCCATCCTTCCGACCACATTGGACAACAATCCTATCGACCGCGATACCAAGCCTTTGCGCTTACATTCTTGTCTCGTAGTAGTATATAAACATTTAATTATGGCCTGACACCAAAAATCAATCACCTTCATCGTGGTGGCGATCAGACTACTCTACCCTTCCATTAATAATCCAAGTTATGTTGGACACAGTTGAATCCAGTTGATGCAGACAGCTGTAGTAGTAACAACATTGTTGAAAGTGTATGATGGGTTGTCTGCCGAGCTCCCTGGAGCAGTCTGGACTTTGATTATTATTATTATTTTAAATAATATTGATTTATTATCTTTACATTTATTATTCAATCAATTAATAAATACATCCGTCTGCTGTCCAGTCTCTTGCTGATATATATTTCCTTCGTTTAAACTAGCAGCCTCCAGACAGCCTTTTTCTCTCAGCCTGCCTCTCATCCAATTCTTTGATCCTGAGACAACCTTCACAGAGATTGTTAAATTGATGATGATCCTTTCGTAGATGAGCAGGTAAGTTGTGCTTGCTCAAAATGGTTCCACAGCCTATGTGAGTACACTCGACAGGAACACGGGTACTGTTGCTATTGTTGTTGTTGTTGTTGTTGCTGTTGTTGTTGTTGTTGATTGAGCAATCACTAAGTCCAAATCGCTCTTGCATCGGTGCCCTCAACAAGTCGAAAACTGGGTTCTCAAACTCTTCCAATAGCATATCATCAGTGCCTTCGGACAAGTCAATGACTGTAGCTTCTTGTTGGGCATTAATGTCGGATGGGTAGTTGCGCCCTAATACAATTGGTCTGGTTGTTCTACTACTACTTCTACTATTACTGCTGTTGGTGTATCCACTACAAGTCACTGACTGACTGACAAGTTGGCTCGGGGATCGATGTGTGTAGTATCCACTGCTGCTGGGTACTGAATGGCTGTTTGGTTGACTTGATGATCGATCAATGCGATCATTACTTTGCGAGTGTGTGCTAGTTCTGCCACCATTGTCACTACTACTACTACTGTTGCTGCTACTGCTGCTGCTGCTGCTGCTGCTGTTGAATGTAACACCGTGCCACTTCTTTAACTCCTTCATCATTCCACGTTTCCTATCGAGTTTAAAATGATGTTCCATGACTTGGAGATGGCATATTTAAAATTTAACATATTATTAGATATTAGAAGTCTAAATGTATGTATATGTATATGTATATGTATGTATTTGAGTTTGATTTTTGTGATAATACTACGATGGTTTTGTTCGTACAATGGTTAACCATTGTTAGATTGCTTAAAGAGGAAAACTTTGTCCAAAAATGGATACACCTCATCTCCATCAAACTTTCAGACAGCACTGTGGGGTTTAATAAAGTAAGGCCTTACCTACTATCGATAATTTATTGATCTAGGATTACCCTACTACTACTAGAGGTGAAATTCTTCCCCTCCACATTCATTCATTCATTTATTCACTGATTGCCACATTTAACCACATCACAATATTTACTAGTGATGTACCAATTCACTTACCCTATTATTATTCAGGTCTCAAAGCACTAATGCATGGGCTAAATATTAGCACACTGAATAATTTTATCTACGATATTAAAATTAGTACTACATTGACCGTCAAACCACATATGTTATACCAATGATTACTGATCAAAGGGTAGACAATTAAAGGTGATTTTCCTCTACTTTGGAATTGATGTGGAGCCTCTTATTATTGTAGAGTTTTATTGTGTTGTGGCTCACTGCCAGAGGGGGGAACAAATCCATTTGCTAATTTATTTACTCCACTAGGTTGTGGATAGATGATCATAGTATAATGTAGGTATTGGAATCATATGAGTTAGGTAGGTATGGTGTATGTAAATATGCTGTCAAACCCACTCGGGCAAAACTTCAAGCAATTCATGACTGGGAGAGACCACACTCGAAGGAACAACTCGCCGGGTTCTTAGGTCTGCTTGCCTACCACAGACACTACATTGACAACTACTCAGCTACCACACTGAAGTTGGGACGGTTCATGAAGAAGGGAGCCAAGTTTGATTGGACTGAGGAAGATGATCAGCTGTTCAATCATCTCAAGAGGAAGAGTGATGGCAGTGTTGTAGCCGCCCAAGTGACCATGGCCACCAACCCATCATACTCTTTCAATCATGTTCTTGCTGGTGACTACTGCATGTCTGCATCAATCCCAACTGGATATGAGCGTGTTGCCGTCACTAGTGATTACAACTCATTCAACATTGATGACAGTGATGTTAGAACTGATGAGCCATTCCTCGCCAACATCGATTTCTCCCTCAAGTTCAAGAATGGTACTCTGGTCAACACACAGACCACCACGGCCAACAACCCAGGCTACCAATTCAACAACTTGTTTGCTGGTGATTACTGCATGTCCACAACCCTGCCCGCTCCCTCACAGTTCTTTAATCATTTGACTGTTCTCAACAACGACAACTCATTCGACGCCAACAACAACTTCTGTTTCACTCTCGGTGCAGACAAGACGGTCAACGTTGGATTCAGGAGGAAGATATTCGTACTTTCTGCATTCGTCTGGGATGACATCAACAAAGACAATGTGTTCAACGCTCCAGTAGACCACTACTTTACCGACCAGGTGATAAGTGTTACGGTCGAGGGTGCGAAAGGAGATTCAGTCACCATTACACCATCGGCCACAGGCGGCGATTTCAACCTATACTATGGTGGATATTGCGTGTCGTCAACAATCCATCCTGGTTACCAACGTGTGCCTGTGTTGAATCAAGATAACACATTGGACAACAATAAGTACTGCTTCACTCTCACTGCTGACACCAGAATAAATATTGGATTCCAGAAACTATAATCAATTAATTAATCAAGAATAAATAAAGGGATAATCTACTTGATGGTCATCCCTAATAAATCCAAAAGCTTATAAATAGAGTCCAACCATAAGGGTTGGGTTGTGGTGAGGGCAAGGGCAAGGGCAAGGGCAAGGGTAAGGGCGAGGGTTGTTCAACTTTGAAAAAAAAGAGGGAACTTGTGATTGGTTGTCATTCTCAGATCAGTTTTCATACAACAAGTTAGTGATACAAAGATTTTTATAGAGAGATGTTGATATTGATTGCATTGAATTGATATTAGAGATAAGAAATGAAAGAAGAGAAGGTTATTAGAACATTCGAATGCACAATAGCAGACTTCTTAACTATTTACAAGGATGAGGATGGTCAACGACAGTATCATCTAGCCAGAGGCGACATCAATATATCATTCACACCATGGACTACTACAACTACAACTACTACTACAATACCGCGTGGATCAGAGACTAGATCTATATCATTTCAGGCACCAATCAATGCCCCACCATCAATACGCAAGCTGATTGGCAAGGATGCAACGTCGATCGTCGAGCAACAGTGTATATATGCGCCGACGCCGATGACACAAGGCGCAGCAGATATCACACGTATAACAACAAACTACAGACCAGATATAATGGGCGATTACTTCAATGTGGAGACCGAGTGGATACTGTCGAAGCAGACCAACAATCAGATCAAACTGGAACTTACACTGCGCACAACATTCAACATGTACATGGTCGGTCACCTATTTGAAGTGTTCATTATCAAGGCCGCCGCTGCTTCTGCCACACAATACGTCGACATTGTTCAAGAGCGCATCGATGCTATAAAGATTGAACGACTAAAGATGTTGCAAGCACAGCTGATACAACATCAACAAAATGAGCAAGAGTTGGCGCGTCAGCAACAACAACAACAACAACAGTTAGCAACTCAATCACAATCACAAACAATCAAACAATATCGATACCCATTGGAGCATCATCCAACTCAACATCGTGGGCATGTCCATCACTCCGATCCACCACCGACTCGTCGAAGAAGGAAGAGCAACAACAGCACCAGCGCCAGCGGCAACAGCAGTAGTAGGCGAGATAAGAATGTACATAAGTTTAAGAACTGGAGCGTAGACTGCAAGACTGAAGAGATTGAGGACTACCTCAAGCACGACCTGGAAGACCTGCGCGACTACACCCAACACACGACACAGAGTCTGCTCAAGATTGAGATATCGTTGTCCGAGATGATGACCAACAACCTACAGCAGACTACCAGCAGTAACAACAACAGCGGGCACAACAATATAAGCAACAACAGTGGCTACAGTAATATATACGCGAGTGATTCACAGCCGTCGTCGATCATGTCGTCGCCGTGCTCGTCGACATCCTCCTTGCACTCCTCGACGAATGGTGCGACCGAGCAACAACTGTCCAACGTTGAGAATCTGCTACACCAGATGGAGTTGAACAGTCGACTGATGCGTGAGAGGCGCCAACAGGCCGAGCACGCCATCGATCAAGAACTATCTGCCATCATGAACACATTGTCAATGCAAAACAATAACGAGTCATCATCATCGTCCAACAAGGACAAGGACATTGACTCGAAATCATCAACTACACCGTCGTCAACTTCGTCAACATCATCGTCTGCTTGGTACGACATTTTCTTCCCTGTGGCCTCTAGCCTGGTCGTCTGCATGGTAGTGGTCATCTCAATCTTTGCACTGTCCAAGCCCGCTCGATCAGGACAACAACGTTTACACAAATAGCTTGCTATGTTATTAATAACAAATTATTATTATTATCTATTATCTCTTTGAGAGTTCAACTAACTATCTCTGACTTGCAATGGCAAGTCAAAGTTGAAGGAACTTCCCTCAAACCCTCACTTCAGCACAATTCTCTCTTTTTTATTCCCTTAATTTTGTTGTTACTAACTCACTTTCGTTTCATTCATTCATTCATAATAACATATATATCTTTATCTATATCTATTATCTATCATATCTTTATCAATATCTATATCTAATATACATACATCATCTCATTTATGATTGTAAATAACAAAATATAACTTTTAGTTTTAAGTTTAGTTCAGTAGTCAGTTCAGTTCATTTTGAAGAGAGAGGAACGTTCACTGCAGACAGAAGCAGGTGAGATATACTCAGTCAGTCAGTCAGTCAGAGTCATTCATTCAGTAGCAGCGCAGTAGCAGTAACAGCAGCAGTAGTGGATTAGTAGCCCAACCAAGCAAACAACAACTACAACAACAACAAAGGAGAATACTCAACTCACTCACTAACTCACAAGTGATACAAAGGAATTATCTATTACTATCATTGTGCAACATGCAAGCTTGTCTCATTGTCGACACGTCAATATCATCGTCATCATCAACGTCGTACATAGCCAATATATATCGTCCACAAGTCACCATTTGATATCAATAACTTAATCAATCATTCATTCAATCATTCCAAAAATTCAATCCAATCAAACAACAAACAAACAATAATCAACTATCAACAATGAACATGAATAGTGACAGCGACAATGACACGCTGATCGCTTCATGTTTCGACTTTATCGACATCAATGACAACTATGAGAGCGAGAGTGATGATGACGATGTCTTTGTCGACCCGTATGCAATGCATGGCAACACCATCCACCCGTACATGATGAATGGAAGCCACCCCTACCTGCATGGCGGCATAGCCAATCGCTTCGACCCCAACGATAATGACAATGACAGCGACACGGAATCGTCCGAAGATGACGAGTTCAATCAGTTGGGCGCCCCACGTTCCTCCATTCAGGGTCAGCCACGTCGAAGAATGGGTCGCGGTGCCACAATTGCCAATCGCAGTGAGAGTGATGACAGTGAAGACGAGCCCGCCGCCCTGCCACTCAAGGCTCACAGTATCTCGACCTTCCCTCAATCGACATCCTCCCCCATGGGTGCTCAGGACAGGACAAGGAAGCAGTTTGAGCCAACGTCTGGTGCCGAGGTCCTTTCAGCCTCTGCATCAACCCCATCAAAGAAGCAATCAAACAACCACAACAACAACAACAATCACTCACAAGGCAGTGGCAATGGAAGGTACAAGTCCAAATCAAAGAGTCCAGGCAGTGCCAAGAAGGAGCAACAAGTTGTCAAGATCCTTCAGAGAAACGACGCCAATATAGGTATGTACGGCCATCGCGTTGGCACGATGATTTCAATCACTAACTCGATCTTTATCACTTTAGAACAAGTCAACAAGATGTTCACTCCAACCAAGACCTCTGCCGCTGCTGCTGACAAGGATGCCAAGCAGCACACTCCAAGCTCAGAGACTAAGCCCATCCCTCGTGCCTCCAACAACAGGACACCAAAGAAGGTTGAGCCAAGAGAGAGGACGCCAAAGAAGTCCGCCAGCAACAACAACAGCAACAACAGCAGGAATGGCACACCAAACTCTGCAGCCACAGCCACAGCAACATCAACAAGCGAAGTATCCGCTGCAGCAAATCAGGAGAGCGTACAACAACAATTGGACATTGCATTGCTGAAGAAGCAGTACAAGGAGGAGAGACTGGTTGGCCGCACATTGGGCGAGCTCCCCACCGCCTTTGACATGGACACCGTGACATTCACCGCGTCCAACCAGTTTGCGTTGCATGAGATTGTGTTGGTGCCGCGCTCACGTGGCGGCCTGACCTACGGAAAGATTCACGAGGTCATCGCCTCCAACCAGTGTCATCACGACACAAGCGTGCATCATCCCGGAGTCAACTACCGCGCCATTTACCCATCCGGCGCCAAGAAGGAGAACCTCTTCAAGGACTTGCCAGCATCCTACCTCGGCAAGCTGGTCTCACGCGACAAGGTGCCCAAGACCGCCGACTCGATCGCCAACCTCCCCGCCAACCCGCTGCCAACAACCTCGGCTGCGCCCATACGTGCAATCGGTCAAAAGGCATCGCTGAAGGACTTACACAACCTGGTCTTCTCTCCCGTGAGCAAGTTTGCGCCCAATCAGATCGCGCTAGTACCCCGTAGCAAGGGTGGCTTCACATATGGAGGCATACTCAAGGAGTGCAAGGTGCCCTGCAAAGTGGGTGACGTCAAGCATGAGGTACAAGGATATCGCGTGCTTGTTGAGAAGCGCAAAGAGACGACCATCATCAAAGACCTGATCGTTGGCAACATTGGCAAGATCTTCAGCGTTGAGAACCATCACAAGCATCAGCCTCATGAGCCTGCACAAGACCAGACTAAGGACGAAACTCAAACACAGTCTCAAGCTCAGGCTCAGGCTCAAACACAGGCACAGGTACAGGCAAGCACCAACGACGACGATGAGGATGATGATGGCGAGACCATCCTTTGGAACGGGGAGACCCTTGCCACAACAAAGAGCACCAGTACTACAACTACGATTGCAGAGACCAACACCAAGCTGTCTCAGCCACCAGTTCCTGGCGCACGCGGCCTCATTGAGGTGCCTTCCGACTCTGCCGTCTTTCAAAAGTCCAAAAAGAACAGGTCGCCAATGATCGTCATCGATGGACCAAACGTGGCTTTGAAGTACGGCAACAGCAAGACGTTCTCAGTGTTGGCCATCAAAAAGGCCATCGAGTACTACTCGCAGAGAGGCTTCGAAGTGATCACATTCGTCCCCGAACATGTGGCCACGCGCAAGCCATCCGGCCCCAACGCACCGATGCGCATCACTGACTTCCAGCCATTCGTCGACGACATGAAGATGTTCAACGAGCTGGTTGAGAAGGGACTGGTGTGCATGACGCCGCCCCAGGACTATGACGACAGCTATGCCATTCAGTACGCCAAGAAGCATGGCGCGATGATTGTCACGAACGATCGATACAACGACCACATCAACAAGCAGGAGACAGAGGCCGAGCGTCAGAAGGCCAGGCGATTCATCCGTGAGCACTGCATCTCATTCACATTTGCACGCCACGAGTTCCTGCCAAATCCAGACTTTGTATTTCCAAACTCTTGAGTCAGACACACAGCCGTGCACTCCTCCTCTGAATCACCTTCTTCTTATGTGTAGCAGACTGTCACGACAGCCAGACCGTCCATAAGTCCGTCCGAACGTCCGTCTAGCCCAGCAGCATATCATTACATATGGTCCATGTAACCTTACAGTCAGTCAGCCAGTCAGTCAGCCATCAGTCAGTCAGTCAGTCAGTAATCAAACCCATGCAGCAGGTCGTCTATTTCTCACGAACCTCTGCCGTTCTTGGATCAATCATTGATTTGTGAATGGAGCATTTGGATGTATATATGTATGATGGATAGGATATATGGATCATAATGATGGAAGTAGACAACATGTTCCACAATGTCAAGGTCCACGTCCAAGCAAGTCCAAGTCAATCTCATTCATTCATTCATTCATTCTCATCACAAACCACAAACACACCAACACAACACCAACACACACAAACACACAAACAATAAATGCCAGTCATATTAACAAACTAAACTTGGGTGTGAGTGTGAACATCCACTATTTACAACTTTATTCACAACACAAAACAGATAATAAGACATAAGTACAAAGATAATAAGATAGTTAGATAGTTATATAGTTAGATAGTTGTTATAGACACTTACACACACTCAAGCAAGATGGACGAGAATATATCATTCGATGTGTTGTTCGATAACAACTCTTTACCAATTACACTGCCACTACATGCTACTGTGTTTGACTTGAAGAGTCAACTAGAGATGTATACAAATGTACCAATACATAAACAGATGTTACTTGGTCTGTTAGATAGTATGTCTATTGTTGACAAGTTTAACTTAAACATATGTATTATTACATACTAATCATTAATACAATTCAACATGATATTAGATAAGAATGAGACTGAATTGGCAGCAATGGAATTGAAGAATATTGAGATGGTTGAGGTGGCTGATGCCACTGGTGAGCCTGCAGTAGTGGAAGAGCCACATATTCAACCACAAGTACTACCACCTCATCCTCAACCTCAACCTCAACCTCCACATATTCCTCAACATTTCATTCCACATCCACGTCCATTCGTACCACCTCAGCCAGAGTATATTGATGCCGATCAGGATATGGACTATGAAGATGAAAACAATGATGATCAAAACAATGATGACAACATACAAGACAATGATATCTATAGACAGCATCAATTCGCCGAGAACTACAACGCACGTTTTGGCACTGGAAACTCTCTGACAGAGTTCCTCGACAGCGTGTCCTACCCTTCCTTTGCCTCGGACTACCTCGAGATGGCCCACATGTTGGTCCCAACGCCCTTCCAAGGTTCATACAAAGATGCCCTGACCGAGGCCCGCAGAACTGGCAGGCTCGTCCTTGCCTACCTTCACAGTCCACAGAATCCAAATGCTGACAACTTCTGCATGTAAGTAATCACCAAGGAAGAATTTCATGAGTGAGTACTAATCATTCATAATAGGGATATACTGGCATCAGAGGAGATCTTTGAGTTTATCAACACAAACTATGTATTCTGGGTGGGTACGATCAACCCAACTGATGAGAAGAGACTATTGCAATTGGTACCATTTGAGGGATATCCAATCGTTGGCATCGTTGCCAACTTTGGAGGAGGAACCCCTGAGCTTCTACATCTATTGCAGGCTAATATTGTCAGAGACCAATTCTACAACCTCTTGGTCAACGAGATCACTGTCAATGAGGTTAAACTTCAAAGATTGAGACAGGAGCAGTATGTATACACATCCAATCACTTACTCAAACAATCAATACTAACAAGTTGATCAAAATAACAATCAACAGGGAGGAAACAGATGCTCAAAGGAGGATTGTAGATGAACAGAATAGGGAGTACCAGGAATCATTGAGAGCGGATATTGAGAAGGCAAGGAAGGAGGAAGAGGAGAAGAAGAGAGTGTTGGCAGAGGCAAAGGCTGTTGAGAACAAGAAGAGTGAAAAGTTGAGTCATGGCAAGCTGGTGCCCCCTGAGCCTCCAAAGGGTCCAGAGTCCACACACATCATTTTCAAACTACCAGACGACACCAAGATCGAGAGAAGGTTCAACTCAACAGACACAATCCAAACAGTATGTTCCGTTCAGCTCATCGTAGTAGTGCACTCACTAACCTCCTCCCTACATTCATTCACGCACTCAGTTGGCATACTTCTTGGATGGCTCTGGAGTCGAGTTGGAAAACTATCAGTTCAGCATGACATTCCCTCGCAAGGTCTTTGGCAAACAACAGTATAACCTCACATTGAAGGAAACAGACATACATCCACAATGTCTTCTGAATGTCCGTTCTGAAGACGACTGATCTGATCTGATTGATCAATAACATTGTCACACTGGAAACACATCGTTCGTAATATAACATTGGTCTGTTTATTTTATTGAATCATCTACAACATGATGGCAACAAAAATGAAGGCGAGCAACATCATTGAAGAGACAGCAACCTTGATTGCACTGCTTGGTTGGCGAGAGGTGGTAGTTGAGGTGGTAGATGGGGCGGCAGTGGTAGTTGATGAGGTGGTAGAGGTAGTGGCAGCTGCAGAGGTGGACGATGTAGTGGTGGTTGTGGATGGACCAGCACTAGTGGTGATGGTAGTGGCAGGTGAGCCAGTAGTTGTGGATGGTCCTGCACTAGTGGTCGAGGTGGAGGTTGTTGGTGAGACGGTGGTGCCGGCGGAAGTAGTGGAACCAGCAGTGGTGAATGGTCCAGTGCAAGTTGATGTTTGATTGGCCAATCCACTCATACGATACGTGTTCCACATGTTGAGGGAGAAGTCGGAAGAGTAGTAGCCTTGTCCAGCAAGGGTTCCATTCAAGGTACCAAAACGACTGGGTGTTCCAAGCACACCACCTGGGGCACTCTTGGTGAAAGGGTCTGGGGCGGTCCACACTCCACCATAGTGCCAGCGATCAGCGTACTGCAAGAAGTAGTCAAAGTTGAAAGCGCAGGCCAAACCTGGAATGATGCGCAGAACGAGTGCAGTCGATCTCCACGAAGCAGAGGTGCAGCAGAACTGGTAGGAGGACTCGTCTGGAATGCCACCATCGATGTATCCGTATGGGTCAGCGCAGTCCTTCTGTCCGTCTGGAGCATTAAGAATGTAGTACCAGTAGTCGTCCCATGTACAGGCGATCTGGCCCCAAAGCACGCGACTGGCGTTCTTGCTGTAGTAGAGCTGGCCATCCTCTCCGAATGTGTTTGGTGTGACATTGGAGATCCTGTTGTAGATGTCCTGGTCTCCAGTGATAACGGCGGCAAAGGCCACTGGCATCTTACGACCAGAGCCGTGACCACCATCAGCCTGCCATGTCACGCCGGCAAACAACATACCGGCATAGTCCAAACAAGCCTGTGTGTAGAGGATCAGGAACTCCTTCTTCTGGGCTACAGTCATGCTCAGGGTGAGGTAGAGTGCTCCGTCTCCAGAGTCACTGGCAATCTGTGCACCATAGTCGGCCATGTTGAGTGTTGGGTGGAGGTAGCGACCCTGCCAGTACTTGTAATGATCGAGCTGAACACGCTGGAAACGCGACATCATGTAGGCGTGGGTGGGGGTTTCAGCGGTCGGAGCCAGGTTGGGCAAGATGCTTGAACGCAGGTTGTTGGCAGAGTACTGCTTCTTGACCTTGCCAAAGTATGATGGACGGAAGGTGTTGGCGGGTGGTGCTTTCTCCAACACGGTCAGCACGGCGGCGGTCAACAGACAGCCGTGATGGTTGTCACAACGATCGACACCAGTCTCTGAGATTGCCTTGACGACAGATGAGTTGACTGCGGCGGCATAGGGGAGAGTGGGGACGAGTGACTTGTTGAAGCCATCAATCTCATAGTCAAAGCCGTTCTGGACCCAGCTGGTGGGGTTGACCTCCCATCCATGGAAAGTTCCGTTGAAGTCTGGTGTGATTGAGATGATGGTCACTGTGGGGCTGGCACTGCCAGCAGCAGCGGGGGCAGGTGTGACCCAGTAGTCACCATTGACAAACTGACCACATGGTACCTGCTTGTCAAAAGTGAAGGTGATGTTGTACTGTGAAATGGACTTGGCACTTCCATTTATACAATCAGCATTGGTAGCCAATGGTTGGCAACCTAATAATACTAATAATACACAACTTAAATAAATAAATAAATAGTTATATGTCTTTGACATTTTGTTTCTTTGTTTGATTGGTTGATTGATTGAATGGCTTGGAATGAAGATCAAACGGTCTTATAAATCTTCGTGTCACACCCATAGACAGTTCACAGTCTCCGTGTCGATGGATGGATGGTTGTGGTGGCAGTAATGTAAGGGTAAGGTGGACGGGTATGCATCCATTTGCAGTGCTCTGAGTGATTCGACATCGACATTGTGAATTTGACCAAAATATCTTTGTTTTGATGGGATTCTTTGATGGGTTTTTTGTTTTCTTTCCATTGAAAGCTTTTAAAAAGAGTCATACTTCGGAAGTCGTCTTGTGGTAGGTTACATGTATGTCTTCAGTGTGGAAGCTTATTCTTTATGTAATGGTAATGTGTCTAATAGCTATTAATATCCTCTTTTGTGACATTTACACTTATGCTCAATGTAAATTGACATGTTTGAAAGTCAATCAACATCTCATAATCATCATGTTTTACAAGTTGTTTAATTACAATCTGAGATCATCGTTATCGACCATTATATGAATTCAATTGACATGACTTATGTGCCTTTACAAACAAACATGTCATGCCATATCATCCTTACCTTACTTATTATATCTCTTTAAGTTATAACATTCATTGACTGTATTGAGATGAACACGTTGACAAGTCGACGTTTGGCTTGAATGAACGATTGAGAAACACACATTCTTTCTTTTTTCCTTCCAGTCCTTGATCCATCCAGGATCGACCATCTTACCTCGTTAACTCGTTTCATTTACTATTACTTACACTATTATTATTATCATTACAATAACTACTACTTTACATATATATTTATATAGAATGGTACACTTTAAATTCAATAGACATGCCATGGAGGCAAAGACTTTGAATGAACAATTGGAAGAACGTGAAGATCCACACTTTAGATCCAAACAACAAGAATATGACTGTGCCACTGAGATACTGCCCTATCTCTATCTGGCCGGTGAAGGTGCTTGTGCACCAGACAACCTTAAATCATTAGGTGTTACATTGGTCATCAATGTTGGTATGTAGTCGAAGAATAAGGATTGTATGAATATTGAACAAGCATTCATTAACAACCATGTATGATTGATTAGCTGAAGAATGTAGGTCAAAGGTGTATCATGAACGTGATGGCATCAATGAATTGAAACTACCGATTATGGATAGGGTAGGTGATGAACATCAGTTTGATACCTTCTACAAACTGTTCCAACATATTGATGACATTGCTCAGACCAAGGGCAAGTGTATCATACATTGCAAGAGAGGGAGATCAAGAAGCGCAACCATAGTCATAGCCTACCTAATGTATAAATTGAACTACACACTCAATGATGCATTCCATCATGTAAAGGTAACAACATACAATCACTCTCTTTGTTAACGGCAATAGCATCTGTCATTCAACCTTCCACTTTGTGTATTAACGTCCACTCTAGGAACGAAGGAAGATTATTGGGCCACATTATGACCTCAAGTTGCAACTGTTGCACTGGGAGAGATACTTGAACAAGTCGGCCACAAACACCTTGGATGTGGCACACTTCATTGGGAGAGACTACTCGTAGAGGGTACTCTTCCTCTCTCTCGTCCTCCTCCAAAGGTCGCGAGCCCTTCCTCCTCCAAGTCCTCAACCATCATACATTAACGTAGGGGATCATTCCATTCACAACGCCCGTAGGTAGACTATCCAAATGGACAAGACGACAATCCAAATCGATCAATCAATCAATCAATCAATCAATAAACACGTCTGGAATAATTCCAGCCGCGATGAGTTAATATTAATATTATAATGTGTATTTGTGGAGTGGTCGATTGGGGATACCCGACCGACTGGTCGGTCTATCTAAAGTTTAGTATGTACGGTACTTGAGTTGCAGCTGTTCTCCAATGTCCTCCAGATGCTCCAACGCCCACTCGAGGTCCTCGCGCGTGTGCGAAGCCGAGAGACAGAAACGGGCGCGTGGGGCGGTGAGTGGCGTGGCGGGGTAGCCGACCACGACCACGGCAATGTGGCGCTCCAGACACATACGCGAGAAGGCAGAGATCTTGGATGGGTTGTAGAACATCATGGGCACGACGGGGCTGTCGCGACCGCCGAGGATCTGGAAGCCCATCTGTCTGAGACGCTCGCGGAAGAAGTTGCTGTTGTCCTTGAGCTGCTTGATCTTGCGCGCTCCAATATCTGTGCCGTCCTCGCCGGCGATGGTGCGCAGCGCCTGGTAGGCCTGCATGGCACAGGCGGGCGCCATGCTGTTGGCGTACAGGTACGAGTAGCTGCTCTGTCTCAAATAGTTGATAAATGGTGCGTCACCTGCAATGTATCCACCAATCGATCCAAACGACTTTGTGAATGTGCCCATCAGGATATCCACATCTGCTGGGTCTACATTGCACTGATCACACACTCCACGTCCTCTCTTTCCAAGTGCTCCAATGCTGTGTGCTTCGTCTACATATAGATAGCACTAATTGATTGATTGATTGATTGAGTGAGTGAGTGAGTGATCCTCGAGGACTGCCTTGGCCCATAGTCATCATCAACATAAAACATACATTATACTTCTTCTTGATTCTTACGACCTCGGCAAGGTTGGGCATCTCACCCTCCATACTGTAGATACCTTCAATGATGATGAGGATCATGGTCCATGGTCTGTGTGTCTTGGGCTGGCCCTGGATGATGGACTCGCGAACCACCTCCTCCAGGTTCTTTGTGTCGTTGTGACGGAACACCTTGATCTTGGTGCCAGTGTTCTTGCAGCCGGTGGCCAGCGAAGCGTGGTTCAGCGAGTCCGAGATGATCAGACCACCCTTGCCAATGATGGCGGGCAGCGAGCCAGAGTTGGTGGCAAAGCCCATCTCAAACACCAGTGCGTCCTCCTTGCCGACGAAGCGGGCTGTCTCCTGCTCGAGCAGTCTAAGTGGCTCTGTAATACCATCCTCAGCTGGTGTTGATGATGTAAATATGCCATACTTGTACAACGAAGAGATGGCAGACTCAGCCACAGGTCCCTGGTTATCAGCGAATCCCAAATAGTTATACGATCCCAAGTTCAAACATCTCTTCTTCACTCCAGTCAATCTGTTTTGTTTGGCGAGTCGTCGTCAGTCAGTCAGTCAGTTATGTCTGTCATGTGATCATGATCGTTGGTGGTGGACCATCACACTTACGACAAAGGCTTGGTATAATGATTGTTTGTACGGAGCATAACATCGATCCATGCACCTGGAAGACTGGCAATGGGTCTATCCCAGCAGTCCTTGATTCTTCCATATAGACGCAACTGATAGAAGTACTCAAACTCTACAAACAATGGTGCGTATCCCTAATATATGATGTTGTCCAAAGTGTCAATCAATCAATCACTCATTCAATCAACCAGCTGATGACATGTCACGTGACATACCTTTGGAGTGGTAAAGTATCTCTGTCCTCTGATTTTATCGGTCATGTCTGCCCACTTGCCCATCAGAATGATGATGGCGTATGCAATGTAGATCCAACATATAGTCCAGTATCCAACATCATCGATGCTGTCCACCTCCTCTTTAACATTCTCGTCGTGACTATCTGTCATCCTCTATCTCTACTGTATTTGTGTATAATATATGATTGATTGTATGTATGTGTATGTATGATTGAATTAAGAAGAAGAAAAAGAAGAAGATATCTAATGCAATGCTTGATGAATGGGAAGCGACGGATAAATAGAAGGTTCGATGTTGTTGTGAGGTTGGTCCGGGTTGTTGTGTTTGTTCGTGTGTGTGTGTGTGTGTTTGATTGATTGATTGGTGGATAATTAGTGAATGATTGATTGAATGAATGAAAATGATGACTTTGAGTGTGAATGAATGAACGGGAGGGAAGTGTGTACAGTAAGACGACAATCAACTAAACCTTAACAGTGGAGTGCATCATTCAATCTCACACCTTGAGGACAAGGAACAAACACCCACACTCACTATGGCACATCACGATGGCAGACCTGATTTATCCTCATTATTTTTGATCAAAAACAATACATTGAAATCGTGGACCATCATCATAGTCGCTCTAGTCTGAAATGAATCCACAGAACGTTGTGTCTTCTTTGAAAGAAAGGACCTCAGGTAAGGTTCCATTATCAAGAGCATAACGTTATGCTAAACAAAGATCCAAGAGAGAGTGCGCAGTGATCACAAGGTTTGAGGAATGTTTGATTGATTGATTGAATGATTGAACATTGTAGACAATATCGAGTAATACACTGTTGCTGTTTATGTGAAGCATTCATTCGATTTCAAAGGATAGAGAGAGACATTACTTCTGTTGCAATTGATCCAAGATTGATGCTGCGATGGCTTCATAAGATCCATCAGCTTATAAGTGTGAATGATTGATTGTTGGGATTAGTACAACATAACATCCATCGATCAATGACATTAACTGTGGTCAATATCAAACATACCTTGCTTGTAAACCAGACAGATTATTGAATCGTTTGGGATGTTGAGCTGGTTGATTGTCTTCTTGTCCTCGAGTACAGCACCATCATAAATGAATCTGATGTAGTCTGCTGGTTTATCTGTCAGCTTGTTGATGATTGCAACGTCACCCTTTAGCTTCTGTACAGTGTCTGTTGGTTCTGCCTGCAAGAAAATAGTCTGCTCAGCTCTCTTTACGCGGAAGTATAATGCCTGTCATCATCAATCATCATCATCAATCAATGGGCGGAGGGGACGTGTGCTCGAGTTAGTATATTGTGTTCCCTCGAACAGTGAACTATGTCATTCATACCATTGTAGTTATATTTATGTATGAATGTATATGTAGGTTGATGGATAATAATGTAATATTAATTAAGTTGAAGTGTGTGATGAGATGAAACAGATGTTCACAACAACTTCGAAGTATCCAGCATTCAGGTAAAAACAAAGAATAGAGTAACTTTGTAACATTTCATTCATTCTAGAGTTGCCCCGTCATTCAAGTTGGAAGAGATAAAGATATTTCTTTATGTATATATGTATTGTAATAATGTAATTGCAATATGTATAAAGTGGTAATATACTTTACCACCACTATAATCTATTGAGCTGCAGCGGCAACTGCTGTGGCCTTTGTGGTGCTGGTGCTATCCAGCATCGGTGAGACACTCGATGGACAGGTTGATCGGGATGTTGCGTTGGACTCGGACGATGGTGCAACAGAAGCAGGAAGTGGAGTGATCTTGACAGCGCCATTGGATGTGATGTACATTCCATTCTCCTTGAGATGTTGCAAGTAGGCAGTGACGATGGATGGCATCATGTCCATGGACTTTTGTTGCTCGGCAGACACGTTCTTCTCGAGTCTGCTCGAGAACCATGACAAAGGTCCTGTGAAGTTATATGTGATCTGGATCACCTTGTAGCAGCTGTTTTCATCAACTGGTTCAACACTAATAACACCATTGATACTTTGGTGGTGGATGGAAGGTATGTATGTCAGGGACATGGTTCATTCATTCAATCAATCAAATACATACTGAATATAGTCCTTCATAATACCAGCTTCATTCTTGAATACCAACTCTCTCTTGGTCTTTGACTTTACCTGCATTTGGATGTAGGACAAGTCTGGATCGGAACCAACAAGCTTGGACAATATTGCTGGCATTGGTTTGGACTTTGGTTGAATTGACAATGTCCTATATATTGAGTTGGCCTTTAATGTTCGATTGATAGATGGATGATTAATTAATTATTCAAGTATGATCAATCACAATCAATGACATACATCTTCACGTTCCTCTACGATACGGATCTTCTTCTGGTCCATCTGAGTGCCATTGAACTCTTCAAAATGGGCAGTGTCTGTTATGGCATAGAAATGGTCGGCATTCAATGGAATCAATTGTTTGAAAGTTCTGGTTGTCATGTTTATTAATAATAATAAAAATAATATAATATAATAATAATAAAATATTTAGTATTAATTAATTAATTAGTACGTATAAAGTTTAATAATAATAATTAATAATACTAATTGATGTAGATGATGAATGAATGGAAGGAAAGATGGAATGAAGAGGATGTGGATTGGTACAGATATAATATTCTTATAACAAAAGGTATGGATGGAGTTGTGAGGTAACAGCACACTTATTATCTCGAGTAGTACTCATTCATTCACTTCATTCTGTCAATCTGTCAATCTGTCAACCAGTTTCAAACTGTCAGTCAGTCAGTCAGTCTGACCAAACCTGATTGGAAACGAGTTGGATGTATAAACCACTTTGAGTAGTACATGTTGTGTAGTGTGGTGCAGTGGTGTGTTGAGTGACCTGACGACAACACTCAAACATATAATACGTGTATTTATTCATTCAAATAGATGAAATGATACATCACCCACCCTTCAGTGTTAGAAGTTCGATCGATTGAATTGTGTGTGGTTAAATGAAGGTTGGAAGGGTAAAGATAACCTCTGTCCTGGATGTTTTGTATTATTATTATTATTATTATTAATATTATTATTATTGATATACAGATATTATCTGTATATTTTATTTACATATATTTAATTTACGGATAAATAAATTAAAAGTTCCATTTTTGTCGTGTATGATCATTCATGGAAATGAGATAAAAAAAGGTTGGTTGGGATCGAGTGTTTTTTTTGTAAAAGTTTTTGATGAGCCTTTGTTTTGTGATGCTTCTCCCCAAATTTACACTATCATTTTTTTTTTTGATCAATCAGAGTGATGAAGGGTTGTTTGTCATGGTCATGTGAGAGGAGTGAATGAGAGAGTATACTTGTATCTCTAAGTCGTTCGAGACATACACATATACACAGATATACAATCACACACACAAACACACAAATATTGACTCAGTCAAACATTTAGTCAATCAATCAATCATTCATATCAAATCAAATCAGTGTTCTGATTATCGGTCGGTCAGTCGTCGATCGGTAATCAAACAAAGATATATATATTAGTAGTACAACAATCAATCAATCGATATACATATATATATATATATATATAGCCAGAGAATCAAACCTTTAAAGGTTCATGGACAATGGCAAGAAGATATGAACCCAATCACAGGAGCTACTTAAATGGCCGTTTAATAACAGGTCCAGACAAGATGTACTTTATATCTGCGATATTACTTATGTTCATACCAGAGATACCATTCTTAGTGACTGTGTATGTTTATCATCAATCAATCAATCAATCATATTAATCAATCATACTAATCAATCATATGATCACTCACAACCAACGCAGATGCCCATTGTTTGTAGAATATGTGACAGCAGCTATATATCCTATATCTATATTCTTGTGGCTGGTATCATTCGTCTATCTATTTATTACATCATACACTGATCCAGGCATTGTTCCACGAGGAGTGTACAACGATCAGGAGAACCCATTCGCATCAGACCACAGGCAACCATTGTACAAAACCATAGTCATTAGAGAAATACAGCATGAGGTTAAGTGGTGCGGTATGTATCTATCTCGGGTGTTGACCTTGACATTCGTCGTCATCACTCACTCACGCTCAATCAATCAATCAATCAATCACAGAGACATGCAGTTTATATCGGCCTCCACGAGCCAATCATTGTGGAATATGTAATAGTTGCATAGAGCACTTTGATCATCATTGCCCTTGGTATGTCTAGCATCTATCCATCATCAATCATGTGATCCAGGAAACTAACAAACATCCAAACAATCAATCACTCAATCACTTGAACTATTCCACTCACTCAAAATCAATCAATCACTCCAAACTTAAGGGTTGGCAACTGTATTGGAAGAAGGAATTATAAGTTCTTTATGTACTTCTTGATAACACTTGGATTCAAGTGCTGCTTCATCATTGGATTCTGCATAGCACATATTGTGATCAGCGCACATCGAGTGCGCGAGGATCATCCAATGTATAGCTCGGCCAGTGTGTTTGGACACGCCCTGAATGCCTCGCACTACCTCTCCATCATACTCATTGTATATGCACTTGGCGGTCTGATGTTTGTCGGCAGTCTTGGCGGCTTCCACTGCTTCCTCATTGCCACTGGACGCACCACCAACGAGAAGCTGAAGCGATCCTTCAAGAAAGGCAACCCCTTCAATCTAGGCATCATCAAGAACTTTATCCATGTATTCTTTGCTCCACATTATCCAAGGTAAGTGATGGCAACTTGATTGATTGATTGATGGGCTGGCTGGCTGACTGACTCATTCATTCATTCATTCATTCAATCATTCAGTTATTACAGACATTACAAACTCAAGGAGAGAGAGTTAGTATCTCTTCCATCAAATCAGACGGCTGCTGCGGCGGCAGCAGGTGGAAGTGGTAGCGCGATCGGTACAGGCAACACCAACAACAACAGCAGCAGTGGAAGTAGTAGCAGTAATCGAATGAATTCACCAATGGACCCAACCAGTCCAGTCTAGAGTCTATAAACGTTCATTCAATTTTCCAGGCGGCTGCGCTCGCTGTTGGACAGCAGGCAGACACGTTATCCAAATATTTATTATCTCTCCGATCACTCTCTCCTATTTCTCTTTCTTCCTCTCTCTGTCTGTTTTCTTATTGTTGCATTGTGTCGCCTGTTCCACCATTAATGTTTGTCATGGTGCCAGATGATGTTGAGTTATCCTTTGTTTGTGCCAGATGTTGTTGATGCTCCTTCAACAGGTTCAAACGATCAAGGAACAATGTCTGTCTTGACTTCTCCATCTGTTATATTGTCAGTTAGTTACATCACTCACGATCACATGATCAATGTAGTTTGTTATACATACCAGTATCCTCTCTCTGTCTAGTGTACCTTCCAGATCTGAGTAGTACTTTAGTTTGATCTCCAGCTTCTTGGTCTGCAGACTGACGATCTGAAGGATGAGGGATTGGATGTCCCGCTCCTCGGCCAGCTTCATTGAGTTGGCTTTGATTGATGTTGCGGCCAGAGTGGCAGCCGATGCCGATTGAATATTTAACAGTGTCTCGTTGATCTCGCCCTTCATGTCCTTGGCCAGCACCTCGTGTGCAGCCTTTGCAGCGGCGGTGGCCACATTGGCGCTCACAGCCTTTGACAGGAATCCAATCATCGTCATGATCTCATGTCCATTAGTCGTCGATGTCAGCTGCTGATTCGAACTCGATTGATTTGATTGTTTCATATTGGTCGCCTTGCTCAGATTGTCTTCCAGGTAGTTGTCCTCGATGGGCAGTCGCAGGAAGTGTAGCAGACACTGCTCCTTGGTCTTGGTGGCGACGTGCTCAGCGACGTCGGCCCAGCTGTCTCCATAGATGTCGATGGCCTCGAGCAGCAGGAGCGTCTCCTGGTCGGTCCACTCCTCGGGCGGGTCGGGCGACACCTCCTGTTGGATCATCGTAAAGTCGCTGGCGGTGTGCTCCTGAGCGTAGTTGCCGTTCTGGAAGCAGCTGTTGCAGAGGTTGACTTTGAGCAGGTCAGGGGGCAGCTCTGTTGCGCCCTCGGGCACTGTGAGTGATTTGTTCAATTGATGGCGCAGTGCGCTGCAGTCCACTCCACAGTTGCTGCAAACGATCTTTGGGGGCACCTGTGGTTGGCCGTATATATTGCTCCTGAGCTCCAATGGGTTGATCTTCCTGCTGCTGGGGGTGATGGTACCATTGATGTTGCTGCTGCTTCCGCTGTTGCTGTTGCCGTTTGCGGGCTTTGTTATTGTTGATGAAGACGAAGGTTCTGCTGCTGATGATGATGTTGTGGTTGTAGTTGTTGATGTTGTCGTTGTTGTCGTTGATGTCGATGTGGTTGTTGTCAATGAGGGCGATGTCTTGTTTGGTGATTTGATCGCGTCTGGTTGCTGTTGTGTTTGTGGTTTTGGTTGCTGAGGCGCAGGGATGCAATAGCCTCCCTCAGGGTTGATAAAGTAGTTGATCAGGCCCCAATGATCGAGGAAGCTGTGAACACGCATCATTGAGCAGATGTCGCCGACGAGGTTGCGGCGAACGGCTGTCAGCGTGAGGTACTGATAGGGGTTCTGCTGATAGGTGTTGATCATAAAGTCGCGGTACTCCTTGTATACCTCTGGTGTCTTTGATGGTGATCGACCGTTGAAGAACTCTGCCATCTGTGCCTTCTCGATGTCATGTATCTCGCTCATCTTGAACCAAGCGCATTGCGTACCAGTCGTAAAGTGTGACGATAATATGAATGGGATGTGAGGTGCCTGTCCTGCCATCATCATATCATGTTGTTGTTGAGGTTGTTGTTGTTGTTGTGTCTGTTGTAGTTGTGGAGGTGGTTGTGCGAAGATTGTCTGAGGGACTACCGTTGCTGTTGATGCTGGAGTTGGTGTAAGAAGTGGTGATGGGCCGGGGACGGCATTGGGAGGTATCTTCTGCACGGCAATACCCTGTTGTATTGATGCTGGCAGTATCATTGCACTGGGTGGGTTGGTCAGAGTTGGTTGTTGTGTCTCCAACACGGGTAGCATTGGCAGTCCAACCATTGATGTTTGAACATGATCTATCTTTTGTTTCTTTGTGACATTCTCTTCATTATTACTTTCATTATTATTATCTGTGTTTGACATTCTCTATGTATAAATATATTATCTCTATCTCTATCTCTTTGTATCTGTAACACTTTGGTGTTAATGTTTCTCAACGGTCGAAAGAGACTATTTTTGAATTTACCCCTTTTTTGAAAATTATCAAACGAAGTTCAAACTGATTGATTCAAGTCAAGTTTGAACTTTGATTTTCAGGTTGAGTTTATCGAGATTATACCAATGAAAGTTCCCATGAATATTGATCAATGTAGTGTTGGGGTTATATGTGGGCCCCAGTCACTTTACACTTTAACTTATTTGTGTAAAATGAACAATCCAACTCAAATCTCTAAGTTGGAATTGAACAATTGGTTTATAAATCTACATGATCTTGAATGAGTGATCGATCAATCAACTTAAATACCCTTAATCCAAAATAAGATAGATACAGTAACACTTAGAACAATTAATATATAAAAAATGTCTATGGAATTGGAAGAACTTAAAATTGGGTATAATAATGCTATTTACCCAAAGGATCGTTCTCTTTATGATATAATATTCTGTATCAATAAGTTGAAACATGTTTACAAGTCTGGATGGGATATCCAATTTCCACTCTACTCTGCACACAAACAAGCAGCTGATCAATTAGCTCGTGGAGGTCTACCTGACAAAATTAAAAGAGGTCTAAGTTTCCAGCCTGATCGTGTAACACCAAACTATGCCCATCCCAAGGATTGTAAGTATCCCACCCTCTTGGAACTATTCCTAAACTTAAAACCATCACTCAATCAATCAATCACATATTCAATTGTTTAGCATTTATAACTGATGGATCGATTATGTGTGTCCTGGGCCTGTTCAATAGAGGCAAGAGCTATGTGTTGTCTAGGATACTGGACTTGAGCTTTGAGAGTTCATTCTTTAGTCACACCGAAGGTATCAGTGTTGTGATGCCAAGGAAGGATAGTAAGATGACCTTGAACCTAATTGGACTGGATACAAAGGGTTCTCAACAAGCTGTTAAACTTGCCGACGAGAAGAAGTTGATGCAGGCCGAATCCACCGAGCGATTCTTGAAATGTCTTTCTGCCCATCTTGCCGACACAATCTTGATTGTAGTTGATAGGATGCATCGTGAGGACCAGGTCTACATCCATCAGATGAAGAACATGCTAAAGGATAAGGTAAACAAGAAGATTATCATCGTCCATAATGTGCCATCAGTGGTCACTCTCGACCAGATGGCACAGGTTATCCGAGAGGACATTGTCGAAGGATTCGGCGCCAAAGAGTGTGACCCAGAACGTCCATACTGGGTGGAGACTGACAACACGAGACACGTGGTGTTGGCCCGTGACGAGAGGACATCCAACTCGCCCGCTGGCAAGCTCTACAATCAGCGAACCATTGACATGTTGAAGGAGTGGCTCAAGGCCGCAGCTTCAGACTCACAGAGAAGTCTAAACCTTTTGAACATGGTCCTGGAGTTCACCAACAGCCATCTCCGCAGGTTCTTTGAAGCTGACTTGCCCAAGGTTGCACCATTCAACGATGATGGAACTATCAAGATCAAGTGCTCCCAGGCCGTGATCAAGGATGAGGCGCCAAAGTTAACTTGTTTGGAACCATGTCACGCATGGGCTTAGTCGAGGTGATGGTCACCTTGGTTCCAACCTCTCCAGGGATCTCGGTGGCCTTGGCACTTAGGTCATCCTTTGAATAGCCTGGACATAGGATGCTGATATAGTACTTGTCATCGTCCTCGGTGATCTTGGCCTTGAACGCTTCACGCTCAATCTGTACCCCAACCTGATTGAGCAAGTTATCGACGTTAATCCAGAAGTCATACTTTGAGGACAGTGACCTAGTGCCACTCCGTTTCGAATGCCGTTTGCCCTCGCAGTTAGCCAGCAGAAAGCCAACTCAATGCTCCTACCTAGATGGCAACCTATTGCTAGCCTATGAGAAGTGCGAAGAGTCAGAAGATGTACCTCTAGGTAATTACAACTAAGTTGGTTTGGAAGTGAGTTCCACACATTCATTGATTGATCATAAAGAAGGTCCATGAGCTTGATTGAATGGTTGATTGATGGCGGTAATGGTTCCAATATATCTTTATACCTTGTCCACGTCAACACAATGACTGTTGGCAAGTGATGGCACGGGGAGGAAGCCCCATCCACGACGAATGCGTCGATCAAGTAGTCTTTGTAATGTTTCCATTGTGGCCGGTCGTGTAGAGTTGATCAATGTACTGCCATCCAAGCTCTTAACAACATACATGACAGTACGTTGATTGATCATTCGACATACGACCACTCGATCGTCGAATGGTAGGTGCACACTGCACACGCTCGGTAAGCCAATGACGTTGACGAATGATCTGTTGAAGAAAAGTTCAATGTGTAGGCGGTGCACACTGTGGCGCGTGGGATCAGTGGCCACAGTCTTGTTAAAGTATGCTTTGAATGAGAGTATCGAGTGGATGTTGATGTATAGGTCGCGCAACGACGAAGGTAGCGCGCAGGGTGTGATCTCACTATTGAAGCTGCCACCAAATGTCAACTTGGTGATGCTGTCGGGGAGAGTGTCGGGTGCGATTCGTTGACTAAATACAGGTCCAAACTCCAGTATTGTAAGAGAGGGCGGGAGTGTCCCTCGCGCCAATGGTCGAGTGAAGGCGAATCCAAATCTGAGAGAGAGCAGACTATGGGGCAAGCCACCAGGCTCCAAAGTTTGATTGTAAAGGCGGCCTAGTGTTAGTGCGGTCAGTGAGTCACCGAGCATGCCTGGCGTGATAGTCTCTTCAAATGAGTTGCCGAGAGTTAGGTGCTTGATTGTGTCTGGTGTGGGCTGTAGCAGGCTATATGGTACATCCCAGAAATGCTTCAGATGGACGAGCGATGGAGGCACGCTCAGCAACTGAGTGGCTGGTGTGGCCGTAAGCTTGGTGAGTGACGCGGGCAGGTCCACTTGTGTGAGCTGTTGTATGTACTCCTTGCCAAAGGATAATCGTGTGATTGACGCCGGAAGTACGCCAGGGCCGAGTCGTTGACGGTACCCCTGTCCAAACTTGAGCGATGTGAGTGAGATTGGGAGCACGCCCTCCTTGATCGGTTTGTTGTATATCATGCCAAAGGTGAGCTTCTTCAGGCCGGGCGGCAGGCTACCCAGTAGCAAGGGCTGCATGAACCCTTGACCGAGCGTCAATGTGATTAGGGAGGTGGGTAGCACACCTGGCAGCAGTGTATTGTTGCTGAATCGACCGAGGGACAGTTCGGTGAGCGTTGGAGGCAGCGTGCCCAACCCTAGCAGCGGACTGTCGTACATGAATGTGAGAGATGTGAGCGAGACCGGCAAGGTGTCTGGCCAGAGGTTGTTGTTGTTGTTGAATGTCAGACGATGGATAGATGGCGGCAGCACGCCCTCCATTATTTGATGAGCGTGACCATAGCCTAGCGTGAACTCTGTTAATGAATCTGGCAATGATCCAGGTGCGATCGGCTCGCTGTTGTGACTGCCATCGTGCGTCATGATCTTGAGTGATGACGGTAGACGCTTGCGACCTCTCTCGATCAGTCGACTGTCGGCGGTCCACATCAAACTTGGTTCTCTGATGTAAGTAGGCGGGGCTCTGGCCCAGGCACTCTTAATCAACAGTCCATAATGTCTCTTTGATGTCAATCCAAAGCACAAAACATCAACATCGTCCTGTAAGTGTAACTGATCGTATATCGCATCGATCAATAAATGTGATAGTGTATCCATTATTTGTTTGTTTGTTTGATTGATTGATTGATCATGCGGTTGGAAAATGAAATCAGACGAGGGCAAGGGTTAGGGTAAGGGTAGGGTTAGGGCAAGGGTAAGGGATATAGGGTAAGGGTAAGGGTTTTATATATTGAAGTCCTGTTGGCCTATATGGCGACGGAGGTATGGGGAGGATTAGAGGAGGAGAAGAAGGGAGGGGTACGAGTCCAAACCAACCTGTTTATTCAGTTAGCAATGGGACCAACTTGCCCTTGGAGTGCAGGGCTTCGGTATCTGTTTGTTGTAAAGTAAACAGATGGTCAGTAATCTGATGCTAGTGACTCATTAACTGATCAAGCATAACAACAATAATAACAAATAACATACCTGAACATCCACCGATGAACTTCTGATTGATGAACACTTGGGGCACGGTAGACATGCCTGAGATGGACTTTAGTGCTGATTGGTATTCGGATGAGTTGGGCAGCTTGTTGATCTCGACTACATATGGTGTCTGACCGAGTTTCTGCAACAACTGCTTAACCTTTACACAGTATGGGCAGTAGTCCTTTGAGAACACTATCAATTTGTTTGCCTGAATAAGCTGTCTAATGATGTTTACTAATTCTGAACTCATGATTATATCTGTATATCTTTGTATCTTTGTATCTGTATCTGTATCTGAATGAATGTTTGTTCCACTCATTAATGATGTCCATTTATGGTGTTCGACCAATCACACACTATCGTGTTGATCACACACAACACATTCGTTCGATTTTTCTGATTTATTCTATTCTTAGACAAAGAACGTGTGGGTTCTTTTGTTTCGCGAATTGGATGGTTGTTTGGAACATCGTTGTTGATTGGTAATACCTGGAACGACTGGAATAGTTCCAGTTCCAGGACCCAGGACCAACTCCATGCTTCGTCAAACCTTGTCAACTCCAATTGAGTGTTTGCTTTGTGGTGATGGCATTGGGAAGAAGCCCCATCCACGGCATGTTCTTCGTTCCAGTAGGTTGCGTATGTTGTCCTCTGATGCGTGGCGAGTGATGTCTGTCACTGGTCCACCATCTAGACCTCTGACTACATATGCCACAGTATGTTCGTTGATCTTGCGACAGACGACCATACGATTGTCCAATATCAGGTGATAGTTCAATACACTTTGGATGGCAAGTATCTCAATGAATAAATTGTTGTAGAAGTTCTCAATGCTGAGACGGTGAACAGTGTGGCGAGAAGGATCGACTGCCAGTGTCTTGTTGAAATATGTCTTGAATATGGCTAACGCATCACTATGGATGTATAGATCGCGCAATGACTTTGGCAGAGAGCAAGGTGCGATCAAACTGGTGAACATACAGCCAAATGTCAACTCTGTTATGCTGTCGGGAAGTAGTTGTTCCATTATGGGCTTGTTGTACTTCATGCCAAACGTGAGTTGGGTAAGTGATTGCGGCAGTGACCATCTCTCGATTGGATGATTGAACGAGAATCCAAGGTGTAGTGAGAGCAATGAATGGGGTAGCGCATGAGGCACCAAAACCTGGTGGAAACGGCGACCCAGAGACAGTGCAGTGAGAGAGTCGCTGAGCTGCCCGACCGAGAGTGCCATATCAAACTCGTTACCCAGAGTTAGCCGCAATATATTGGCTGGTGTCAGCTGTTTTAACGGAGGGCCGAGGGGGACGTACTTTAGATGAGTAAGTGATTGAGGCATGCCACAACTCAGATTCAGTGTACCAGACGGGGCAGTCAGCTTGGTGAGTGACGCGGGCAGGACCTCCTCGGTGAGTTGCACTGGGTAAACTTGGTCAAAGGACAATCGTATGATAGATGCTGGAAGAACACCATGATCAAAACGCTCGCTGAAATCATGGCCAAACTTGAGTGATTTGAGTGATGCAGGGAGTACACCTGCTGTGATCTTAATGTTGAAGCACGAGCCAAATCTGAGTTTCCGAAGGGATTGAGGCAGAGTACCAGGAAGCAATCGGTGATTGAACCCATCACCTAGAGTTAGTGTGATCAATGAGTCGGGCAGCGCACCAGGCTGTAGTTCATTGAGGGCGTAGCGACCGAGTAGCAGCTCGGTGAGCGTAGGGGGTAGGTAGCCCAACCGTAACAATGGGCTGTAGACCAAAAATGACAGGGAGGTGAGAGATGCTGGTAGGGTTTCTGGCCATGTGTTGTTGTTGTTTCTGAGTGTCAGTCGACGGAGAGAGGGTGGCAATACGCCATTCGCTAACATATGCGGGTAAGAGTTGGACAAAGTAAAGTCTGTGAGCGATTCGGGTAATGATCCAGGTGCGATTGGTTGGTTGTTTTCATTGCAATTATACCACATGATCTTGACTGATGATGGTAGACGACCTTTCTTATCCTCGAGGAATGTGTCGGCTGACACAAACAAACTCGGTTCTTTGATGTAGGTTGTTGGGGACCATCCGCCTTTGACCATCAATGCATAATGTCTCCTACAACACAAGGCGAAGCATATCACATCGACATCATCAAGTAACTTTAGCTGTTCATATATCGCGTTAATCAGTATATGCGATAGTGTATCCATTATCTTATAGTGAATATTTGTATGTGATGATAAGTAAAGGTCAATCAAATGATTCCCAGGTTGAGAATTTGGTGAAGGGACCTGAGGACGAGGCCTGGTTGGGCTTTCTCATCAGGATCTGCAAATCAAATTAATAGGGATACGCAAGAACTACAACGCAAGGCAGTCAATCAAACACTCTGGGCGAACGTATCATTAACTATATTGAAGGTTTCTTTTGAAGTAGTGGCTCATACTTTGAATATCTGGCACGTGATCGCTTGACTAATATCATTACAATTAGGATGATGAGGAATGATCCCAGTATGCATCCTATTACAATGCCGATGATGACACCTGTTGGAAGAGTCTTTGGCGTGACCACTCGTACAGCCTTGCATTCATGTTGCTTTCCATTGTCGATCTGTAGCAGACATTGTTGAGTGTCGCAGAATATGTTGTCCAGCTCGTTCCTGACGGTGGTGTGATCGGTATTGTTGGCAAATGTGCAGTTGTCAATCGACATGGTCGACTTGGCACAGTAGACTGAGCCACCCTTGTCCGCTGCGTTGTTTGACAGCGACAGGCCAGACAGCACGGCAGTCGAGCCAAAGATATAGACGCCGCCTCCCAGCACGATTCCGTTCCACTGGTTCTGTTGTATCGATAGATTAGCCATGTAGACAACTGTGTTGTTGAGGCAAACTGACGCGCCATTGACAGCGCTGTCCTGGCTAAAGTTTGAGTTGGACAGCGTCAGGTTGTTGATCGACTCGAGGTACACGGAGCCACCGCTCCACGAAGCAGTGTTGTTGTTGAATGTACATGTGTCCACGGTGATCGTGGCGACCGATCCATAGACCGCAATGGCACCGCCAAAGACCGCAGCACCGTTCGATCTGAACGTGCAGCCAGTCACAGACATGCCGGAGTAGGTGTCCTGTGAGGAGTATTGGATGGCAGCGCCTCTGTCGCTCGCTGTGTTAGACTCGAAAGTTGAGCCCACAATAGTCAGGCCCGATCGGTAGGCATTGACTGCGCCGGCTGTATTGTCGCGGAATGTGCAGCCAGTGATGTTGAGTGCCGCAGTGTTGCTGACGTCGACCGAGTAGCCATTGATGTTGGTGGTGAATACACTGTTGTACATGGTCGCTGTGACCTGTGCTGTTGGGGTCTGGTCAGATTCAGAGTACGATGCAGACAGGGGAGCCTTGACCAGTATGACCGTGCCGTTGATGTCTGAGAACATGCAGTTGTCGACATATATGGACGACACCGACTCGGTGGTGCTGTCGTGCGTTGGATCATAGCCAATGAGTTGAGATGAGTTGCTTGCTGAGCAGTTGACGAGTGAAAGAGTGGTGCTGGCGTTGGCAGAGATGAAGAGTAATGAGCTGATGTTTGAGGCGTGATAGAGGTTGCGGAAGTGTATGCCCGACAGGTGGATGGACGTCGTCAAGGTAGAATCGAATGAGAATGATGACACTGTTGCGAAAGAGTTGATTGATTGTCCATCGATCACAACATTAGCTTGTGAACCGTTGTATGATTGAATGGTTAGGTCATAGCCTGTGAGTGATAGTAAAGTATTGTTTACACCAGTATATAGACCATCTGCTAATGAGATCGTTAGTGATGAACCACCGACCGATTCATTTGAATAAGTATATAAAGCATCCTGAATTGATTGACATGATTGATTGATTGATGCTCCACACAGTGAGTCATATGTTAAAGGACTATTTGGATCAACATATAACACAGTTGGTGTTGTTGTTGATGATGTAGTCGTCGTCGAGACTATGAACAATATTAATAATATTAATAATACATTATAATATGATGTTGTTGTGTACATTATTATTATCTTTATCTCTTCATTGTGAGTGAGAGTGATTGGACATTGAATTTGATGAATCCTCCGTGTTCACACTTTTGGAGACTTCACTTCTCAAGATCTTCATGAATATCACTTTGTCGACCTACCTACATGTAATATTCATTCAATTAATTAATAAACCAATCAACCAAACATAATACCTTATATTCATACATTACAACAAGAAAGATATATCAATCAATCAATCTATCCTATCAACAACTAGACATGTCAATATTAGATTTACAAGGAATATTGATCAAGCATATTGTGACGATGCTCGATTCTAATGTTGATAGAGTATGCTTTGTATTATGTTGCAGAAGATTCTATAAAGAACGTGAATCTATTATGTTCTTTAATACAAAGAATCTACCATGTTTGAAGACATTCCAACAACAGATTCTAAGGAATCACCTAAAGTCATTCAATTCAATAATCTACAAGTCAATTGAGAAGGCGCCCATTGACATGCTGTACCTATCGTACGATGACTTTCCACATCACTACACCACATCATATGGCTTGATCGAGAAACAAAAGGCCGCCAACCAGCCCTTGGACCTGTCTTCCATCCCACTGAACGTCGGATCGCTCACCTTTGGCAACCTCTACAAAGAGCCGTTGCTGCCTCACACAATCCCCTCGACAATAACCATACTTAACCTTGGCAATGGGTTCAGCAACCTATTGTTCCCAGGAACTATCCCAACTACGGTCACAAGTCTGGACCTGGGCAACAAGTTCAATCACCCTTTGGTCCCAGGCTCAATCCCCGCCTCAGTTCGTCAACTAAGATTTGGTACATCGTATGATAAGCAGTTGCCTCCAGGTTGGATACCGTCATCTGTTGAGGACCTCGAGCTATCGTCCCCAAAGACACACCAACTGGAGGTCGGATCAATCCCATCTTCAGTGCGCCTTCTCAAACTATCCTACGTCCACACACTCACACCTGGAATCATTCCAAAGTCGTCGTCCATCGAGCGACTAACTTTGATGAACTATAACAAACCGATTGTAGAAGATGCCCTGCCTGAGGGCATCAAGTACATCGACTTTGGCATCAACTTTAGCAATGTGATTACACTGGGCGCATTGCCAATGTCACTGACCGAGATGGTCTACTCCCACACATACACACCTCTGGACGTTGAGGCGCTTCCTCCCTCACTCACGCGTCTCACTCTTAACGTCCATCCACAGATACATACACCATTCCCCAACACAATCACTCATTTGGTGCTCAACTATCATTCGGTTGGCTCAACATTGGAGTTTATACCAGACTCTGTCACGCACCTAACGCTTGGCAACCGATTCAATGTTGCCCTCTACACTAATGATGACCCTAAACCTGGCTTCATCGAACGCTTCTTCTGGGGCAAAGGGGAGCAGGATGATAAGAACATCACATCCAATCTACCTCCACATCTCGAGTCCCTCATACTTGGAGAAATGTATGACCAGCCAATCCCTCGCGGCGTGTTGCCTCAATCGCTACGAAAGTTAGTGCTTGGAAGAGACTTTAATCAGATATTGACACAAGGTGCCCTTCCCGATGCCCTGACCCATATTACGCTTGGACCAAAGATGGCGCGAACAGACGTGTACTTCCCGCCTGCCCTCACGCATATATCCTTCCCCATGGGCACACCGATCAAGATGGCCGAGATGCCTTTGAATGTCAAACACTTGGAGATACTCATTGGTCACAACTTGACCAAGGTTCTACGAGTCGAGCCGTCCTACTCACTAACACTGTGCGAGTCACTCTATGCTGGTGGCTTTGTCTCCAACTCAATGCTGGACAGATTAATCGAGACATCGCTCAACATTCACATGCACATCGAGTCATTGTTCCAGTCCCGAGTTTACATTCATTGATTGTGAGGCGAACACACTGAACGAGGATCAATTTGAATTAATACATGTATTATACTATACTACAGCAATGTTCTTTGTGGTTGTGTTGTTGTTGTTGGTTGGTGTTGTTGTGCTCTTGATTGGTAGTGCTGGCTGAGGCTTCAGTGTTGGGGCAGCAACGGGCGCACCAACAGCTAGACTGGGTGGAGTGAGTGTCTTGCCGTTGGTGTGATTGGTCGCCGCCACTGCTGTCGACGTCGTTGGAGTGCCACCCTGTTGTTTGTTGTTATGATACTGCTCTATATAGGGGAAGGGGTCATCTGAGAAAATGGCAGTGTCGAAGCAATCATAGATGAATCGTCGAGCGCCTAGACGGAAGCGGTAGTGATCCATGATGGCCAGGATGACACTGAGCATCTCTCCCGAGGCAAAGTATTCTGGCGACTTGACCTTGAGTCGTTTAAGGTTCTTTGACGCTGTCTCTGCAGTGATGTGGCTGGCAAGATTGATAACATAGCCAATGATCTCTTGTTTGAGTGGATCGCTAAAGGTTGGCATGTCGAATGGTGTGTTGGCCCATGATCCCTTATACTCGTAGGGTGCCACCTTGAGGAATGTGCTCTTATTCAAGTCCTTGGGCACTGAGATCCTGTTCGACAGGTCCGTTGGTGACTCCCAGCCATGCTTCTCCAAGATCTCAGCAGCAGCCTCGATCGAAGAGATCATACCGAGAGCGTAGAAGCATGTACCACGCAGTGAGAGACAGGGCGACTTCTCGGCCAGCTCCACCAGCAACGGTACCACGTTGAACTCCACGAGGAATTGGAAGCCAGGTTGTGATGAGCACACTTGACCAATCGCAAAGATGGCCGCACGTCGCTCGAGGGGATGGGCCAGCTCGTCCTTGGCCATCTTGACAAACTTGGCAAAGTTGTTTGAACGTCTGAGGATGAAGCAGCCCTCCTCGGTCTTGGCCAGCTCACCAAAGAAGTGTGGCGGCAGGTAGACGCAGTTGTTGCCCTGGTCTGCCTCGCGCTGTCTATAGATCAGTGGCGTCAATGCCTCTGATATAGCATTCTCCACAGAGATGACGTAGTTAGCGTTCTCGCTGGCCAGCCACAACTGCTGCTCTTGATCCACAAAGTTGATCTCCTTCAAGTAGTTCAGTCCGTTCGTTCTCGAGAGGAAGCGAAGCAGCAGACTCTTGCCTGGCTTGCCTAGCTTGAGCAAGGGTGGCTTCAGCTTGATGAGTGTGTCGAAGCAGTCTGGGTCGTCGCAAGCCTCGTCCAGTACGTTGAGTGCCAGGATCGACACCTTGGAGTCGTTGTCATTGAGTTGCTGTACGAGATACTCGATGCCCCAGTGACAAAAGTCTTGCACACCCGCACGGAACAAGAATCGCATGTACTTGGTTGCCAGATAGCGCACCACCACCTTGGAGTTGGAAGACGTGAGTGTCCGCTGCAGGATGAGTCGCGAGTCGCCGCACAGGTTGTAGTCGAGTGAGGTGATGATGGCATGCGACAGGTCATCACGACCAGATAGCTCGGCCAGTGGCCTGAGGTAGTCAAAGATGTGATGGCGGTTGACAATGTTCAGTCCATTGGGCTGTGATGACAACGTGCCAAGCATTGTAAAGTACTCGCGTGCCATGGTCTTGAGCACCTTCTCCTGTGAGAGCAGACGTGGTGCACCCTTGTCGTGCGTCTTGGGCGGGGACGAAGGCGATTGATTGAGCTCCATCTCCAGTCGCAGCATATCGGCGATCTGCACGATAGTCTTGTTGTCCTTGAGGAACTCGTTGCCGCACTCATGCGAGATGAGCACCTCGAGCAGGACACATGCCACACGCACATACTTGAGGTTTTCGGGCGTCCACGCCATTGACGTGAAGCTCTTGTTGCTTGGACGCAGGAATGAGAGCACACGCTTGATGAACTTTGTCTTGAGGACGTTGGCCATGTGCACAGAGTTCTTGAGTGGGCCCTCGAGGATCTCGAGTATGAGCTCCCAGTTCCATTTGAGGAAGTCTTTGGTGACTAACACCTGGGTGTCCTTGATCTTGGCCTGGAAGTGCATGTCGTCCATCTGATAGTCCATGCGCACCTTGATCGCGTCCACCTTGTCCAGACGGCGGTCCTGACCACGCACACGGCGCCACTTGTCCGCTCCTGTCAGGCCGATCAACACGGACTGGTCCACCGAGTTGCTCGAAGCCTTGATATGTGAGTATGAGTGCAGGTTGGTGACCATGGTGCTGGAACGCGATCGCAGACGCGGGTCCAGTCGGAATGAGATGGCCGAGTTTACAATGGCCGGCAGCGTCTGAAGCTTGGCACACTGCGACGAAGGCAGTAGCGAGTTGGAAATGTACAGTAGTTCGCCGAGGAGCACGGTGGCTTTGGTGGCCACACTCTTGCTCAGCTCCTTGTCGAGGTCCATCAGGCCGTCCTTGTTTGAGGCCGATGTCAAGTTGCCCAAATGGGCCAGACCCTCGATCAGGCCGCAATCAATAAACGATATCAGCAACACGGCGATATAGTTGTTGAGTAGATTGTGTCGAGAGGACTTGACTCGTAGCGGCAAGTCAATGAGTGAGTCTGGTCCAAGCACCAAGCTCTGTGATGCCTTCTGTTGTCTGAATGGATCGCCACTCTTGGGTGGTCCAAACTTGAATATATCAAACAGTGCATCCAATATCTTGTCCTGTTTTTGGTATTGATGATGGTTAGTCATTCATTCATTCAATCAATAGGCCCAATCGATCAATCATACATTCAACTCCAATTGAGGCATTTTCAATGCGTCCACGATGGACTTGAGGCCTTGTTCATCGGATGCAAGACTGATGATACCAATCCAACTCTTGAGCAGTGTGATGACCGCCTTGATGCTGCCAGTCCACTTCTTCATGTTCAACTCATCGTCCTTTTCCTTCTCCTTCTCCTTCTCCTTGCTCAATCCTTTGATCTTGATGCCCAGCGTCAAAGAGTTGGTCAAAGGTGACAATATAATCTGTTGTTGTTTGGTTCGAGTAAGTGAGTAAGTGAGTGAGTACTATGATCACGTTGATCCAGACGCGTCCATGAACATACCTCAAGGTCTGATGTAGGTCGCACAAAGACACGTGTCCTCTCTTCGTTGAGGATGTAGAGGATGGCGATGAGGAGTGACTCTTGTGTGCCGTGATAGAAGGGGTCCAGGACGGCGTCAAAGAGCATGCGGATGCCGTTGGACTGGGCAGTGGTCTGCGGGTTGCGAATGGCCACCTCGCACAGAGTCTCGAGACACACGCGACAGAAGTTGTCCTCTTGGTTCTCTGCGATGGCCACCAACGTCTTGACGATGCATGGTGGCATCTGTGAGCAATCGATCTCCATTATCGTCCTAATGAGCTTCAGTGCCTGAATGCGTTCGGCTTCACTATGCTTGTCGCGTTCCAATGATCTTGTGATGAAGTAATGTATCTTTAAGTTGACGATCTCCTGGATGAACTTTGATGTCGTTGCATAATATCTGATCACTCTAAGTGCTGATGTTCGCATTGTCTTTGGAGGTGATGCCAAGAATACCCTCACGCTATATAACATTCATGAACATGATTGTTAGCAACTAACAATCTGATTGATTGATTGATTGAATGATTGATTGATACACATACCTTTTGAGGAACTGAGCGATGGGGATTAGCTTTGAGAGATCGGTCACATATTTCTTAAGATCGACCAATCGATTTAGATGATCAAGTTTCACTTTGAAGCTCAATGACCGATCATCCAAGTGTGACAAGCTTGATAGTATCTGTTTCTTTGTGTCTGCATCTGTATCCATGATTTACCTGTCTATTCTTATTCAAGCATCATTCACAAGTAAGTTAGGAGATTGTACTTTGTTCAAACCTGAGAACCATTCACTATATCATACCAAACTTCAGGTTAACCTCTCTAAATGACTCAAGTCAATCACTTGTGAGATGGAGTTGGTGAGTGATAAAGTGAACAAAGTATGAGATTGAACGATTGGTTGATTTGTATGCCACTCTCTATCTTGATTGAATAAGACCTGATAAGTAGAAGATTGGTTTGTAGGTAACAAGTATACCTTCAATGTATACAAGTATTCTATGATTGATTGTTCAGTTGTTGAGTTGATCACAAGTGAATGAATAATGAATGATTGATGAAGCCACCCCCTTTTGAACCTTAATTGCTTGCTTTACACCCTATCCCCCACAAGTCAAAAAACACAAGACCTAAATGAAGCAACTTGGATGTTGATTGATTGAATCAAATAAGTTTATTTATTTACATTGATTATCTCTATTCCTTAGAGTTCAACTAAGGGTACTCTTATTGATAGTACATAGTGAATTCCAAGTTGGTACCATTTACACTTAGGTTGACAGTGTTGGCACTCATTGTGCGTTGGAAATAGTTGATCTCTGAGATCACCTTGATAGCTCCATCACTAGGTGGTATGACAAAGTTGTTGCCAAAGATCTCGTTTGGTAAGGTTGTAGTGTATCCAGGTAGGAATCGCAATTGAAGTTTGGTCTTATCCTTCAACAAAACACATGTCTCACCTGCTACACTGCCATATAATTGATGTTGTTTCTTATTATAAAGTGAATATCTTGCCATCTCTGATTGTACTCCATCCGGACATCTAACAGCCACTGTTAATGATATTGATATAACTGATATCACTATAAATATTAATATTAAATTATTATTTTTCATTTTAATCTTATTATAATTATTATTATTATTATTATTTTGATGTGATTAGTTATCTCTATATCTATAACAAATTTATTATTAAGTTATGGATACCACCCAATAATTATAATCACTAACATTCAAGAGGCATCATCAACCAAAGTGTTGGCAACACTGTCATCAGTCACACACCACCAATCAATCAAGAACAAACACACATTCACACACCACTCTCACCAATCAAACACACATTTTGATCAATCGCTAAAACTAGACACTTGTGTTTCAATCCATTATGAACTTCAACCAATCAATCAATCAGATAATAACAAGACAGGACAGAACAAACACATGATGGATACACTACCATTCACAGTACTTAGATTGATTGTTGATTGTTTGGATGATAATGCAGATCGTTTGATAATGTCATTGGTGTGCAAGAGATTGTTTGATCAAAGACAATCATACCTCAGTTTTAATCTTGATCGCTTGCCACCACGTGATTACTACAACGAGGACAATGTGACACTAAACTCATACAAACAGATAATCAACAATAACATTGATTGCAAGTCACAATCAGTATTGGTATACACCGACGACGATGGTGTGATTGACATGGACTATGACTGCGGCTATTATATTGGTATGTTGTACATACCTTCACTCCACCTCCACCACTCTACTCGATCTAACATGTGATGATTGATCAATCAATCAATCAATCAGATAGTGCACTGAGCGACAATGAGTCATGGAAACAAGAGGTGTTGGGATTGGTGATGGTTGATCATATTCACTTTAGAGATTGTAAGGATAATGCATTTGATGAGACATTCTGGAATGGTGTGATTGGTCTGTTGGACACTCTTCGTGCGCGATATCCAAGCATTATCATTACCGCAAGCTTGACTTACATGACACAATCAATGAGGGATGTACCATTGACTGAGTTGTCAGTGGAGGAAGACCAGCCTGGCGACATCAACATCATTCAAACATACCAATACCCGCCAACATTGACCAAACTCATGATCTCCAGACTCTACTGGGTCGATCCCCGCCTCGACCTGACTGGCCTGACTTCGCTCAAGATACTGCAACTTCCTAGCTTGGCTGGCAAGCCACTGGACGGTTCGAAACTGCCCTCATCACTCACCGATCTCACACTGACCTATACATTCAATCAAACCGTATCCAACTTACCACCGAGTGTCACCAATCTTAGGGTACTTTGCGTATCCAACTCGCACCCAATCAACCATCACCCAACACTACGCACATTGCAACGAGGCAAGACATTCAACATGGTCTTCTCATCACCATCATTGCCATTCACTCTGCTCACAACTCTCAGACTTGGCACCATCGAAATCAATGACTTCAAGTCCATCGATTGGACACTGATGCCCATGCTCACGACGTTGAGCATGTATTTGACGACATCAGATACCACCACACTGATCAATCTATCTGCGTTGCCATCGTCCATCAAGCGCATGGAGGTCACTCCATGTGCACCAATCGAATCTTTCCCCGATGGTCTAGAGTACCTACACATCTCATTCGATCGTTGTAGCTTCAAGTTAGTCAGCACGATGTGGCCAGGCGGTATCCAAGCATCACATATCCACACACTTAGCACATACTACTACATCCACCCTTTGTGCCGGGCGGACTTGCCGGCGTCCATCACAACCTTGAAGTTGTTTGGCAGCAAATGTTTGAATTTGGACCCAACAGAATACCCGCCATTGTTACGAAAGGTGGAAGGCACAGGCAGACACTCTGGACACCTACTACAAACATTGTCCGCGAGTCCCATCCAACAGATGGAGCTATGCATGGATAATGGAGAGGGTGTTGCCCTGCGACGAATATCCTCAAACATATTCATGCGAATAGATGAAAGATTGGTGCGATCTGGATTCATCCACATTGACCGACTCCAAACACTTTATGCCGAAGACAGGATGATGTGATCAAGTATCTTATGGACCAATCAAGTTAAGTGACATAATAAATATGTGTAATGTTGCAAAGTCAGTTTCCAGTGGTGTGATGGATAGAGACAACATAATGATTGATTGATTGACTGGATTTAGCATCGATCACTGTCGTTTGTTTTGCTCGTGCAGAATTCTGCTTTGAAGAACACCCTCCTCTGCCATTGGATGGCTTAAGGAAGTTGTCATTTTATTCTGGATTCTCAAGACTGATTGACAAAGATATTCTAAAGAAATTGCCAACAACAATTCTTCATCTAAAGCTCACAATCGATAGCTCCGAAGATTTATTCAATCTCAGGAAGAATATCACCAACTTTGTTCTTCATCTATGATAGGAAGCTTGTTCGCTCTGGCTTCATCAACCTTTCCACTCTCATATCAATGACCAAAGAATATTATTAGATCTTGGTAGCCCTCGCCCTCTCATTATTAAGTCTGGTCTCCACATTTCACATTCATTCTTTCATGCATTCATTTTTATTCATACAGATACATATATAAATAAATAAATAGAGATAATACTTAGACAAGTTGTTGAATACTTACCTCGCAATACAGATCGATTGATGGTGTCATTGGTGTGCAAGAGATGGTTTGAACATCGACACTCATACTTACACTTCATCACCAGCGCTCCAAGTCATATGTACGAATATGATGTTAACCATATTAGATTGGGATCGTACAAACATATAATCGACAATGATATCAAGAACAAGCCTTTTGATATTTATATGCATACAACAGATCACAGAGATTGTCTAGAAACTGATCTATGCTTTTACGTTGGAAATGTGGATGATTATTATCGAGGGGATGTTGATATATCAGTCAGACGTCACCTTTGGATGAGTGAGGTGTTGAAGATTCCTCGCATACAGTCCATTGCCTTCCTCGACTATAATACGAACGAGTTGGATCAGGAGTTCTGGGACCGCACTGTTGAATTCTTTGAGGCACTACGCGAGAAATTCGACGACTCCACTCCAGAGGTGTTCTACTCACAAGGGTCGTTCCCTGCATTGCAATTGCAACGTATTCCAATCAATGAGCTTGACATCTACAACGCAAACCACAGAGACTTGGATTATAATTACAACTTGGACCAAGATAAGTTGCCGTCAACCTTGGTCGGTTTGAACCTGTCCAACTATCCAGGTCACGACATTGACTTGAGTCATCTTCGATTGCTCAAGACACTTAACTACGATAACTATCTACAGGATGGACAAACTTTGAATCGACCTGCGCTGCCTCCCTCACTCACTAGGCTCACGATTAACTCGAAAGCTGTCCCTGAACTTGTCACACTTCCTCCAAGTGTCACTGAACTGAGTGTGACTATCATCGTAGGGGAGTTCAAACTCATTAATGTCACTCATCAACACTTGTGCAAACTAAAGTTGTGCTCGCTCTCCATAGTCAACAATCAACCTTTTCCTAATCTTAGAGAACTAGATCTTGAATCAATCAATGCCATGTCTATATCACGCATCTCAAACTCCAACTTTCCTTCACTCAAACACTTGAAGATGGGGTTGAGGAAGGATTCCAGAACACTACCAATCGACTTATCATCAATACCTACATCACTCACTCGACTAGACATCAGTAGTCATCGCCCAATTCAATCACTCCCTCAAATGATTGAGTGGCTCCGAATCAAGTACAATAATGATATTACAGATAATAATAGAAATATTCATTTATCAATGATTGTTTGGCCCTCATTGATCAGAACACTCAAACTGGAAGGTTATAGTTACCCTTTGGAATTAGGTGATATACCATCTTCAGTCACAGCATTGGAGATACTCGATCACAGAGGTCGATTTGATCACAATATATTACTACCAAACATTAGGAAGTTGGCAATTACTTTCAATCAGACCGATCATTATGTTGACCTAATTGGACATCTTCCTCTGACCATTCAACAACTCAAACTGAAGCCGCAATCATCTATAATCAAATACTACGATCTCAATCTTCTTAGAATATCATCAACATTATTCTTCAAGACCAATAGATATTACTTTTATGAATCATCCTTTGTTAATCTATCCAAGTATATATAAACATGTCCAACCCTTACGCTTACCCTACACTTACCCTATCAAACATGCCCTCACACACTTACCCTAGCACACTTACCTTGGCTCATTCACAACCGTGGAATATTTGTGATGGTCACCACAATCAAACATATAATATAGTAGAGATAATGGATACACTACCTATAACAATACTTAGAAAGATTTTAGATAGTTTAGATCGTAATGCAGATCGTTTGGATTGCCTGACGTCTTTAATAGCATCAAGGATACATTTCAACAATTACCAACGACAATCAATCATCTGATCATCAATAATGTATACAATCTCAGAAGGATATCACCAACCCTATTCCTGCTCACTGATAACAATTTGGTGCGCTCATGTTTCATCGACCCGCCAACACTCCAATCATACATCCAGCGGATCACAAATGCCCAAACACTCAATCATTCAATCATTTTCACAATCACAATTAATTGTACAGATAAAAGATAGGGATAATGAGATAATGGATACACTTCCAGTTATAGTATTGAGACAGATTGTAGAGTACTTGCCGAGTAATGCAGATCGATTGATCATGTCGTTGGTGTGCAAGAGATGGTTTGATCAGAGACAATCATACTTGCACTTCTACACTGATCGCATGAATCTCAACAAGACCGGCATCATCAACTTTAACAAAACAGTGACATTGAACTCTTACAAACAGATAATCAACCAAGACATCATCAATGCACCATTAACTATACTATTATACACTGATCCACATCAATATATCAATTGGGATACATCTAATCGTTGTATCTTATTAAGTAAGTTGATTGAATGATGATTGATTCAATGAACAATTGATTGAATGAAGGACCTTGTCTTGCTTGATTGCTCACAACATAGATGGAGACACATGGAAGCAAGAAGTGTTGGCAATGAGATGGATCAAGAAGATCACCTTTTGTGATTGCCCCGCAAAGCCCATGGACAAGGAGTTCTGGGATGGTACCACAGAGTTCTTTGAAGCTCTGATCGCACGTGATGGACACCTCCCAAAGATTCAGTTCAATCAAAGAACTCGCGCGTTGCCACAGCAGCATGTACATCTCGATGCACTAGCCATCTCAATCTATGGAGACTCCAATGACGATGGTGGAACCTTCAACATTGACGCGCTCCCGCCAACCTTGACCAGCCTAAGGTTCAACTCCTACTTCTGGTTCGTTCCACATTTTGACTTGACACACCTTGGGTCACTCAAGTCTCTCTACCTCTTGCATGACATTCAGAGAAAGCAGTTTGATTCGTCCAACCTCCCGCCCTCCCTCACCAAGCTTGGGATTGAGCTACCGTCCATGGAAAACGCGCCCTTGGTCAAGCTTCCTCCAGGCATCACTAACCTCTCATTGCAACACAATTACCCATTGCAAGGAGGCCACTATCTATCCAAGCTCGAACTGCCCGCTCATTACTTGAGAGTGCTCAAGTTTGGGGACATGGACGGTAGCACCCTGCTCCGCATCACATCATCCAACTTCCCAGTTCTAGAGCATCTAATATTTGAGTACAAGCTATTCAACGAGATACCGATGGACTTGTCATCACTGCCATCGTCACTCCAAAGATTGAATGTGTCGACATATCGACCCATTGCATCGCTACCAAGTAGCATTGAATGGCTGAGCATCCAATTCGAATGTAAGTTCCAACTGTCCGACATGGTATGGCCTAGTCCCTCACGAATCAGAACATTACATCTGGCAGCTTATGGGCATGAGCTGAAGGAGGGTGACATACCAACGTCGATCACCAGTTTGAAGCTCAAGAGATACAACAAACCAGTACATCCAAGTGCATTGTTCAATGGTATACAGAAGCTAGCATGGTATGGAGGATGCTTCAATCATATCAATGATATATTACATCATCTACCAACAACAATATATCGATTAACACTTGGATACATGTTTAACTTGCGAAGAATATCATCAACTCTATTCCTTCATATCAAAGATATACTGGAACACTCTGGATTCATTGATCTGACTGCAATCCAATCATATCTAGCATCAAGGAATAAATAGCAAATGGTCAAACCCTAACCCTACCCTTGCCCTCGCACTTGCCCTTGCCCTTGCCCTTGCCCTCACACACTTACTCTCGCACTCTTCAAAGATTCATTCATTTGACCAGATGAGAATACATGAACAGATAATATAGAGATAAGAGATAATGGATACATTGCCATTGACTATACTTAGACAGATTGTAGAGTGTTTGGATTGCAATGCTGATCGATTGATGTTATCACTGTCTTGCAAGAGATTGTTTGAACAGAGACACTCATACTTGCACTTCTACATCTATGGCATGCCACTCTATCACAACTATAACATCGATAAAGTTACATTGAACTCTTACAAACAGATAATCGACCAAGTCATAAACAACAAGCCAATGACTGTATTCATATACACCAACGAGATGAATGAGTGGAGTAAATCAGCAGATCGTCGTATCTTAATTGGTATGTGTAATGTGGCGGACGACTCATCTCACGCATAGTTACTTACTTAGTGATCTTGAGCAGCGGGTGACAAGCGCTATAGTGATGAGTGGAAGAATGAAGTGCTGGCAATGCCCTCCATTGAATGCATTACCTTTTCAGAATGCGAGTTGTGTCCATTGGATGAGAAGTTCTGGGAGGGCACAGTTGACTTCTTCAAGGCACTACGCGATCGCTACCAAGATGGATCCATTCCAGAGATTAAGTTCAATCAAACATCCAAACCATTACAACTACATAACATACCAATCACGGATATCGACATATCAGTTGACTTTAACAGCAATGACGATGATGAGTTGGGAGGTATAATCCGACCAGGCATGTTCCCCTCGACTTTGACCAAACTCTGCTTGTACAACAATCATATCTTTGAGCCTCGCATCGACCTTACCTACCTTCGATCACTCAAGACTCTATACTTCTCCAACAGGGAAGACCAGCCTTTGGATGGGACAGAGCTGCCAGCTTCATTGACCGAGCTGGAGCTTGAATCACGCCTCGGCCATATCAATCTCAACTTGCCACCAAGCATCACTGACTTGGCCGTGTACGGTGCCATCAGGTATCGAATGGATATCCGCAATCCTCAAACAATACGATCAATAAGCTGTTACTCTGCATCCAACATCTCCATCAAGGACTACACCAATCTGAGGGAGATCTCATTCCTATCAACCAATGATGGTGAACTTTCGCAACTCACATCGGAGAACCTTCCATTATTGGAATGTATGTACCTTGGATTCAAAGAGGTGACAATGGTACCGATCAATCTCTCTGGGCTGCCTGCGTCACTCAAGCGACTCTGCATCAAGACCCAGCGACGGCCAATCGCTTCGCTACCCAGTGGAATTGAATGGCTCAGAATACATTTCGATTGGTTCATGGAGGATGTCAAACTGGCGGGCATAGTATGGCCGAGTCCATCACTGATCAGAACTCTAAAGTTGGAATCATACTATTATGAGTTGACACCCGATGATATTCCATCATCGGTGACCTGTTTGAAGCTACTCTCACACAAGAAGCAAGTGAGACATACTGCACTGTCGCCAAACATTAGGAAGTTGTTGTGGTATGGAGGTAGCAGAGAGCATACAATCGAGCTGATACAACATCTACCAATGACAATTCAACGATTTGACATACAAGTTGGTTCAGAACTGTTCAATCTCCGTCGTATCGACTCAACACTATTCATACAGATCGAAGACGTCCTTTTACGCTCTGGCTTTATCGACCTGGCAACACTCGAATCACTTCTGGCATCAATCAAAGAACGATCGTCAAGTGACTTGTGATCGACCAATCAGATCATATATTTATAACTTTGGCGCAACAATGATCCATGGATCATTCAATCATTTCACCAACAGATAGATACAGATAGAGATAAGATAAATACAGGATGGATACACTTCCACTTACAGTATTGAGATATATAGTTGAGTGTCTTGATGATAATGCTGATCGATTGATGATGTCATTGGTGTGTAAGCGATTGTTTGATCAGAGACATTCATTCTTGCACTTCATCACTGATCACTTGCGTCTCTATCACAACTATAGCATCGATAAAGTTACATTGAACTCTTACAAACAGATTATCAACAATGACACCAACAACATACCAAAGACAATCTATATCTATTCACACGAGGAATGTAATAGGAGTAATGCAACAGATCATCAAATATACATTGGTATGTGCCCTTGAAGATTGATTGATGATGTTAGGGAAGTGACTCACTTACATACTTATCTTGAACAGGTAGGATGCGCTACAGTGATGAATGGAAGATTGAGGTGCAGGCAATACCTTGGATAAAGAGCATTACATTCTCAGACTGCGAGTTGTGTCCACTGCATCAGGAGTTCTGGGATAGCACTGTTGACTTCTTAAAGGCACTGCGTAATATAGATGGGTCATCCATCCCAGAGATTAAGTTCGACCAATCAACAAGACCACTACATCTATACGACATACCATTGACCGAACTTAACATTTGGGTTGATTACAATTATGATCAGTCACCACCTGTGATCCTACCCGAGATGCTCCCATCGACATTGACCATACTCAACCTATATAGCTGCTTTGTATTCGAACCACGCCTCGACCTGACCTACCTTCGATCACTCAAGTACCTCTACATGAGCAATAGCAACAAAGAGCAACCATTGAAGGGGCCAGAGCTTCCACCGTCCCTCACCGCACTAGAGTTCAGATCAAGCCTCAGCGAGATCAATCTCAACCTCTCACCAAGCGTCACTTCACTGGTCATAGATGATATCGATGCCGAGGCTCGCATCATTGTCGGCAATCCTCAATCATTGATATCACTTAGCACTTACTCGTCGTCCAACATATCAATCAAAGATTACACCAGTCTCAGAGAGATCACTCTAAACTACATTGAAGACGATGACGCACTGGCACACTTCACTTCAGACTACCTTCCATGCTTGTATATGTTGTCCATTGGATTCAAGAATGGTATGCAACCAATCAATCTCTTGTCTCTACCCGCATCACTTCGGAAACTAGCCATCAAGACTCAGCGGCCAATCGATTCCCTGCCAAGTGGCATTGAGTGGCTGCGAATCACCTTCACTGCAGTGTTTCTCAATCCGGTGCAAGTTATGTCTAGCATTGGATGGCCGAAGCCATCACTGATCAGAACTCTAAAGTTGGAATCATACTATTATGAGTTGAAGGATGGCGATATTCCTTCATCGGTGACCTGTTTGAAGCTCTACCAGCAGAGGCAGCCAGTGAGTCATACATCATTGCCTCCAAGCATCAGGAAGTTGCTCTGGTACGAAGGTACCAAACAACACTACCTCCAATTCATTCAACAACTTCAATCACTATTGACTGTTCAACGACTTCAACTACTTGTTGGTGGCAAACTGTTCGTTCTCCGTCGTATCAGCGCAACATTATTCTTCCATTATGATAATTTCCTGATACGCTCTGGCTTCATTGACCTGGACACACTCCAATCACATATTCTATCCATAAAGTAAAGTGATCACTGAACATGATCCAGATGAACTTCAAGGTGTGGGGATGGGTGATCATGTGATCGTAGTGTGGTCATGTGATCGAACAGTCAATCAATTATTCATTCAATCAAGTTTAATACAGATAAAGATAAGATGGAATCACTTCCACCAACTGTACTTAGATATATATTAGACTATCTAGATGATATTGATGATCGATTTGTAGTGTCATTGGTTTGCAAGCAATTGTTTGATGCTCGCAACACATACCTCAACTTGATAAGTGCTGGCCAACCAGTCTTCCCTTACAACAGCACCAAAGACAGTGATATTACACTACGTTCCTACAAACAGATCATACACCAACATATTAATATCCACTGGCATCATTAAACAACATATTGGAAGTTATGATCGATTTATCCAAGTTGGTAAGTTTATATGATTGATTGATTGATTGATTGATTGACGATCATTAAGGTCCACTCACTCACACTCAAATGGATAACTAGAAAGGAATGATGAAGGTTGGAAACAGAAGTTGATGGACGAAAAGAATATCAAGCGAGTGGTGTTTAGAGATTGCATTGATTATCTGATGGATCAGGAGTTCTGGGATGGTACCGCTCACTTGTTTGATACATTGCGAGCGAGACATGACGCTCCACATCGGATAAACTTTGAGGCAACATACGATCTGCCATCACTCCGAAACGTCCCAATAACAAAGTTGACATTGGAGAATGAATATCGAGACTTGGAGATCGATATTGATCGCCTCCCTCCGACACTTACCGAACTCATCATCAATACATGTACACGCTTTATTCCGCTGATAGACTTGCGAGGCCTGACATTACTCAAGAAGTTGTCCATTTCAGACCTGGACGGACAGCCACTCGATGGCTCGAGGTTACCGCCCTCACTCACATGTCTCAGGCTTGACTCAAAGTTCAATCAAGAAGTGATCAACCTTCCGACAACCATCACTGACATGATCGTGTGGACCAGAGCCTATGAACTGGGTCCTAACAATCTGACAATAAGGAGACTGGAGTTGTATGACCCAAGTGTGGAGCGGAACACTGACGCACTGATCACACTGGACTTTCCAAAAATGCGCTCTCTATTGCTAGATACCGTTCCCCGGTCTGAGATCTACTCGCGTATAACATCGGACAACTTCCCAATATTGGAGACTTTGGATTTGGGACAGACAACGATGCTATTCAATCAATACAACCTGTCGACACTTCCATCATCACTCAAGACTTTGACCATCAGTGTTTGCCGACCAATATCATGGCTACCTTGTTATTTGGAGTCACTTACAATAACGTTTGAAGCACCAGACTTGACGATATCAAGTGTTAAATGGAGTCCATCTACACCAATGATCAAGACAATGCATTTGGTGTCGTATGGCCAGGTGTTGCTAAARGAGTGATGTGCCCGAGTCTGTGACCAGCTTGAGGATGACCAACTATCGTCATGTGTTGAACCCTGATGTGTTGGGACCATCCATTCAAACATTGGTCTGCCAAGGAAGATTCAACGTACAGACCAATACAAACAAAGAGAGCTTGAAGTATCTTATACAACATCTACCGATCAATCTACTAAGAATTGAACTACCAATTGGCACCAGACCATTCAACCTTCGAAGAATAACCTCAACCTTATTCCTACATATCCGTCGTAATCTCTTACTATCTGGCTTTATCACATTGGATCAACTACAATCATTGGCTGACAAGTAATAACCCTACCCTACCCTTGCCCTCGCCCTTGCCCTCGCATACACCCGCATACACATTTTGACTTCAAATGAAGATCATTAAACATGTTTGACATAGATAAGAGATAGAGAGATAGATGGAGACACTGCCATTGACTATTCTGAAACAGATTGTGGAGTATCTTGACAAAAAAATTTGGATAGATTGATAGTGTCATTGGTGTGCAAGAGATGGTTTAATCAGAGACAATCATACCTTCACTTTAATACGGAACTCTTTCCATCAATACCATTATACAACAAAGAGATAATATCATTACAATCTTATAAACAAATCATACAACATGATAAGACCAACAGCAAATCACATATCTTTGTTTATACTGATGAAGGTGATCTCTGGTCCAAAGACGACTTTGATCAAACTATTTTGATTGGTATGTTTTGTTTGTTGTTGTTGTTGTTGTTGAGTTAACTCATTCTAACAGTCATTCAACCAATCAATCTAGATGGTGATAAGAGATATGATAATGAATGGAAACAGATGTTATTGAATGTACATCGTATTGGGAGTATTACATTCAGAGATTGTGGTCGTTGCCGAATGGACCAAGCATTCTGGGATGGTACTATTGGCCTCCTCCAAGAACTGCGCAATAGGAATCATGAGATATTGATATTCTTTGATATCGTCAACAGGAACGATCAACTATCATTACAGCATACCCCAATAACATTCCTCTGTTCGTCCTGTGGGTTTGAGGAGCCGAACGTACCGGGCATCTTTAACATAAGTCAACTTCCAGCAACTTTGACCAACTTCACCATCTACAACAACGTCAAGTTCGAGCCGACCTTTGACTTGTCCAGATGTACATCACTCAAGAGCTTGTTTATCACAGGATTGAATGGAAAGCCTTTGGATGGTGCAGGATCACTCACCAAGCTCAACGTGGCGTTCACCTTTGACAAACCTATAATCAACCTTCCAACAAGCATCACAGACTTGACATGTCCCATCCACACAGCTCCAATGCTCTCCGTCCAACATCTACAGAGAATATACCTTAGAGACTTTCGTCATATGTTCAATCCATCATTTCCACATCTTCGAGTGCTCCTAATCGGAGAGATCGAAGCCGATGGCCTGTTGCTCATCACGCCGGACAACTTTCCAGTGCTGCAGGACTTCTCTACGAGTTTCAAGTCCACCAACGATAATAAGACTGGCTCATTCTTTGACCTAACCAAACTTCCACCGTCCTTGAGAGTGTTGGACATCACCACACAAACAGCACTGCCACTATTGCCCAATGGTATTGAGCGATTGTTTATCTCTTTCAGCATCTTGAGAGCAGGGGAGATCCCGCCAACAGTCACCCACTTGAAGCTCAATGGAAGCGACCTTCCTCAGTTGGATCCGACACTACTGCCACCATCACTGATCAGTTTGTATTGGAGAGCTCGTTCCAATCAAGATGTACTACATCTCTTACGTCAACTACCGACTACGATCAATCATCTTAGATTCCCAGCACATATTGACAACACTAAGTATACAGCATATGATCTGAGACGAATCAACTCCACTCTATTCCTCAACACCATCGAGGTTAGAGACAACTGTGATGGAACCAGAAATGATGGTAGGAGCGTATGACTTGTCCACACTTCCTCAAACTCTGCGAGAGCTTCACATCTCGACTACCCTACCGTTCCATTCCTGGCCAAGGAGCATAGAGAGCTTGATATCTGTTTCGAATCAAACAAGATCTTGTTGTCGAACATCTTGCGATGGCCTCACTCACGATCAAACATTCACACTTTGGCTCTTACTGCCTATAGCCATCCCTTCACAATTGGAGACATGCCAGGATCTGTTACCAGATTGATTATGTTTGGCCACCGCGATTCACCTGACCTAGGAATATTGAGTTCTTCCCTCACCCGATTTGAATGGAGCATTAGTGACCGTCAACAAGCGCTTGAAGTCATTCAACATCTTCCAGCTACCATCACTCGTATCAACTTCCCAGAAGTCAATATTGGACACATCAAAGGGCTCAACCTCGTTCGCATCACTTCAAGGATATATCTCATATATTATGATCGACATGGAGGAAACTTGTTCCATACTTCCTTCATCTACTTGCGCAGAAGAAGGACACTTCAATCACTTTTAGACTCCCTCGACCAAAGATTTTCATCATTCAATCAAACAATCAAAGAGATAAATGGATAGACTTCCACTCAATGTACTATCATTGATTGTTGTCTCGTTGACAATGTAGATCGATTGGTGTTTACACTGGTATGCAAACATGTAGTGGAGGTTTGGAATGTGCCTGCCACAGTGACTAGCTTGACCATCGGACGAGTAATATCAACGACATACACAACCACGTAAACACATTGGGATATTTGTAACTAACGTTACCTTTACCGTGGGATATCCCAGAGGACTACTTCAACAGATTCCTTTATCACAAGTCACGACCCAATGTCATTGGCACCAAAGAATACAACCTACACCGTATGACCGATACTTCATCATAAACGATTCGAAAAGAGTGGGCTCATCTCTACTTAGTAGAAAGTAACATATATCATGTTGGCACTGGTTCGATCGATTGGAATCAGAAATAAGAAAGATCAGGATTTGATCTTGATCAGTCTGATCATTCATTTTGATCACATGAGTTGATTATACAGAGATATATAATTATGGAGAGTATACCAATCATTATACTTAAACGTATAGTTGAATGTATTGATGATAATGCAGATCGATTCATTGTGTCATTGGTGTGTAAGAGATGGTTTGATCAGAGACAATCATATCTTAGCTTCATTGTCAACCCAAACAGTTTAATCAAGGCCACATCATCATCATCATCAACGAACTCATACAAACAGATAATCAATGATAACATTAATAATAAAGCACAGTCGATATATATCTATACCAACAGTATCGATTACAGCCATGAAGATCACGATCGCAGTTATTTGATCGGTAGGTACTATCCCACCCCCACACCCCACATCCCACACATGCCTCGCCCACTAACTCCAGATCACACACTTAGTTGATGAGTCGGGCAACTACATGAATGAGTGGAAACAGGATGTTCTGAGTGTTGTGAACATAAAGGTCATCACGTTTAGGGACTGCATTGGGTATCCGATGGACAAGGCATTTTGGGATGGTACCACTGACTTCTTCAAGTCGTTGCGAGCTCGTGATGGATGGTCACCGTCATCACCAAAGATATGCTTCGCAATGATGTCCAAGCCACAATTTGCATTCGGTAATGATATACCAATCACTACACTTGGACTGCAGTACGAAGAGTATTCACCAAACATGCAAGGCTCATTGTTTGACGGACCTGGAGTGATCGAAGAACCAGCCAGAGTGTCGATCGACACTCGCATGTTCCCAACATCCTTGGTCAATCTCAATGTTCACCGGGACTATCATTTCAAACCCAGGTTTGATCTGTCCTACCTGTCATCACTCAAACAGTTGTATATTAAGAACAATGACAACTTGGTCTTTGATCCGTCCACGCTGCCTTTATCACTCACACGAATTCAAATTGGTTATGGAGCTGATCAGGATCTGACCAACGTTCCAGCTAACGTTATTGATGTTGCCGTATACTCCCCGTTATATCCATACCCCATCCAACAACAACATATTCAACACTTGACCATCAGCTCACTTAGATATAGCCTGCCGGCCCAACGTCCATTCATGAATCTTCGCCATCTCTACACCCAATCAATAGATAATGAAGAGCTGATCAACATTACATCCGAGTCATTCCCCATGCTAGAGACGCTGGTCACTGCCCTGGGTAATCAATATACAGAAACAACTCTGTTTGACCTGTCCAAACTGCCTTCATCGTTAAACAGATTGGAGATTTCGCCGCATAGACCAATCAAATCACTTCCAAGTGGAGTAGTTGATCTTCATATTGTATTCAATCAATGTGAAACAGACTTTGAACTATCCAACATATGGTCCAACTCACCACTCATCAACAATCTAACATTGGACACGTACAGACTTGAATTGAAAGTTGGTGATATACCATCATCAGTGACCAAACTCAAACTATTGGATTATGGCAAATCATTGGACATTGCCAATGTGTTGCCTGGTACATTGAGGTCATTGACTTGGATTGGTGGCACTGATCATGATATTAGATACTTCCTCCAACACTTGCCAACAAACATCGTCCGTTTGGATATTAAAATTGGTGAAGAAAAATTCAATCTCAGTCGCCTATCAGATACATTATTCCTACAACTGGACTATGACTTGCGCTATGGATTGATCACCATTGATAAGTTACAGTCACTATAGTTGAACAATAAATATTTTGATCATATATCTTGATCGTATATCTTGATCGATCAGTTCACAAAAGTTAAAACATAGAGATACAGATACAGATAAATGGATACACTTCCACATATTATATTGAGACAGATTGTTGATTGTCTCAATGACAATGTGGATAGAGTAATCATGTCATTGTTGTGTAAACGAATGTTTGATCAACGTCACTCATACCTACACTTTAGCTATCATCATTTGAGACCAAAGCCAAATTCAAAAGCACTGCAGTCCAAGGTATACGACATATCGATGAACTCATACAAACAGTTGATCAATGAGTCGATTGCCAATAAAAGAGAGATATTCATTGTACACTCAAGTGATAATGACCCTGATCATTGAACATACATACTATATATGTGAGTACTTTATCACCTAGGCATCACTCCAATCACTCAGTCACTAACATCAATCGATCATATAGCCTGCGATAAAGACGAATGGAAGAGCAAGATACTGATCATACCTCACGTCAAACATATAAGCTTCAATGAAAGTATGAAGCATCATTTGGACCAGACATTCTGGGATAATACAAAGGATTTCTTCAACTCATTAAAGGAGCGAGGAGAACCAATCAATATAACATTCAAACAATATTCAAGGCCAACTATGTATCAACAATATCAACATGTTGAAATACGTCATTACCTTCCCTCACCTACTTAATCTCAGGCTTTACTTGCTCAATGTAACTTCACTTCCAGCCATCACAAAAGCCAACTTCCCCAAGTTGAACACTTTGGACGTGTATGAGTTTGTGAGTGGTTCGGATTCCATTGACCTGTCCACACTACCTGCATCACTCATGACTTTGGATCTTTCAAAACCATCGATCCCAAGTGGATCGACTATCATACTTCCAAGAAGTGTTGAATCTCTGACCATCACAACCAATATAACTGATTTATCAAGAATTACATGGCCACCATGTATCAAAACACTCAATCTATCTGGCTATGACAAACTCCTCCAGCCTGGCGACCTCCCATCATCCCTGACAAAATTATCATTGACAGGATACAAACAACAATTGATTCCAGATGATATCAACAAGAAAATAATGCCACAGAATATTAGTATTCTAAATTGGTATGGTGGACTCAATCATCATGTCAAGGAACTATTCCAACAAATACCTGAATCAATCAAACAAATGAGGATAAGTTATTCAAAAGGATTTCTCAATCTCTGGCGTATAACTCCAACAATATTCCTACGATTATATAATGATGACATCTTGGGACGATCTGGATTCATCCAACTCCACAACATTCAATCATACTTTGACAAGATCTAAAATTAATAATAAAGATAAATATATATATTAAACAATCAAGAGTTGGATTTTATTTGGTTGGCGCACTAAGAGGTAAGGCAAGAAGTGATTGAAGTTGGTCAATATGGATGAAACCAGAGTTTATCAATGTGACCAATCTAAAGAATATAGTTGGAGTGATACGTCTGAGATTGTATATACCAGTCTGTACTTGAAGTTCCAAGTGAATGACGTTGGTCAAATGAATGAGTACTGGCTGGATCAGCTGTAATGAACATCCACCTTGCCATTTAAGATGTCTGAGTGATGCTGGCATCACAGTTGGATCAAGTGCTCTTGGTGGATCATATTTTGGGAATGTCAAACTAGTCAAAGCTGGAGGTAAGTCCCCAGCCTCCAATGGGTACTTATAACGATTGAGTATGAGTGTTTTGATTCGTGGTGATTGTGTCCACAGACCAATTGACAACTTAATGCTGATGGCATAGATGAGTGACATTTCGAGATGCTCGAGACCACTTGGAAAGGAGGTGATGCGTGCATCCTCATCAGGGCTAATGTTCAGTCTCTTGAGTGACGTTGGCAATGTGGACAGGTCGTACGACCCAATCTCCATCGAACCAATCAGCAGATTCTCCAAAACTGGGAATGCAGTAGATGTTATAAATTGAATAGAGATGATATTGATCGTCTCAAGCTCCAGTTTTTGAAGATGAGTATGTTGATAAGTGTTCTCGATGGGCATCGATGGTGTGTTGTACATTCTCAAAGGTTGGTGATTGATGTTGAAGGGATAGGAAGACGAACCAACGGCCAGGTCTGTTAGGCTTGGTGGTAGGTTGACCAGGGGCTGAACCACCTCGTATCCAATCTCCAGACTTGTGAGTGAGGGGGGTAATCTTGATCCATCCAATGTCTCATCGGCAAAGTTACCAATGTATAGTGTGCGCAATGATGGCAGGCCTGACAGGTCAAAGCCAGGATCAATCCTAAAGCTGTTTATAATGTTCAACTTGGTGAGTGTAACCGGGTACAGGTTTGAATGGACTGGGCCGTGCATCAACTCAACTCCATCGAATATCATATCAATATCATTGATTGGAACACTATTGAGATTGAGTGAAACTGCCATGTTTCCAGTCTTATGGAAGCGTAATGTCGGCAAAAGGTTGAGTGTCTTCAGTTCATCAAAGAAGTCTGACATTCCATCCCAGAATATCTGGTCCATTGGATGTTCCCTACAATCACCAAACACTAGAGTCCTGACCCTATTCGTACTTGTGATCAACTCCAACAACTCTTGCCTCCACTCTTTGTTGTCACCTTCTGATCAGTTTGTTTGTGAGTGTGAGTGTAAGTCGATCAATCAATCAATCAATCATGTGACATGGAGGTAACAGCAACATACCAATGAGATAACTGCGATCGTATAATAGCCTGTACCAGTCATTCACATTGGAATATATGTATATTGTCAATGCTTTGTTGTTGATAGTATTGATGATTATCTGTTTGTATGATTTAAGACATGTTGAATCAACTGATTGATTGTGATTGTGATTGATATCAAGATTGTTAATGTGATTTGTATCTTTAGATAATAAGTGTAGGTATGATAGTCTCTGATCAAACAATCTCTTGCACACCAATGACAACATCAATCGATCAACATTATCAACAATACTGTCCACAATCCTATTCAATACTGTAATTGGAAGTGCATCCATCTCTATCTCTATTCAATGTATATATCTCTCGATTGTTTGATTGATTGATTGAATGGTGGAATCAATGATTTAAAGGGTTGAACTTTGGAACAAGAATGATCGATGAGGCTAAAAATCTGGATATTTTGATCATAACTTCAAGGTTGTTTCCATCTCACACCATCGCGCAGTTGTCATTGATTGGACATGTTTATTTCTGTCTTTTGATGCCCCACTTCAAGTAGTAGACATTGTTAAGTATTGAATGAAATGTTTGTAATTGACTTGTATGAATGAAGCCAGAGTGTACGGTGTCATCCTCCAAAGAGAGGAACAATGTTGGTGATATGCGTCGAAGTTTGTAATGTGATTTGAACACAAAGTCCAGACATTGGATGTGCGCTGCGTTGACCAGCTGACGGAATATGAGGTCGAGATGTTTGAGTGAGCTACCTCCATTCCATTGTATGCTTCGTATTGAGGTTGGCAACTCATCAAGACTGAGTGGGTGAATGTAATCAATCAATTTCAACGATGTTACTGACTGAGGGATGTCATTGATTTTGATGGTATTGTTATAACTGATTAGCTCGAGAGTCGTGATGCATGGTGCTGTTCCAAGTGGGATGTCCCTCAATGCCAACTTGGTCCCGCCTTCTCTACAGATGTAGAGATATTGAATGTTTGATGGAAGTGATGTGATCGGTGCATTGATCTTATTGATGTTTAGCCTTGTGATTGATGTTGGCAAGGTGGATAGATGAAACGATCCAGTAGTGCCACTTAATCTCATATCGCCAAGGTCCAGCACCTCCAACACTGGATCTGTCTGATGTGATCATTGATACCATGTGGACTTGAATCACACCCCACTTCAGCTCACACAGGTTGGCGAAGGTCTGAGTAGTGAGCGCATCGAAACTAAATATAATCGCAAGAAGATGTAGATATTGGGGATTGATAGTGTTTCCAAGGTGCGAGTTGATCTCCAGGTCCGTGACACTTGGTGGCAGGTTGGTGATTATCATGTCTTTGCAGTATGTGTGATTGATTGAACAAATGAAACTAAATTGAGAAGAATTTTCACCCTACCCTCTACCCTTGCCCTTGCCCTTGCCCTAACCCTAGCCTGGCTATATTTGGTGTTATATCACTCCGAGACAACCAATCTATCAATCAGTTTATTAACTTTTTCCAGGATTAAACTTTGCACAGAACTTTTCAAATTGATTGGAACGTATGAAGTTAGATCGTAAGAGGTCATCTTCAAGACAGAGGAACAATGTTGATGATATGCGTCGTAGTCTATAAATCTGTCGGTACCGGAAGTCAAAACATTGGATGTTGGGTGCGTTTATCAGTTGACTGAATAGTTGATTGAGATGTAGGAGTGAGCTGCCTCCATTCCATTGTATGCTTCGTATTGAGTCTGGCAACACATCAAGATTGAGTGGGCATTTGTAATCAATCAACTTCAAACATGTGATTGATTGAGGGAGATCATAGTTTTTGAGGGGAAAGTAATATTGATTGAGTTGGATTGTTCTGATGCTAGATGCTGATCTCATAAGTGGACTCAATGTGTCAGAGGTGCTGGTTTTGGATAAGTACTTGATGCCAAAGTATTGAATGTTTGCTGGGAGTGCTTTGATTTGTGAATAATCCGGGTAAACATATAGACATGTTGTTGATATTGGTAATGTGGACAGATCAAACCTAGTAATTAATGAACAAAACAATCTGCCAAGGTCCAACGTCTCCAAAGTAGGGAATGTGTCTGATGTGATCAACGGTAATAGCCCTGATGTGGTTGATTGCAACCATAGCTCGCGCAGATTGGAATATGGCTGAGTTGAGAATCTTGGTTTGTGAACCCGTTGTAATTTGAGACGTTTTAAAGGTTGATGATAGATCATATTTTCATGTGAAAAGTCTACTGATTCAATGATTTCCAGGTCGGTGACACTGGGTGGCAGGTTGGTGAGGGCACCCTTGATGCCTATTGTGAGTTGAGTGAGCGAAGGAGGCAGTTTCGATGCATCGAGTGAGTTGATACGTCTAATGCACAATGATCTAAGTGATGGCAGGTTCGACAGATCAAAGCTCTTCTCACTCACAGAGGCCAAGGATAGACTGGTGAGTGATGGGGGAAACATGTTTGATTGAATGATCTCCATTCCAGTGTTGTTCCGTGCCATAGTGCTAATATGTGTAAATGGCACGTCGCGCAGGGAGTTGGACTTGATACTCCTGAGGTAGAGTATCTCTGGTATTCTATTCGCTATCGATTTGATGAAACTCGCATGTTCATTCCAGAATGCCTGGTTCATCGGGTACATATCATGATCGCTAAAATATAGTGAATGGATGTTATTTATCTCGCTAACCTTACTATACCATTCTCTTTTGGCATCATCTTTGTTTAGGTTCATCAATCAATTAATCAACAATCAATCAACAATCAATCAACAACCAACAATAGTAAACTTACTTCCAATAAATATCTGCCGGTCTTTATAGTTCTTGTTCGAATCTTCAAATCTTGTGTGTAGTATTACTGATTGACCCTTGCTCCTTGTCATGATATCATCCTTTATCATTTGTTTGTATGATTTCAATCTTATCTTTTTGTTGATGTGCTCTGGCTTTTGTCTACGCTTTGGCATCAACTCTGTATTGAAGTGTATATATACATGTCTATATTGAAACCATCTCTTGCACACCAATGACACCATCACTCTATCAACATTATCTACATCCAAATAATCAACAATATTCTTCAATAAAATCAATGGTATAGTATCCATTATTATCTCTATTATTATTATTATTATTATTATTATTATGTGTGTCTGTATTTGTTTGTTCTAAAGATTGAAGAATGAATGAACTATCATGAGTGTGGGTTCTTAATTGATCAAAACAATGGACCAGAGTGAAAATCCAAATGGAGGTCACGTGACCTCGTTATTTCTTTTTTTGGAAGTGGTCACTAGAGTGATTGATGACCTACCTCCTAAATAGCTGTGATCAAATAATAAACCGCACCTTTCATGGATGTTTGAATATATATATATAAATATTTATTTATTTAAAAATGAGTCGCTCGAGATAGAGATTGAATGAATCTATGAGTGACCATAAATGATCACCATATCCTTATTCATGTTGATTGTGATGGTGTTGGAACAACACTATTGAGGAATGATTGGAGCATGTCCTTGTGAATGTATCCAGAACGATCGAAAGAATGATGGATGACCAGGAATAATGTTGTTGATATTCGAAGTAGAATATGCTTTGCAGGCTTAATATTGAGCTCCACTCGTGTGACAGTGTTGGGTAGGTGTTGGAGCAGATGTAGATTGTTGAGACAGTTGTCCAATCTCAAGTTTAAACTAATCGTCTCTGGTACATTCTCTCCTTGTATGGCACTTAACTGCAAGGAAGACTGTGTATCTCGTTCATTTGGCCATGACTTTGCAAACATGTTGGACAACTTGTAGACCGACGTGTCATCCAAGGTACATCGATCGAACGAGATACACAGTGTCTCAACACTGGATGATTTACAGGTGTGACGTCCAAATATATGAGTGACTTGGGCAGTGTTGACATGTTGATTGATTGAGTGTCAGGTGAGCCCTCTACCTCACCACAGACCAACCTCTCCAACACTGGAAACAAGTCAGTTGTGATGTGTTCCAGGATGTTTGAACTAATCGATCTGAATGTGAGTTGAACAAGGTTGGGATAGGGCTTGTGTGGAGGTATCGAGAATGTATCCACTTGCAACTTGACCAATGGCAGATGAGGGTTGGTAGTACCCATTGATGTCAAAATCAATAGATCAGTGAGGCTTGGTGGCAAGTCTGGCAGGGTCTGCTCGTATGTGATGAACACTTGTAGCTTTGTAAGTGACTTGGGAAGCGTAAAGCAGTCCAACGTCGGTCGAGAGTTCATATTGATAATAATTAGTTCTTGTAGTGATAGATATGATGACATGTCAATATGCGATTGGGCGTCGAGGTCCTGCTGAGTGTAGTCATTAAAGACAACACCCAGTGTGGTCAATGTAGGAGGCATCACGATCCCATTGATCCTCCGCACTAGCATCTGATTGATCGGACTTGGTAAACGTATTGCTGATGTTTCCTTTCTCGGATAGAATGATATAGTTGGAGTACTCTGTGCAGGATACTCGTTGCAATGAGTCATAAGCTTGTCAAAGAAGCCACTCATACCATCCCAGAATGTCTGATCCATTGGACAATCATCACAATCAATGAACGTTATTCTCTTGATCCTTCGAGGTATGCTCAACACCTCATTCCTCCACTCATCGCTATACAATTCATCAACTCCCTCTAGATTGATTGTTTGAAGATGTAAGATATCATTAGATCACAATCAAACATTCTATTTACACTTACTAAGGTTGAATGGTCGATCGTAGTTGACTTCATAATAATTTTGGTCTGTATTGATGCATATTGACATTGGTTTGTTGTTATAGTCATCGTTGATTATCTGTTTGTAAGAGTTTAGATTGGCTTGGTCTTCATTGAACTTGTGAGGTGCATCCAAGAATCCATTGAACCGATCGGTATTGAATCGTAGATATGTATGTCTTTGATCAAACAACCTCCTGCACAATAATGAAACAACCAATCGATCGACATTCTCCTCAATGCTATCCACTATCTGTCTCAATATAGTATGTGGAAGTATATCCATTCTGTTATGTATCTGTTTGGTTTGATTGAAGTTGGGTTCGGAATGAAATGTTGTTCACAGTCTCAAACAAGTTCATTTTGGTCTGTGCCAAAGATAGAGATAAAGATAGAGATAATGGATACTCTGCCATTCACGATACTAAAACAGATTGTTGAATGTTTGGATGACAATGCAGATCGATTGCTCATGTCATTGTTGTGCAAGAGATTGTTTGATCAACGTCATTCATACCTTTACTTCAACATTGATAGTCGTTCGGTACCTCATACCAACAGTTCACTATTACAATCATATAATCAGATCATCATCAACTCGTACAACTCAATCAATGTGAGATCATCATTACTATTATATACAGATGTTGATCATACATCTAAAGATCATTATGATCTATCATTCTTCATTGGTAATAATTATTGATCATACCCTTCATCACTCCTCACTGACTTACCCGACGATCCACGACACGGCACAGACACTAAAGATGGCGAGTGGAAGCAGGAAGTGATGAGATTGCTCCTACCTCACAGTATCAAACGTATAATATTCAATGATTGTCAGGACTGTCCAATGGACCAAGCATTCTGGGACGCCGTGTCAATCTTCTTTGATGAACTTCGTGCTCGTGATGGATTCATTCCTGAACATATATGCTTCGTTCTGGAATCAAGACCAGTCAAACTGATCAATGCCCCATTGACAGAACTACTCATTAGCTTTGATGGTGATGGTGATGGAGATGGATTGATCACTGGCGATCTGTTCCCAACAACATTGACAAGTGTAACATTTTGTTACATATATTGTCTCGATCCAAAGATCGATCTAAGTGGCCACTCATCACTAAAGTCAATACTATTCATGGATACAATCGATAAGACTCTGGATGGATCTAGGCTCCCACAGAAGCTCACATGTCTTCTTCTTGGTCGTGGTTTTGATCAAACCGTGATCAATCTGCCACCAAGACTCACAGAACTTGTGGCACCAAGAATAGGCCAAGTGTATGATAACCATCAATCATCCAACAATCTTCGAAGGTTAGCCTTGGTGGACATCACACGTAACGGCCTGACTGTCATCACACCGATCAACTTCCCCATGTTGGAGGACTTGACATTTAGGTTGATTGGTGATTATGAAGATGATTATAATAATAAGGTGGACCTATCATCACTCCCTGGAACATTGAAGAAGTTGGACATTACTCATCATCATCATACCACTGGAGCAATCACATCACTTCCTCATGGAATTGAATATCTCCGTTTAACATATTGGAACAACAGTGTTGATTTTCCAAGTACATTATGGAGTGGATTAGAGAAACTCACCACCTTGGAATTATTCAGTTATGGTCATACTTTGAAACATGGAGATATTCCAGCATCGGTAACAAAACTATTACTAAATAGATATAATGGATCAATGAAGACAACGGTACTACCTGCATCATTAAGTAGTTTGATATGGAGTGGAGCAACAAAGGATGATCTACTGCAGCTGCTAGAACAATTACCAACTACAATGTTAAGGATCAATCATCTAGAGGTAACAGTGGATAGACTTGGAATGTTCAAACTCAGGCGAATAACCAATGGGCTATTCATAATGCTGCGCGACAACATATCACTCTGGAACATTGTCCACATTGACMATGATTCAATCAATGATCAAACAATAATAAATACTTCATTATTATGCTTCCTTGGTATTTGATTGAATGTGATAATGTTGCTTCTGGATGTATGATTGAAGCATGTCCACATGAATGAATCCAGAACGAACGAAATCCTGATGGATGATCAGGAATAATGTTGCTGATATCCGAATGAGAATATACTTTGTAGTCTTGATATTGATTTCCAATCGAGCAATGGTGATTGGCAAATGATGGAGCAAAGGTATAGGGTGTAGGCAATCTTCCAATCTCAAGTTTGTTATCGACTCTGGAATATCAGTGCCATCCAAACTCCATGATGGGTACACATCAATGTCAAGTGAATTGATGTTTGATTGAATTGGCCATGACTTTGTCAACATGTTGGACAACTTGAAGACCACTTTGCTGTTATGTTTGCTGACACATCGATTGTATGAGATGCGCAATCTCTCAATACTTGATGGGAGTGATGATATTGGACGATGTACAGGTGTGAGGTCCAATTGTTTGAGTGACGCTGGAAGTCTGGACAAGTCGACTGATTTGGTGTCGGGTGAGCCATCCACTTCGCCACAGACCAACTTCTCCAACACTGGAAACAAGTCTGATGTGATGTGTTGCAATATCTTGTAGCTCATTGATTTGAATATGAGCTGGACGAGGTTGGGGTAGGGCACTTTGGGAGGCTTTGGGAATGTCTCCACTTGTAACTTGATCAAAGGTTGATGATGGATGGTTTCATTGATCGTTGTGGACAAGGTCAGATCAGTGAGGCTTGGTGGAAAGTCCTGTGGTAAGGTCTGAACTAACGAGCTGACAACAAGTAGCTTTGTAAGTGACCTGGGCTGTATAATGCTGTCCATCATTGGTCGAGGGTTCACACTGATAATCATTAGATCTTGGAGTGATGATTGAGGTAATGACAGGTCAATGGGTGGATGGCCGGCATCCATGCCAACCATGCTGTTAAAGATAACAATCAGATGAGTCAATGTTGGTGGAAGCACGATGTCATTCGTCACCCATTCCATTAGCATTCGATTGATTGGACTTTGTATGCGTATTGGTGATGTTGTCTTCTTCTGATAGAACTCAATAGTAGGATACTCATTGTTGCACCTAGCCATAAGCTTGTCAAAGAAGCCACTCATACCATCCCAGAATGTCTGATCCATTGGACAACCTTGACTATCATTGAACTTTATGCTCTTGATCCTTCGAGGTATACTCAACACTTCATTCCTCCATGTATCACTATATAATTCATCCTTCTCTATAAGATGTAAAGTGTCAATCAATCATTCAAACATTATATCATTCAAAATACACACTTACTAAGGTTGAATGATCGATCGTATTGCTCGACTTTACTCTGAAGGTGGGTGTTGATGCATATTGTTATTGGTTTGTTGTTATAGTCATCGTTGATTATCTGTTTGTAAGAGTTTAGATTGACTTTATCTTCATTGTACTTGTAAGGTGCATCCAAGAATCCATTGGTATTGAATCGTAGATATGAATGTCTTTGATCAAACAACCTCCTACACAACAATGACACAACCAATCTATCGACATTCTCCTCAATCACATCAACAATTTGTCTCAATATAGTATGTGGCAGTGTATCCATTCTGTTATGTATCTGTTTAATTTGATTGAAGGAATGATTGACAATAATGTGAAAGATCAAAAGTGGTCTTCCAGGCGAGCTGGAACCTCATATTTGATCAAACTTTATTTCCAAGTGAGACAGCACTTGGATATTCAAGTGATTTACGACCTTGATCAACATGTTGGAATCATTCCAAATACCTGGAATCATACCATCTCTCAACTATTACTTCATTTCTTTTATTCTCTGTAAGAATGTGTCAAGGTGAATGAAGCAATATTGACCGAGGTTGTGATGAGATTGTAGGAAGAGTGTTGGGGACAGTCGTCTGAGTTTGATTCGATCTCGGAGGAGACATATTTCAAGTTGCACAATGGTAGTTGGAAGTTGTTGTAGTTGTGCTGCAATGTGATCGGAACTGTCTGGTAGCTCAAGGTTGCGAAGTGATGGCTTCAACACACATTGATCCAATGGTTGTTTGTATTGATATAGTGTCAGACTTGTCAATGATGATGGTATGTCACTCTCCTGCAATCTACGTCCATAACAATTTAGTACCAATGTATGAAGTTTGGATGATGGCTTGTCGCATAGTATTGTGGACAACGCTAGCATTGTGGTCTTGGGGAATGTGATGGTGAGATGCTGGACGCCCTCGGGAATGGGCGTAGTCGCTCGTTTTGGATCAATCTCCAACCATGTTAGTGATGTAGGAAGTGTCGACAGATTGATTGGTTGAGAGCAAGGAGTCGCATCCACAATCGATCCGGTGATCAGCTTCTCCAACACAGGATAGTTGAGTGAAGTGATCTGATCGAGCACTATGACATCGGTTGACTTGAGGATGAGCTCGCGGAGATTAATGTAGGGGAGGCTGGTCGAGAGGGCCGTTGATTGGTTGACCCACAACTGGATCAAAGGTGTATGGTGGATGGTGAAAGGGTAGTTCGGGGTGCCAAGGTACAAGCTGGTGAGGCTGGGAGGGAGGTTGGTCATCGGCTGGCAGAACCCATTGTATAAACGTAGTTCAGTGAGTGAACGAGGGAGTCGTGAGCCGTCCAATGGCTGCTCCGTGAGAAGGCTTGTGATGCTCAATGTTCTGATTGAATTTGAGTCGGCCAGATCAAGTTGTTTGCCCACTTGTTCATCACTGTGCAGAGCGAAGTCGAGACTGGTCACGGTTGGAGGCAGCATTGATGAGTGTAAGATTGAATCAGGCATCTCTTCCACAAGGTACAACCTATCAATCGGTAATGTTGTTTGTTGTCGAATGCTGTCTTTTGATGAAAGATCGAGACTTATCTCTAGGTCTGGTCCATGAGTTGCCTTCATCTCCAACAAGAATCCAGAAACATCACCCCAGAACACCTTGTCCAATGGTACCTTCCAACAATCTGCGAATGTAATACTACCAACCCTTGGTATGCTCTTCACTTCATTCTTCCACATGTCATTGTTGTTCTTTCCTTTGAATGATCGTAGAGTGTGTGTGCGAGTGTGAGTGTATGTGTGTGGGGGCGGGCAAGGCTGGAACTATCCCAGCCCCGCCCTGATCGTTATGATCAACAATGTTGGACAAACATACCCTTGGTTGTGAAACATCGATTAAAACTTATTTGTTCATCTTCATATGGATTGGTTTTGACTAGAATTGATAAAGGTTTGTTGTCAAAGTCTTGACTGATTATATGTTTGTAGGAGTGTAGTGTAATGTTGTCCTCATTGAACATGTGATTGGTTGTGTTGAAGTGAAGATATGATTGTTTCTGATCAAACCATCTCCTACACACCAATGACAAGATCAACCTATCAGCATTATCATTCAAATACTCTACAATCTGTTTCAAAACTGTAAGTGGAATTGTATCCATTATTGTGATCTCTATGTATATATGATTGATTGATTAATTTATTGATGGATTGAATGAAAGGTTGATCAAAGACATTGGAGCCCAAAATGGAATGTTCAAGGAAATATCCAGATATTTTGAAGTTCACTCTTCCGGTGATCACTCTTCCATCGATCATCATATTTTATTTATTCGATTGATTAACTGGTCAATGTGAATGAAGCAATAACGACGATTATTATCATGGAGCATGAATAGTGTTGGTGACAGTCGTCGGAGATGGTATGGTCCCATTATGCCACCAACGTTTAAACCCAGGTCTTGGATATTGATTGGTAGTCTTTGTAAAATGTACAAGACATTGTGTTTGGAGCTGGTCAACGACAATCTTCGAAGTGATCCTAATAAAAATGACAACGACAAGTGATCACTGTCATCCAATTCATTTATAGAGCATTGCAAAGACAGATCTGTTACTGATGAAGGGATGTCACCATTAGCCAATGGGTTGATATAGTTGTGCAGTTCGAGAGTATGTAGATTGGACATTGGTGGACATTGCGACCACGTTGTTGATATATGTACCATACTTGTTTTGCCAGGAGTGTTTATGATCACTAGATGTTGTAATCCAGCTGGAAGTCCTGCGACGTAATTACCTCCAGGTTGGATTGTCAAACATGTGAGTGACGAAGGAAGTGATAATAGATTGATCGAAGCATAATGACCTTCAATCAATCCAGTGTTCAATTTCTCCAACATTGGGTAGTTGGTCGATGTGATGCGCACGAGGTTTGAGACCTCGGTTGACCATAGGATGAGTTCGCGTAGTTGTGTGTAGGGGAGGTCTTGGGAGAGGGCGTACGAGTTGATCACATTCAATCGTCTCAACTGGGCATGATGAACGACGAGCCCATTGGTTCGCGAGCACAATGTCAGACATGTGAGGCTGGGCGGAAGGTTGATCAATTCCTCGTCGAACTTATCGTCCATGGTTAGACTCGTGAGTGATCTTGGCAACACCGACCCATCTATTGGATGACCGACCAGGTTATCAATCTTCATCTCTTTGATTGATGTTGAGTCTGTGAGGTATATGTTGGTGTCCAGTCTCTGACCTCGCTTCATGACCACGCTGAGGTAGACCAATGATCTCGGTATCTTGCTGGAATGTATGATTGCATTGGGTTTGCTTGCGATATCGATAAACATCCTATCTACGGGGATGTCGGGCATTGATGGTAGTTCTGTGAATCCAAGATCAACTGTGATCTCAAGTGATGGTGGTGAATGTCCATGTGTTGCACGTAGCTGATTCAACAAGTGAGTGACGCCACCATCCCAGAATGATTGATCAAACTCGGTCTCCCAATAGTTGGAATAGAACATTATCTTGTTGATTGATTGAGTTATGTTCAGTAGTTCGCACTTCCAATCACTTGGGTCATTGATGGAGATATGTCGTTGGAACATATGATCAATACTATCTTCTTGAGGACCATTTGAATCGATTATTATTGATAATGGTCTATTAATATTGAAATCTCTTATTATTATATGTTTATATGATTGTAGTAATATATTATCTTCATTGATCATTATATCATCCGCTGATATGTTGAAATGTAAGTATGAACTACGATGATCAAACAATCGTCTACACACCAAAGTGATCATCAATCGATCAACATTCCTATCGAGCCATCCAACAATATTACTCAACAACGTAAATTGTAAAGTATCCATCTATTATCTCTATCTCTTATCTCAACGGCCGTTCAAGACTTGAGTGTGATTGCTAGCAACTTCAGTCGACATTCGTAATTGGAAAAAGTGACTTTATCAAACTAGAGTTGTGACTTTTTCGACAACAACCCTTTGAGACATTTGATGTGAAATCATAATTTCTTTCAAAAAGAGATAGAGAATCGTCAATCAATTACAGTACGACAGAGAGGCACTGCATCCATCATCCTGTTGCCGAAGCACCCCATCCTAATTGTCCCAAGGTCATTGGAGAGATAATAAATAATGTGATCAAACAAAATTATTTATTTATTTATTGTCTGGTTGATTGTTGATGAATGATTGAATGTCGTCTAGGCGGATGAAGCCGGACTGTCCAAAGTTTGGCCGAATGTTTAGGAATAATGTTGAAGTTATTCTTCGGAAGTTGTATGGTACATAGTTTACTTCAAAGTCCAATCGTCCAATTGTTTTTGGTAGTTGTTCAAGTACATTCAACAAGTATTCATTTGAACATCCACGTAAAGATAGACTATTGATTGATGGCAAGGTCATATTATCAAAATCTATACTACCATCATTATTAAGTTCAAGATATGTTACTGATAGTGGAATGTCACCATCATTCAATGATGGACTATAATTATCAATTGCAAGAGTATGAAGCGAAGTGTCTGGCGACCATAATCTTGACCAATCGGGCTCAACCATGAGACACGAGATGGAGAGTGATTGGACGTTGCTGGGGAGTGATACCACATTGCGATGAGGGTTCATCTCCAGCCTTGTGAGTGACGAGGGCAATGTCGACAGGTCGATGTGTCCAATGCCAGTGGTCTGAATGAATCCAGCTACGAGCTTTTCCAAATTGGGGAAGTTGTCCGAGTTGATTGATGCCAGACCAGCATCATTGATCGACCCAAGGGTGAGTTCGCGCAGTTGGGGATAGGGCAGGTTGGCCAGGCTGGACGATTCATGCAGGTACAGTCGCTTCAAAGCTGAATGGTGCACGGTGAAGGGGTAGGCGAACGAGCTGACTGTCAGCGCGGTGAGGCTGGGAGGGAGGTTGGTCAGATGTTGATTGAAGTCACTATACAGTATAAGCTCAGTGAGTGAGCGTGGCAGACGAGACATGTTGAGTGGATGACTGATCAAGTTTGAAATCTTCATCGTAGTGAGCAAGTCCAGGTCTGACAGGTCGAGGTGTGTGTCAACCTCATAGCCACCGCTGAAGTTGATATCAAGATCGGTGAGGGATGGCGGGAACATCCTCGAGTTGATGGCCACACTCGGATGTCTTTCAATGTTGAGAGTTAGACTATTGATTGGAAGATGACTGAGTGGTGCAGTGTCGGACGATACCAGCTCAAGAGTTATCTGTAAGAATTGGAACCTTTCCTTCAAAGATCCAATAATGGTACCCATACTGTCCCAGAACTCCTGATCCATTGGCTTATCAATACAATCAGAGAACACAATAACTTGAATATTCTTAAGGTTCATTACTTTATCAATCCATTCATCATGATTGTACTTGTTAATTCTGTTATCTGTTTATAGATTGATTGGGAGGGTGGGTGGGTGTGAGTGGGAAGGTGGGATGATTCCAGGACAGGACGCATACCAATCAAATAAGATCTGTCATATCCTGTATTCATATCGACATCATCCTCATTGGTTGTTATGAAGATGACTAATGCCTTGTTGTCTAGATCATCTTGAATGATTTGTTTGTATGAGTTGAGTGTGATGACTTGTTGATGTTCTTGATCATCATCATCATCGCCTTGATCATTATTGAATGAATCTTGATATTGAATCTCTTGATGTGACAGTTCATCAAAGTTAAAATGAAGGTATGAATGACGTTGATCAAACAATGTCTTGCAGACCAGCGACAAGATCAATCTATCCTCATTATCCTTAAGTTGTTCAACAATATGTTTAAGTACGATATGTGGTAATGTATCCATTCAATGTATTTGTATTTGTTATATTGATGATGGAATGAATGAATGAAGACTAATACTGGCGTCAAAGTTGACAAGACCAAAGATGGAAAGATCTGGATTTTTCCAGGTTTGTTCTGTTTTTTGATCAAAAAAATAAGCGCCAACCAATCACTCTTTTAAGTAATATTTAAAGAGATAGAGGATAATAGTGTCGAGATAAAGATGATATCAATACCAATATTATTGTTAAGATTGATAATTGATCATATGAGACGTGATAATGATCTGATTGGTATGATATGTTTGGCAATGACATGTAAACGATTGTTTGTAGAGATGTACAACAAAAGACAACTTCCACTCCAATTCATACCTCGTTCAATCAATGACATCAGAGAGTATCAACGCAATGATGAGTACTCACACTCATTGTCAATGTCCATCGTCGACGACACTCCCATTAATATCACTGGTACAATTGAGAATCAGTTCAAATGCAAAACACCGGCTGATCTGAACAAGATCACAAAGTCATTGGATGAATACACAAGCGTATTGTTTGGTCGCTTATTCAACAAACAGATCACCCAAAACATATTGCCACTGTCAATCAAGACTGTTACATTTGGAAGGGATTACAATCAGGTCATCGAGTTAGATTCATTGCCTAAAGGGTTGACATCACTCTTCATTGGAGCAAAGTACAATCAACCGTTGAACATTGATGTGCTGCCCCAATCACTGACATTGTTGTCATTCAGGGCTCAACAAACATCAGTTTACAACCAAGAGTTCAAACCTGGTGTGTTGCCCGCATCGCTGCGGACAATGCTCCTTGGCGAATCGTACAACAAGTCACTGTCTAAACCTGGATGCTTACCTGGCTCACTCAACACACTGGAGCTTGGCAGAGACTTTGCACAATCGATCAAAGTGGGTACATTCCAAAACTCATTGACCAAGTTGACAATGGAGTCAATAGTCCCGGATATTGACATTGGTGCGCTGCCCAACTCACTCATTGAATTGTCAACAGAGAGTATCAATTATGGATTTCAGATTGGTCTACTACCAAGCTCACTCAAGATATTGAGAATGAATCGGGGGTATATTCGATTAGCACTGGGGATCACCAAAGGCAGTCTGCCGGAATCCCTTGAGTCATTGACTCTTGGTCTTGGATTTAATCACCCAATCCAACCTGGAATGCTTCCCAACTCACTGACCTCGCTGACCCTTGGCAATCAATTCAATAAGACTTTGGCACCAGGAGCACTGCCATCATCAATCAACAGCCTAGTGTTTGGGGATGGGTTTGATCAAATACTCACGGCTAATGTGTTACCGTCATCGCTCACATCACTGACCATTGGACGCAATCAAACGAGTGCAATCTCATTCCCATCACTCAAACATCTCAACGCTCACTCATTGGATCAATTGAATTATCAATTTATAAGTGTGGAACAAGTGATGACACTGACTTTGAACGAAATCAACCCGATCATTCACCGGAGGTCACAAGCACCGATCACTCAGCATGTGGACACGTTGATAATCAATTGGGAAGCGATAAAGGGTATTGATGGTTTCAGATTGCCTCAAACCAACGAACTGTATATTAAGGCAATCATCAAGACCTTCCCCAACGCGTCGACCTACATTGTCACATGCAGTCGATGGAATTATCAGATACGTGGCATAAGTTCAGACATGGCCATTGTATATTCCAACGATGTAAAGAAGAGACTCAAGACACCATCGATCACTGTCAACCACAAAGTTGAATACCTAACCTTGAGTTGATCCATGTCGATTAATTAAAGAAGACTTGGCGAAGTTCAAACAAAGATTATCAAATTTTTTCCAAGTCAGCGAGTTGGTGTGAGGGCAAGGGCAAGGGCAAGGGCAAGGGTAAGGGTAAGGGTTTGATTCAAGTCAAAGTCATTCTAAGAGATAGAAAGATAGAGATAGAGATAATACAATAACGACAACGACAATGACAATGGCAACATGTTGCGAGACACATAAGATGAGGACAGAGTTTATATGTTTAGATTGTAAAGAGTTGTCATGTCCTGTTTGCTTGGCTGTTGGTCATAAGGGTCATGTATTTGATCATATTATCAACATTAAAAGGAATATGGCAAAGAGGGATTACAACTCATTATGGTGTATGCCAAGGTTGAAACAACTTTGGTCTACATTACAGCAATGTGCTTCATCATATCAATCACTCGAACAGAATCATTCAGAGATCACCAGTCACTTTGAACAGTTGATCAAGGTGATCATCGCTCAAGAGCACAAAGCAAAGAAACCCATCATCGAACAGATGGAGAACATTCAATCAACAATCAATAACATCATCAAGGAGATCAATGATATCAATCAAATCATTGACCCATCATCGTCATCTTCTGCCTCATCACTTGGCGACCTCAACAACAACAATAATAATAATGATCAAGCAGCTGTATCACAAGTGATATCATCAATCACATCATGTTCATCAATCGAGCAGTTCATTAATAGTACATTGGTATCATCACAGACCCAGACTGAGACAGAGATGAGTGACAACGACGATGCCCACATGATCGTGACAAATGATGATATCACTCAGTTGTCAATGATCAGGAATCATTCAAAGTACATTGATCAAGGAGGATATCCTTTGCCATCAAAGGTGGAAGCATGTCTGGTCACGGCCAATGTCATCAAGCTGGGTGACATCAAGAAACAGATTGGAGCATGCTTCAGGGATGTGGCCTTCTCTCAAATATTCTCAATGCGTAACAAGTCTCTGTCAGTGCTCTCATTGGAATCATCGAGATGGACACATAGAGATACCCTCCTGCCCCTTACACATATAGCCTCATCAGTAGTCCATGCGGGCAATTATATCTATGTGTTTGGAGGAAAGGAAACACCAAAAAGTTACCTAAGATACTCCCTGGATGCCAACATGCAACTTTATACTGGCGTCATCGATGGAGTTGATGGAGGCCGCGCCATCTCAGCTTGTTATGATGGTGATAAGCTCATATATCTTGTCGGTGGTTCAGATGATGACAAATTCCTCAACAGAGTTGATTGCTTCGACATTTCCACTCAGCAGTTCAAGAAGGTTGGCCAGCTCCCTCTTGGTATGGGCTTTGCCCGCGTCCATTACCATCGCGAGACATTACTTGTCATTGGAGGAGAGACACAGTCACTGAAAGGCAACAGAGATATAATCTCGTTCAACGTAAACACGAGACTCAGCAAAGTGATAATCAAAGACATACTGAATGACTACCTGGATCAAAGTTGCTATAATGGTCGCGACAACATTTATTTGTTGACAAAGAGCTATGCACTCACCAAGTTCACTCTATCAAACAAACAAACAACTAGCCTTCAGTGTCCATTAAAGCTTTTACAATGTCCATTAATATATGATCGATATACCGATATCATTTACAGACTAGGTGGAAAAGGCAAGAACTACTCCTATTCAACACAAGATGACCTCTGGAGATTACTCGATGACGATGACACGATAGACGATCGATCATGCTTTGGATCATGTTTGTTTGAGCGCAATACCAACTCATAGTCAATAAAGTATTCAACCCTTACCCTCGCCCTCGCCCTTACCCTAACCCTAACCCCAACCCTCACCCTAACCCTTACCCTTGCCCTCTCCAACCCTTAATTACTCTACACACTTCAGTCTAAAAGATAGAGACAGTAGATAATAGATATAGGATTGACAACTACATCAATACTAATACATCTACAATGACATGTTGTGAGACAAATAGCTTGGGAACAGGGTTTATCTGTTTCGATTGTAATGTATTGGTATGTTCAGAATGTTTGAAAGGTGAGGATGAAGATCACAATCACAAGAATCACAGAGTTGATAATATATACAATATCAAGGAGATCATTGCAAAGAAGGATTACAATGCATTATGGTGTTTGCCAAGACTCAATCAACTTTGGAAGACATTACAACAATGTGCATCATCATATCAATCGTTGGAGCAGACCAATACATCAATCACCGAACAGTTTGAACAGTTGATCAAGGTTATTATCTCTCAAGAACACAATGTCAAAGCACCAATCAGAGAACAGATGGATCACATTCAATCAACAATGAACAATATCATCAATGAGATCAACAATATCAATCACATCATTAATCCATCATCTTTGTCACAGATCTCCAACATTGACAGCAATGACATCGATGAAGTATCTCAAAAGATATCATCAATCAACTTGTATACATCAATCGAACAGTACATTACCAACACAGTCCCAACTCAACAACAGTCATTGAACGATGACACCGGTGACACTATGCCGCCCAATGTCAAAGCCAAAGACATTGAACTGTTGACAATGATCAGCAATCACATCAAACATACTCAACAAGTACTCTACGATGAAGCAACGACCAAACGTCTGGAAGCAAATCAAGTGAGGATCAAAGTTGACAAGTTGAATGGAGTCAAGAGACAAATTGAATCAAGCTTCAAGCTCATCAAGTCGTACTATACCAGTGGCCATGCCATCTTATTCAATCTCCAAGGTGGCCAATTGTTAGATCTCGAGTCATTACATTGGTCACCAATTGACAATGTATTCAACACTTCAATCCAAGGTTACTCTACAGCGTCCATCGTTCATGCTGGCGACAGTGTCTATGTGTTTGGCACCGAGAATTCGCCAGAGAGATACTATCAATACTCATTGACAAAGAAGAAAGGCCACTGTGCCGGGATGGTTGGTGTATCGCCTGGTCGCTTCGCGTCCACCTGCTACGACGGTGACCAGCACATCTATCTGGTCGGTGGAAAGACTAGCGATGGACTTTTGGATCGAGTCGATTGCTTCAACATTGCAACGCAACAATTCAGACAAGTTGGAAGGCTCCCAGTCGGGATATCGCAAGCCAACATATTCTTTGACAAAGACATCCTGTATATTGTCGGGGGAGAGGTGACACCACCTTATGTCAACCATGGCATTCTCACATTCGATCTCAAGACCCTGGCCACTAAACAGCTGGTCAAGAACGAAATCTGGTTCCAGAATAGGGCAATGTGCTTCGATGGCCTTGACAACCTGTACTTTTTGGAAAGCACAGGCCTGGCGAAATCTCAGACTCTGAGATACACATTGTCCAACAAACAAACAACAAGGCTTGCACATCATCCATGTGTTTGCTACTCACAATTGCTATATGATCAAGTGGATGACGTAATCTACCAATTCGGAGGTAAAGGAAAGAACTACAAATATTCTGTTGAAGACAACAAATGGACAACTATCAAGGACAATGATCAATTCAATGATCATATTTGGAGTGGAGCATGTTTATTTCGCTGATTGATTGATGAAGAATCAAAAATTATAAAAATAGATCTTTAGACCAGGTCTCGTTTGTTCGTCTACTTATCTCTTTGTAGACGACAAAGTTTCTTCTCAACGTTTGTTTGCTGTGATGAGACCTTGTTGATCAATCAACCAAATAATATAAATAAAAAGTAATAATTGTAGTTTGGTGATGAGTTATGGTTCTTATCATATCAATATCAATTGATTGAATCAAACAAATAATATCAAGAAAATAACTTGAGTTGTTCGTTTTCAGAATGCGACCATCTCAACAAATCAGGACTTTTCATAATCATGAAGTTCCAATAATGAAAGATTGAATATGTTTGCAAACTCGTGAACGCTAATGTTCACACTCACATGAAGTTGTTGATATTAGTTTGATTCAAAGAGATAGAGATAGAGATAGAGAATGGATAATATTATTCATAATCCAACAACAACACCAACCATATCATCTTCGAAGACAAGATGTGAAATGCATAACCTAGGAACAGATCTAATCTGTTTCGATTGTAATGTGTTGGTCTGCCCTGCTTGTCTTGGAGCTGATCACATAGGTCATATGTTTGATCATATTATCAACATTAAAAGGAATATGGCAAAGAAGGATTACAAGTCTTTATGGTGTATGCCAAGGTTCAATGAACTATGGAAGACATTGGAGCATTGTGTAGCATCCTACCAAACTTTGGAAGAGACCAACTCATCAATCACTGAACACTTTCAACAGTTGCTCAAGTTGATCGTGGCCCAAGAGCACCAGGCCAAGAAGACAATCAATGAGAAAAAGGAACTCATTCAATCAACTATCAACAACATAATCAAAGAGACCAACAATATCAATCACATCATTGATCCATCATTATCCTCACTCTCGTCCAACAACAACAACAACAATGATGAAGATGATGTGTCTCAGATGATATCATTATTCACCTCATGCACATCTGTTGATCAGTTCATCAACAACTCAACCCAGATTACACTGGCCAATCAATCATCGAAGGCTGAAGATGGCACTAGTGACCATGAACTGTTGTCAATGATCATCAATCACATCAAACACACACAACAAGTGCCTTATGATGACCAATTGAGATCGACTATTGTAGCAAGTCGTGTCAACACCGATGCTGTCAAGCTCAATGATATCAAGAAACAGTTGGAATCATGTTTCAAACTGATCAATGACAAAGAAGAAGCACCAAAGGTTGTTGCTAAAGAACCTATACGCCCTGGACACATCCTCTCATTGTCCTCAACAAGGAGCCCTATGCTCTCACTTCAAACAATGCAATGGACACAATCAGCATTTGCTTTCAAAACAAATGGTCGAGAGTTCATTGCTTCTGTCATGACAGCCTCTGTCTTTGCTCGTAGAAGCGTCTATTTGTTTGGAGGCTCCTCTGCATTTGGCATATACACTCGTCTGTCTTTGGCAGACAATCAACTCCATGAAGCACCAATGGATGGTATCGCCCCAGCCAGAATGATCACCGCGTGTTATGATGGAGACAAGAACATCTACCTCATCGGTGGGTTTGACATCCACGACCATTTCATTAATCGAGTCGATTGCTTGAACATTGACACCCAACAGTTCAGTCATGTTGGATCACTTCTCCATGTTGTGGGCGAAGCCGCGGTATACTTCAACAAGGGCAAGCTAATTATACTAGGTGGAGAGACATCCCCTCACTATCATCTAGTCCGTAACATTATCTCGTATGATGTCAACACACAGGCCACCGAGGTGCTAGCCCATGCCATCCTGAACAACCCCGATGACCCAAGTTGCTTTGATGGTGGTGACAACATCTACATCCTCACCGGTGAATCATTCATCAGATTCACCCTGTCAACTAGAGAGACTGCCATTCTTACCAGGAAGGAAGATCCTCCAATCAATCCAAAGAAGAGATCTAGATTGTTCTATGATCCATCACTCGGCATCATCATGTACATCTCTGGTCATGGCAATCGATCACAATATTCAACTCAACGAAACGAGTGGACTGAGTTAATAGCAAATCCAAATGATCCTAGATGTGAAAGCCTATGTTTGGTTCATTTATAATTGGTTGGATGGGGATGGTCCCACTTACGAACTTCATCTTGGTCTCACTTTGGTGAACTTTCAAAAAACCAACCTAACTCTCACATCCAACCCAACTTTGTTCATTCTTTCATTTGGCTGTTCTTACAACAATCAAAGAGATACACACAAACATAGTTATAACAACATACACAACAACAATAACAACAATAATAATAACTAATAACACAATCAATCAATAACTAAATCAATAATCAATCAATCAATCATACATAAGACTACAATGTCCAATCAGAAACGATCACCTGAATTTGAAGATGCTCTGAATCTTTGTTTTAAACTGATCGATCCTAATACTTGTTCTTCTTCTACAACAGACTTAAGGTTAGACATTATATATATATCTATCTCTCTCTATCTCTTCTATCTCTCTCTATCACTCTCTTTGGGGACATCAAGCCAACACACAGCACAGCCGGCTAAGCTGCGTGCATCATTATAAGGACAGGGTTGAAAATGTGAACAACTAACCATCGCAACAGACTCTAATGCAATGCTGCTGATACTGCCTCGTTGCTTTGCTTGCTAATGTGATACTCAGCTCGCTCGCTCACAAACAACACATCAATCAATCAATCAAACAATCAATCGGGGAAACAAGAAAGTGATTGATGTGATTAGATGTAACGATGGATATTTCAGTGGCAGCACATTGGATGCCCGTTTGAGTCTGTTGCTGTTGGAAGGGATGTGACCAAATGAGTCAACTGATCGATCATCGCGCCAACATAATAGGTGCGTTGCGCATTTGAACAGTGCTGTGCTGATGCGTGTTTGACTTCTTGGCAGGCTGGGTTGCCCAAGAGCTGGCGACGATGTCTCACTGAGCACTGATGGGGCGGGCCTTCAATCACTCAACTCAAAAGTAACAATCCTAACACCACCTTCCATCATATCATCATATAGTGTCGTCAAGGTAGCAGTTCAATCATTGGTCGATCTCTCGATATCAGTCTATTCCAACTCTGCACTACGCATCAACATCTTCTCAAAGCTGTTGGAGATCATACAGTCGCCACTCATCTACCGCAAGGCAGTGGTGCGCGCAGCTGTCTCGGCGCTGGGCGTCATCGTCTGCCATGAAGAGTCGCTCGTCAATCAGACGATAACATTCCTCGCCAAGATACTCGAGTTCAAGGGCGAGAACCTACAATATCTCAAGCGTGTCTGCATTGGTGCGCTAGGTCGCATTGGACGTCGCTATCCAGTCTATCAGAACACATTGCTGATACCGATGCTCGAGCGTTACTTTGACGCCAACATCTCGAGTCAAGACGTGGTCTGTGCCATCCTCGTCACATTCGGTCGCTTCTCACAAACCAACTCTGAGCTGCGAGTCATGTGCATGTCTCGTTGGCTTGAAGCCATCGACAACACCCATCACCTCTTCAAGTCAGCAGGTATCCATTCCCTCGGCTATGCATCATGTCCCACCGCCAGTAAGTCATCCTCCTCAATCGACCACTCGATCAATCGATCAATCACTAACATACACGCACTCCCCACCAGACGTCGTCAACGACAAAGAGATAGAGGCATTGTGTTACAGCAAGGCTATTGGATTGTTACAGTATCACAAGATGGAGGACTACAAGGGCGACGATGAGAGCGACCCTTGGAAGAAGGAAGAGGTCTACCAAGTGCAGGTGGCCGCCACAAAGGCACTGGGCCTGCTGGCACGCTCAAACCCCAACGAATGGCTACCCAAGCTCGCCAAGATCTTCAAAGCTATCCTCTCATCACCACGCTACCAAGGTGCTGTCAAGGCAGCCGTTCTCTACATCTATGGCCAGGTAACCTACTACCTCAACTCAACCTCATCCCCATACTTCACGCCACTCAAAGTGCTACTCTTTGAGCTGTCAGCCGATGACAACCCAACAGTATCTGCGCCATCCTGTTACGCACTGTCCAAGTTTGGCCTATCCCATGAGACCAACGTATGTTCATTCAGCCTAATACGCATACTCATACATACACTAACACCATCCACGCTCATCCAGTACCTCGAGGTAAAGACTATCCTGCGCATGAAGATAGCAAACATACAGCAAGCCAAGCCTGAGACATTGGTGAACTATTTGAAGACTTGGTGCAAGATCGTTTCAAAGACATATAGACCCATACTCAATCAATGTAGTTCAATCATCAGTCCTCTGTACGCTGACCTGTACAGCATTGACTCAAACCTTGCCAAGCGTCTGCCTCTGCTCAAGAACAAGATGCCCATTGGAATGCCCCATGGCGTACGACCGCCCAAGCTCCAGGACCACATGGGCTTGCTGGAGACCGCCTTTGGCAACTACCAGCATCTCCAGAACCTGTGCCACTGCTTCAGCCCCGTCGTGACACAGGCCATCCTCACGCTGATAAAGAAGCCAGCACTATTCGATCACAATGGCTTCCGCAAGGCATTACGCGACAAGATCCTCATTCAGAGGAACAAGGGATTCATGCTGACGGGCGAGGAGAACTACGAACCTGTTCTGAAGGAGCTGAGTCTAGACATATCCAAGCGCAAAGCATTCATCCAGGTGCTGAAACAGCCTGAGCTCCTACTCGACAAGCCCAGGCCAGAGAAGCCCAGGCAGCAACAAGAACAGCAGCCACAGCAACAACAACAGTCTATTGTCATTCAGATGCCCGCCAAGTCATTGCAGTTCAAGCCACATGCATCCATCGTCAGACAGAAGGCAGCCAAACAAGATACCCCTGCCACATCCTCCACCAGTCAGCCGACCCCGCCCAGTGGTCGCTCACGTCCATTCTGGCGTGAGGAGGAGTATGTTGGCAGCTCGATGGAGCAACGTCCAATGCCCACCTCACCAAGATCAGTTGATTCGATCACTGGTCTCGTGAACAGACCTTCATCATCACCAGCACTACTGTTCGCCCCTCTTGAGCAAATCCCCATGACGCCACCTTCTGAGGATCAGCAACCAATCACATCACTGTTTGCCCCTCTGCCCTTGATCAGTACAGAGTCCTCATCAGCGACAACATCGACAACCCCTACCTCTTCACTGTTCACTCCACTCGCGCCAATTGAAGATACATCATCAACATCCAACGCCTTCAAACCATTGCCACTCATAGATGAAACTCAATCATCACCCTTGACTATCCAAGACCAGGACCATGATCCATCAGCTGTCCAGGGCAACGACAATGACCTTGATATCGACAACAACAATGATGGTCATGAGCAAGATCAAGAACATGAAGATGGCGACGCGGTGATCATAACATCTTCATCAGACACAGAGGACGATGACGATGATGAAGAGGATGACGAGATGACATTGACCATCGATGATGATCAAGGAGGAGACAAGTCAACACAAACTAGCACAACGACAAACACGATACTTGGAAAGCGATCAAGATCACTATTGGACCATCTGGAAGAGGACAGCACACTTGAGAACAGTCCAGATGCCATCATCGCCAGAGAGTTGGCCAATGAGACAGACCCACAGAGGATCAAGACCATCAACAAGAAGCTACATACGTTTGAGAAGGACTTCAATAAGCGTATGGCCAAGCTGCAGGCAGGTGGCGCCAAGAACAACACGGCCATTGAGTACCAAAAGGCCAACTACCCAGCTCAGAAATTGTCCAAGTTCAAGAAGACACTCAAGCATCTCAAGAGGAAAGAGACAAGACTAGCCAACCGCATTGCTCAAGGCAAGTTGTCCAAGAATGACAAGAAGAATCTTCAACATCAGCCACAACAACAGCACAACAACAACAACAACAACAACAATCAGATGCAGACAAAGCAACCAAAGCAGCCCAAACAGACAAAGCAACAAAAGCAACAGAAATCGAGCAACAAGAAGCAGAGGACAGAGCCTAATAACCTCTATGTTGGAATCAACTTTGAAGACAGACCTCGAGTCCAACCCATTTGTCAGTTCTACTCACTTGGCATGTGCAACAAAGGTGCCGAGTGTACCTTCCGCCACGAAGGTCCGATCGAAGAGCGCAAAGTTGGTGCATGCAAGTTCCTCAAGATGGGCTCCTGCCTCAAAGGTGCCGAATGTCCATTCTCACATGGTATGTATACATTCATTCATTCGTTGATTGATTGTGATTGACTAACTCATCATTCTGAATTGTTAGACCTCAAGCAAGAACCATGCAGGTTCTTCAATCTACCAATTGGATGCACAAAGAAGGATGATTGTCCTTATGGTCACTTCATATCGCCAGAGTTCCAACAAAAGTTGAAACAAGAATCGATTGAGTATCATAACAACAAGCAACAACAACTTCAACAACAGCAGCAATATCCTCAGTCACATGATCATCAACAACAACTTGGAGTTCCTCCTCAGACACAAACACATACTGCCGACGACAACATATATAGTGACATGAGTATGAATGACATCAGAGGTGGAGGAGGTGGACATTATATGCCACCTACAACCATGGTCACAAGTGCCATTCCAACTCTGCCAATGTCACCAGTCAACAACATGTTGCTGCCTCCTCACTTGCCAATCATGTCAACTCCAATACCATCTACATCTACAACTACCACTTCGACTACTACAACCAACCAACCACTTAGACCAGTTAGCTCACCGGTCACTACTACCACACCAACAGTGCCAGTATTCTACAAGAGAATATAAACTTTAACCTTTCCAATCTAATCTAATTATTTAAATTTGAACAACATAATAAATACATGTGTGATTGGCGAGGACTGAGAGATCGTCCTTGCTATGTATCTACGTCATCATCCACTCATCCATCCATCATAATCCATCGAACAATAAATTAAATATTATTACTATATATTGAATCAACAAATAATATTATTCAAACAAATAATAATGTTCCAAACAATTATAAAGAATATTAAAGTTATTAATAAATGTCCAATTGGAAATAGATATTGTTCAAATACAAACTATACTGGATGTTTATTCTTAGATAATAGTCATACATTCCAAATAAGTGCCAATGTTTATAGACCAAGGATAACCTTTAGGATTAGTTCTGGAACAGTATATTCGTAAGTATTTAAATTAACAATATATTTATTTAATTTAATTCTTTTTATTTAATTATTCAATGTTTCAGGCATTTAACTACAAGTGAAGCGATACAAGCTGGATTGAAGGGACATAAAAGATTGATTGGTCAAACTATTTTGGATAATGGTGAACCAATATATGATTATATATGTCCAGGAGAGATGATAATTGAAGGTATTAGAAATGAGATGGTGTTCCTTGTATCACCTTTCCAAACAAATATATTTGGATTGGATGCAATGAAGAGGTTCAATTTAAAATTGAATCCTGTTAATGGTTTATACTCCATATCTAAAGATAAAGAATATGGTATTAATGATTTCCCCCAATTGGATATTAAGGAATTGATGAAGAATAAGGATATTACTGAAGATGATCTTGTTCCAATTGCAGAACTCCCTACTTCACCAAGAGAGGCATTCAATGACCTTGAAGTACAAAGATTAGCCAACACTGTCATACATTTATCATCACCTTTTCCTCACCATTCATGGTACTTCCATTTCTGAAGTAGATTTGAAGTAGGATTGAGCAAACATACCCTCACAGACATACCCTCACACAAATATGAATCTTGGCAATCTGAAAAAGTTGGGAGGTTATGGGTCCAACAATGTGAGGTGAATATTCAAACTTTGTTAAAGACATCAAAGAATGTCATTCATTCAGTCAATCAATCAATAAATGAATCATAGATAGATAGATATATAGATATAAATGAATCAAACAAATATATTATTGTTTATGATGATGTTGGCAATGATGTTGGTCGTTGCAATTGCCACATCGTCACCTAATACACAACAACCATACGCCTCACCAGTCAAGAACAACAAGAATGATAACAATGATGATAGTGATCTGATACAATCATCGTTGAGACTATTCGATAGTAGGAAGCCTCCTCCATCAGTGTTTGAATTGTTCTACAATACATTGGAGTCATACATGAAATCAGATGCTGCAGATACATTGGACGATGAACAGGCAGAAGCAGCAGCAACAACAACAATATCAATGAATGGCAAATCAATCAGATCAACAAAATCACAACATCGTACTGATAGTCTATCAATCAATGATATGTTTACAAACTTCAATCACTTTGCTCATCAACTTGGACAACTGTACTCGACTTCAAAGAAGGCAAAGGTCAGCGTCAGCAGTCCGACTATGCGCAAGATCGATCCCAACACTCCACTCTTTCCCGCTGTACATAAAAGTTGGAAGCAACAGCAACAAAACAAACAACATCAGCCAGCACTATTAGTACAACAACCAAAAAAGAACATTGGTCAAGAGGAGTTGGAGTTGGCTGACACACCATGTAAGTACACGTACATGACAAGCGGGTACATACAACAGTATCACTAACAAACGATTGTGGACCATGTACAGCCAAGTATTGTTCAAACAAAGGATACATGACCTATCAAGAATTGGACACTGTAAGTTGGCGATGACCTGAACCCATCAATCAATCAATCATACTCACGCTTGAATGAACCAATAGAACTCTTGCAAGGGACTATCATCATGTGCTCCACATCTACTGATATGTAATGGCAATACCATCAAAGTGAATGGTTCAACGCCAGTCACTCCTGGATTCAACTACAGCTCATGCCAGATCCTCCAGGTATGTGTTCCAATCAAGATCATTCAATCAATCAATCAGCTAACACTTTGATCATCAGATGAAATGCTCGCCAAGCAATCAACCAATGTCAATCATTGACTTCAAGACACAGTATCAATTGAGTCAATGTCAAATCGTCAATCAAACATGTAATGATGAGTTGTTGTCTCACTGCGTGTTGCAACAGGTCCAGTGTCAAGAGACGGACAAGTCGGATGGAACTGTGGACAACACATACTTTGGCGTGGACACCTTTGGTTTCACCTGCTCCAATCAACAACTGTCTTGCAATGGCATACCCGTGCCAACATCTCAATATGGCAACTACTCCACTCAGATCAAGAATGGACAGTGCGTCGTCAACTACGTCCCATGTAGCCCGACCTCAATGTGTCTATCTCTCAATGTATGAACTCTCGCTCATTCATTCATTCATTCAATCATTCATTCATTCACTCGCTGACACTTACACCACCTCCAGATGACATGTGAGTCCAAACAAACCAACTGCTCTGTGGACATTCTCGAGAATCTACCTTGCTCGCTTGGATGCAACACACAGTTGAACACTAGCTTCTGTGACTGTCCAGCTGACACTGCTGGATTGGACTGCTCCATGAATGCCAACTACACCTGTAGCCTTGGCATTGTCCACCCAACTCCAAAGTGCACAGGAAGTAAGTAAACTCGTGATCATGATGATAAATCAATCAGATACACTAACAAGTAATGATTCCAACTCTTTAGACTTTGTACTGTCCACAACAACATGTTTTGAGTACAAGACTGCGGACACAGCAGCATTTGGATTCAACATGACCTGTACATTTGATCAACTTCCAATCAAGCCATCGCCATACCACAAGTTCAGCTATTGGATTGACATGCCCAATGTAAGTAATATTAGATGCCTGTCTTGTTCGTGATGGCTTTGGCGCAATGCCTTGCTTGCGCCCAACCAATGGTGACCACGTCGCACACGCACACACGCACAGCCCAATGCTGACTCTAAGACCGGCCTGCAAACAAACAATCATAAACAGTTCAAGCTTAGCAACCCGGTGACCTGGAATGTTAACAACGACATTGTTGACTTCAACAGGCTGTATGATTACTCTCAGACGACGAGCCAACCGCTGAGCCGCGACCAGATCATGGGCAACCAGTTGGTATGGTTTAACACATCGCTGTCCAGTGTGCCATCGCAGTTCTGGATCGCCCGACGACTCTATGTCGAGACTAGCCTTGCCATGAGTGTTGATCTCAACCAAACGCAAGTGAAGTACTTCATCAAGTCCAGTGACTATCCGCTCAACAACGCAACGTTTGCCAAGATGCCAGGATGGAAGATCGCACTAATTGTCATTGGCAGTGTACTTGCCTTTGCAGGGTATGTTGTAATTCTACATTCACTCATTCAGACGCGCACTTCGTGACTTCAGCAACATCAACAGCTAGCTGGCTGTTACAAACAACAATATCTAACGCTCTGATTCATTCATTAACTCACTCACATGCACATCATTCCATTCGCGATTGTACAATCGACTCTGATCACATGGACCCACACACGACTACAACAGAGTTGCATTCGGCACATTCTATTTATACAGGAAGAAGCTACGTGTTGTTGCATAGGGGCATTGACAATACAAACTCTTACATCAACATGGTCATACATCAGACTTACACTCACCGAAATAGAACAGACGAATCATGTCGTTCGTCTTGTCTTTGGGACCTTCCACCAACACCTCTCGCGGCAGCGCTGCCGTGTGTGGGTGGACCGAACACCTGCCCCCCATCACTGCCACCACCGGCGCCATCCATCCATCCAATCCTGGCATCGACTACGCAATGACGAAGGGGGGTGGCATGATGATGGATGGATCTTCAACGATTTACTGTAACATCTCGCGTGAGGGTTATAAGGGAAGTTTTCCTCTGCGTGTCAAGCCGGCTTGGCCGTGAGACCAAGTCACCTGATTTGGTCGTTGGGGCTAAAATGGGGCAATGGAAGATTTTGATTGGGTCGTCAGGGACTTGATGGGGCAGTCAGTACAAAGACCATCACCACGACCACTGCCATCATGTACAATGAATTTAATGATTGTTCATACGCGCGTAACAGCTAACTATCAAAACTATCTAAACTAATTATTACTTGGACAGCAATTGCATTTGCTCAATCAATCCCTCACAGACACATACAATATAATATATTTAATCATTGACACCATCTCGATTGTCTCGACTCTTGCCCTCTCAATACACAGACACTCTTGGTCAACAGCAAGTTCATCAATCCAGTCATTCACCTTTCCCCCAGGCTTCTTGCATCACACACGCACCACATCTTTGTTCACAACGCAAACATTTGTGCGGGTGTCTTTGAGAAACCTAGACACAGAGTGGGTCAAGGTGCCCATTGTTTTTTGGTATTTTTCAACAACACAGGCGTTCATTTGGCGGGAGACATCCCATTCAATCAGAGTCACTTTTTCGATAAAGTGCGGACTTCTCTCATTATTTCAAGGATAACATTCACACACACAAACACAACATCAATCAACCAGTCAGAGTCAAAACTCATAAACAATAATTATACACCGATTTAAGGCCCCGCAAACATAATACAGGGAGCGAGTTTCTGCTCAAAGTCATTATTCTTCAACAGCAACATTCGACCCAACAAATTACAACATCCAAGTCAGTCATTCATCCAGCAATACCTTGTACTTTTTGTTTTTTTTTTTAGTTGTTGGCGTGTCACTCAAAGCAAGTTCAAGTCAGGACAGGACACACGTCTCAGACCTTTCGAAACAATCAAGGCGCGCCCACAACCAAACGTCTGTTTGTCTGCCAAGCAAACACCCGTAACGTCTGTCTCTCACACTTACCGCACAACTCGTAAGTAAACACACGTGTCTAGAGAAGACCCAACCTGTCAGCCAGACATGCCTGACTGCGTTCATGCAGGCAGGGACAACAACATCCAAGCAAGCAACCATCCAACCAAAGTTGCGAGGATATTTTCTCACCATTATTCTAACGCGCTCACCAATCACAACAATCCATCAATCCCTCTCTGGTCCTGTCCATCCCTCCCTTCCTCCGCCTGTCCATCCATCAATCCACCCACCCCTACCCTACGCTTGGACCATTCATTCAATCATTCATTCTTTCAATCATTCATTCGCTTCAATCAATCATTCATTCAAACATAAACCGACAAAGACGACGAAACAATCAATCAACCAAACGAGCTCCATCCTTCCCCTACTTCTCCTATTCTCCTATTCTCCTATTCTCCCATTCTTTCTCCCATCCCTCCTCATTCATAACATTGGTCATTGAATAGCCCGGCACTTGGCAACAGAGCAGAGGTCTGATCTATCAGACTGGCACCATCGTCTCAGCCACACGCAAAGAACAAACAGATGCAACCCTTTACCGAGAGCACTCATGGATTCACCATCCACCATAACAACAACGGCATCAATAAGAAGCGCACCACAGAGTATGACATTGACGCTGAAGATGCAGAAGAGTTGATGTTTCAAGTCGAGTCTGTGAACTCGCCTCCACTCCTCTCGACCAAGACTCCACAGCAGCAACAGCAACAACAACAGCAACAGCAGCAACAGCAACAACAATGGATTAGAGGCAATGATACAACGAGCAGCCCTTCATACCCTGTCTCGCCACACGCTCATATGCGCAAAGGACGTCGACTATTCGTCGGCTCATATCACACTTCACCAATACGCGATAACTTCCAGTTGGATCCCTCTTCAAGCCTCAACAATAACAACAACAGTGGCAACGGCAACGGCAACAGCAACAATCAATCATCATTGTCATCAGTGTTCAAGGCGCCAAACAACCCAAGTGGCAGCGCGACATGGTCCGGCGTGGGCTACCACAGCAGCAACAACAACGTCAACAACAACAATAACACGACAAATACAAACAAATATGGATCATCAGACTCGAGTGGAAGCAGTTCCAACAGCAGTAGTGGCAACTACAATCAGTATCAACATCATCATCATTCGACTCATCATAGCCCAAACATATCAATGGGCCAAAACAGTGGCGGCAGCAATGCTCTGGGGCAGCCACAATATGACTTGTCGCTGGGCACGCTATCCTCGTCACTGCCCACCTCATCCATGTCGTGGAGTCTGCACGACTACCAGCCCAGCAATCAATCAAGCGCCAGCAAGCCATTCAACAAGTCATTCACCTACTCCTTTGGCGAGTCCAAGCATCGTGTGAAGCCCGATCAAAAGGCCTTCAACGCCGACTCGCTGATGCAGTCTCCCTCACCCTCACCACCCCCGACGCCCACGCCCAAGCGGTCGTCGGCCCTGGATCGCTCGCGCGCCCTAGAGCGCTCACGGGCACTCCTGGCCAACATCAAACCGTCCGACCCATCGGACATTGTCGACTTTGGCAACTCACCTCAACTTCAATCATCAAACAACAACAACAACAACAACAACCAACAGGTGAAGAGACCACGCTCGACATCAATGTCCTCTTCACCCGTCAACATCAATCCTTTCATCTTTCACAACCGAGACAGTGGCAGCTTCAACACCAGCAAGCTGAAACACATCAGCAACCTTGACAGCACACCCCGTAACGACGACGAGGGAAACAGCAACAACAATCTTGTAGATAGCCATGTAGATAGTGTACATTCTTTATATAATCAGACCTTCCATCAGCTAAACGTAAGTTTATCCCTCGCCACACCTGTTTCCGTGTTTCCATGTGTTTTTCCGCTTGTTACCACATGTTTCCGCTTGTTTCCACGTGTTTCCGCATGTCACCACCTTGGCTCAACTAACATATCAATGTACATCATTAGCTGATAGGAGAGGGTAGCTTTGGCATAGTCTACAAATGTAGACATAGAATAGATGGATGTTTGTATGCCGTCAAGAAGTCCAAACGCCCAATCAGAGGACCAAAGGACCGCGAGCATGTTCTGCGCGAGGTCTTTGGCCTGGCGGCAATAGCCGACCCCACCAACATTGTACGCTACTACAACGCCTGGGAGGAGAACGATCATATCTACATACAGATGGAGTACTGCGATGGCGGCACGCTCTACTCCTGGGTGACGAATCGCACGCGCCAGACCGAGGCCACGCTGCTCTGCCTGGCCAAACAGGTGCTGAATGGCATCATCCAGATACACTCGCTGGGCTTTGTCCACCTGGACATCAAGCCAGAGAACATCTACGTCAACAAACGCAAGACCCGCATCAGCAGCAGTAGCGGCCCCGATGACGTCCAGGAGGAGACGCGCTACAAGCTCGGCGACCTGGGCCTGCTGCACGAGGCAACCAACAGCAAGATCTACTCTGAGGGCGACAGCCGCTACCTGTCGCGCGAGCTGCTACACGACGACATGGGCGCCCTGAAGAAGTCCGACATCTTCTCACTGGGCTGCACCCTGTACGAGCTGGCGCGTCTGAAACCGCTGCCCAAGTGCGGCGAGGAGTGGAACTCGATCCGGGACGGCCTGATCGTCGAGACGCCCGACCATCCGCGCGCCTTCTGGGACATGATCCGATGGATGATCAATCCGTCGCCGGCCATGCGTCCTACCGCCGAGGAGCTGTACGACTTTATCAACGAGTACCAACATCGCTGCGACAAACATCAGTTCTCTAGTATTCGCGAGCAGCGCAGTCATCACAATCACGAGACTGAGCAGCTGTCACAGCAGATCTCGGCCAAGATGACTGAGCTGGCGGCGTTGTTGGAAGAGCGTGAGAACCTTCTCAAGAGGCAGCAGAAGATGCCTCCACCCATTCTGCCACCCTCGGTCACCAATGGCTTCATGCCTCCTCAGCGAACCTATTCCAATCCAGAGTTCCAAAAGGTTGAGGGAGGTCTGAAGAACATGGTGCTCCTAGATCCTGAGCTGAACTGGATGTAGACAGCCAAATAAACCTCGATATATACTTATATACTTATATATATATTTATATTATATAACATAACCTAATCTAAACTAAAGGTGTTCCATTATTCCTGTGTTGCATCGCTTCAATGTGCTGTGTTGTTGCCGCTGTATCTAAGTAGTATGTGATCCTCACAAACAAGGTTTGTCTCCCTTGAGCTTCATTCCCTTGGCTCTCAAGCTTTGCTTGGCCTCCTTGACCTCCTATAATGTCATTTTGGTTAATGATCAATGATTGGTTGATTGATTGGATGAATGATTGAATGTATGAATGAATACGTACATCGAATAGACTGTCGGCAGCCTCCTTGCAATCATTCATAATCAACAAGTTGTAACCGATTGATCCCAGTGAATAGCTCGCGAATGTTACAAGTGCCCAGAATGGTAGCTATTGGTGTAATGTATTGTTCGAACGATTAGTATACTTGCTTGTAATGATTGGATCTTCATCACAATCTTTTCTACATCATCACATTCAATCTATTGAGCTAGAACTTGACATACAGCGGGTATGACTGAACGGACACTTGGTGAGAGTGTCACTGGCAGCATGTCCATCAGTAAGGCGAACCATAAAGCAAACACTGCCAAAGTGACGATAGCGACTGATTGGTATCTCTTCATTCTATTCTATTCTATTCTATATATCTGTTATGTTCTTCTGTACAAGTGTGATTGATTGTTGTTGTTGATCGGTCAATTATTACTTCATTGTCAATCACAAGTGCTTGTTCATTCTGTGCATTGTGAGTCATAGTTTGGTGATTCAGAGCCAAGGGATGGGAAGTTCAATTTTTAAAATTATCGAAGTCCGTTGAAAGTACTAATGACCATTAATAAAAAAGATGAAAACCGAACGAAAGTGTTGATCATTTAATTGAAACACATAATTAGAGTAACAAGTAATAATAACAACAACAACATGAACAAAGAGATACAAGATTTCATAAATGAACATAAGGACTTTGTGTTCCTTTCAGAGACTAATAGAGTATGTTTGAATGAATGTTCAAATGATGTCATTGATTGATTGATCAGACTAATCTAATCAAACCAAACAAACAGATCAAATGTGAGACAACCAAGCATGAGATGCCATTGAAGATTGATCAATTGAAAACTCACTTGGCATCAAAGAGTTATAAGATTGCAGTTGATCAACAATATGACTATTCATCATTCCTTCCATATATCGTACAATCAAAGAATCCGTAAAGTATCAACTACATGTTGTTGTTGCCATGTCTACAATCAAGATGGCCATCCAACTAACAAACATATACATATAACAGACGCAAGATGTATTGCAAGTTGACAAAGTTGGACTTGAACAAGAATGTAGTAGAGATCAAGAATCATATCAATGGCAAGGCTTATAAAACTGCACTGGAGAAGAGATCTAAACCAAACTCACAGAAGCCTGATGGAGAGGAGGGTGATGGAGATGATGATGAAGACAAGGAGGACGATGATATTGTGGACTTTGACGAGGAAGAAGATGATGATGCCGAAGATAAAATTGAGGAGGATGACGATGACGAAGACGACGATGATGCAGTCCCAGATGACGACGAAGATAGTGACGATGATGAAGACGACGATGAAGAAGAAGAAGTCGAGGAAGAGGACTTTGAAGGATTCGACCACGAGAAGGATTTGGATGGCAAAGAAGATGACGACGAAGAGGAAGATGATGAAGACGAAGAAGACGAAGAGGAAGAAGAGGTTGAACAACCAAAGAAGAAGAACTCTGCCAAAGCAAACAACAAATCCAACAACACCAACACCAACAATAACAAAAATAACAACAAGAGGACCAACAACAAAGTGAAGCTGGACGCCAATAAGGGAAATAACAAGAAGCAAAAGAAGTAAATTAGGATACAGACACAGGCACTGGATAGCCAATGTCATCATCATAATCAATATCGTTTATCTCTTCCATAATCTCTACTCCTATCCCTATCTCTGTCACCACCTCTATTATATCTATCTCTATCTCTGTCTCTGTCCCGGTCATTTTCTCTATATCTATCATCTCTTTGGCCGTCTCTTTGTCCATCTCTTTGACCATCTCTTGGGCCACCTCTTGGGCCGTCTCTTGGTCCATCTCTTGGGCCGTCTCTGTCGCCATCCCTATATCTATCTCGGTCGTTATATCTATTTCTGTCACTGCTGTCTCCATCTCTTCCTCTATCTCTATCTCTGTCATTGTATCTATTTCTGTCTCTGTCTCCATCTCTTTTGTCTCTGTCTTTTCCAGTGTCTCTGGACGAAGTGTTGTTTCCATTATCCTTGTTGTCCATTCTTGTCTTTTTGAGCTCTGGCTGCTTGGGATGATCATCGTCGTCATAGACATAGTCATATCCCTTTGTTCCAGTCGATAGATGATGATGAGGATTGACAAGACTACTATTGATCTTGCGTGTAAGGAAGTTCTCTGATGGGTGGTGGCGGGGTCAGTGATCAATACATTCATCCATCAATCCTGGAATTGTTCCAAACTTACTTGCTCCTTGGTTATACTTTAGTTTAGCAATCGATTGGCAAAAGTCAACATGTATCCTCCTCTCATCGATGAGTGCATTCTCCATTTTGCTGTAAGCTGCCTCGCATTGCTTCTTGGTCTCATACTCGATAAAGGCATAGGATAGTGAATCGCCAGTGACCTGATCCTTGATGACCTCACAACTCACGATCTTGCCACATGATGAGAAGATGATCTCCAGATCTGCGGATGTCGTCACCGGGTTCAGCTTGCAGACGAACAATACATTCTCTGGCGGCTTGATCTCTGCATCGGGGAGCACTCCAAGCATCTCCAACAGTTCACTTCTTCCTCGCGCCGCCTTGGCATCCAACTCTTCCTCAATCTGTTCCTTTGTCTTGCCTCTCGTATCTGCATCAATGTCCTCATCCGCTTCGAATCGACTCTGTTTGTTTGGCGTGGTTAGTCTAGCACGCAAGCCGGCTAAAGGTTCAGGACACAGCACAACATACATCATCCTTATCTTTCTTGAATGCTGGTGATGCATCTGGCACCTCCATTGAGTTGAGGTCAGGGAAAGGGTCTTCCAGGATTATAGTGTGTAGCAATCGAATGTTCTTAAGTGGTCGACCTTTGCCATCTACAAAGATGTTGTTGATCTTGCTCAGAACATCCAATCCTTCGACGACTTGTCCAAATATAGTATGCTTCTCATCCAAGTAATCATTGTTTGGTGATGTTGTTATATAGAACTATGATTGATTGAATGAATGAATGATCAGTCAGTGCCATGAGTGAGTGAGCTGATCAGCTGAGACTTGAATGATAGAGAGAGTGATCACATACTCGCGAGCCATTTAAGTTCTTCCCGCTGTTTGCCATTGCCACGGTGCCAATGTTGCGATGAGTGAGCTTCTTTGGATGTATCTCATCGTCAAAGTACTTTGCTTCTTGTCCATATAGTACTCTGTTGAATAAATGGTGTTAGTCACAAGTGATCATTCAATCAGCCAATGTTCAATCATACCCATGTATACTCTCTCCGCCACTACCAGTGTTTGTTGGATCTCCTGTCTCTGCTATGAAGTCCTTCTGTACATTGTAGAATAGGCAACTGTTATAATACTTTATCTTACATACTGATGGATTGATTGATTGATTGTCAGTGAGTTGAGTTGGCAAGCTAGGCCAAGGTGTCATCATACATACACTTCAAGAAGTTCTTGGTTGCAACTGGACATTCATCTGTATATAGGTCGATAACCAAGTCACCAAGAGTTGTCTCAATCAGTACACTCATCACTTATATATCTCTCTAACGTAGTAGTAAGGTGTATTCATTCAACAATATGTTGATGAAGTTGTCATTCAATCAAGTGATTGATTGACGAATGAAAAGTAGTGTGTTTATGGGATTGTGATGAAGTCGCCAGTTGTTGACCAAGTGATCAAGTATCACAAAGGAGTTGAAGTAGCGTTTATTACATGCTTTATGAATGCCATGGCTCTTGTTGTTTGGGAACCGAACGACTGACCGACTGACCGACTGACTGACTGAATGAGGACCGGATGGAAATACCTAACCTTACTTAGTCTCTGCGACGGTAGTGATCTCTGTCACGGTCGCGATCACCACTACCGCCACTGCCGCTGCTGCGATCGGTACGCTCACCTCGGTCACGGGTCCTCTCGCTGTCATAGTCGCCGCCTCCGCGCGCCGTGCGATCAGTGTATCGCGAGCCGCCCATATAGGGAGAGTATCTGTTTTCATATCCAATCGACTTACCATAGGCGGGCGGGTAGGGGTAGGCTGGCGCGCCGTAGCCATAGTAGGCACCCATGCTATAAGGATGAGGGATGGGTGGTGCCGTGTATGGCATCGACTTGGATGATGGTGGATAGGGATATGGTGGGGGTGGTGGATATGGATAGGCAGGGTATGTTCGCGATGTAGGGTAATCTGCTTGATAATGGCCATGGCAATGGCTTGTGTTGGTAAGTGTTCATCAAATGGATGAGGCATGTGCGCCTCGTGTCCTAAACATACTTTGTCTCTTGTGACGATCGCTGCCCATGTAGGTGCCTGGTGTTGACTCTCTGGCCCTTGATCGTTTGGACTATAAAGGGTTGTTGGTTATTGTAAGTGTTGATGTACTGTGCGTTGAACGCTACTGGATTGATTGAACGATGATTGAAAGGGTCGACGAGAGAGAGAGTGCAAGGTGATGATGATGATTGTGTGAGGGCAAGAGAGTTGTGTTGATGAGTTGACGATCATGGTGAGGGATGGATGGGAGATGGTAAGAACATTGTTGTGAGGTAAAAGGAAGGGTTAGTAGATAGAGATGTGTAAAGACATGAGAGAGGTAGAGAAGATAAACATTGACATAGGAGGAGGGAGACATTGAGTTGTGGTTGTAGTTGTGGCTGTGTGGCTGTGGCTGTGTTGTGGCTGAGACGGGCAAACGATGTTGACATGGTGATGGACGGTTGTGTTGTAGTAGTGTATGCTGAGTACCCAGCGTTGATGTCATCGTAGTGGTAGTTGTAGTAGTAGTTGTGTTGCTGCTGCTGCTGCTGCTGCTGCTGAGACGATGAATGTTGTTGAGCTGGGTGGTTGAGTTGATGAGTCGTTACCTTTGATACTTTGATCTCGTTGCCGTCAATCTTCTCACCATCCATCACTCTCATTGCCTCTTCAGCCTCGTCGGTTGTCGAATAAGTGATGAAAGCAAATCCTCTCGATTGCTTTGTGTTTGGATCAACCAGTATAGTACATTCTATAATCTATATGAATTGATTGATTGATTGGTTGATTGATTGATTGTCAGCTGAGTTGTCTCATTCATTCATAACATTATGATGATATTACATTTCCAAACGGAGCGAACTTCTCACGAAGCTCTTCATCCTTTAACTTCAGAGTTAGGTTTGCGACGTGCAATGAGTTGCCCCTGTTTCTTGTCTCTTCGGTCTCTCCTCTTCTCTCTCCTCCAGATGGCTTTGAGCCATGATGATGATGAGCATCTGATTCCTGCATTCTCTCACTACAACACATTGTTGTTGTTGTTAGTTGACATCAATCATTCAATTCAATTCAATTCAATTCATATTCATATTTATATTCATACCTGCTATCGTATCTGTCAGGTGAAGTTGATCTAACCATTATATATCTATCTGTTGATACCAATAATAGTATATGTATGTGCAGTATGTATGTTGTGTTTTGTTTGTTTGAGAATGGAGAATACTTCAATTCACGTGAATGAACACAACCTTGTTGTTTTTTTCAAACTAGCACAACATGTTGTTGTCTTGTCGATTCCAAACATCGAGTCATAGGCCTGGGTGAGTTGACGAAGACCAATCAATTATAATTACAACTTGAGTACATGTAGGAAGTTCCTCAATCCCTACTTCACTACCAAACTAAATAACAACGTCATGGTATCAATTTATGATGTGTTGATGGACCAGAGTACCTGACCATTGATACTTCTGAACCCATTATGAGTGAGCCGAAGGAGGTCCATTAATTGGAGTTGGTGTGAATTCACATTCTATCTCTAGTTACTGTGATAGATTGAATAGAATGTTGGTGATGCAAAGATGAGAAGAGTGTTTGAGGTTATCAGCCCCAATCCCAAAAAAGATATTTATTGATTTGAGTGATCAAAGTCGATGCACTCATTGGAAATTTCAAAGGCTAATCACATACCCCATGTGTCCCGTCACATTGCGACATTATGGATCTATTTACAATCAAACACAATGCCATAGGAAGGTGCAAGGCCTCCGTGGACACGGATGTGGTCCTCATCCATCCATCATCCAATCATATTCAATTACACAATCAGCCAATCACTCAATCAAACAATCATACATTATACAAATAATACATAAATTCATACAAAGTAATAATGAAGTTTGTTGTAATTCTATCTGCTGTATTATTATTTACCGCTATTGCATCGGCTTCCCAAGCCGTGAAGCTGTCTACATGCCGTGCTGTCACGATGAGTGGAGCTGGTGATAGAGGTGCTTTCGAGGCTGGTATCTTTGCTGGTTTGGTCCAGATGCGTCAGGCACTAGATGTCCAATGGAATGTCGTCACTGGTATCAGTGCAGGTTCCATCAATGCCGCTGCCACTGCCATGTTCAACGTTGGTGATGAGGAGGCTGCTTCAAACTTCCTTACAACTCAATGGGACACCATCAAGAGAAAGGGTATGTTCATTCATCCGTTCAGTGGAATGATTCCATCCTAACACCCCCACCCCTTTGGAACAATCCCACAGATATCTGGAAGAACTGGTTGGGTGGTCCCGCTGAGGGATTTATTTCCAAGCAAGGACTCTTGGATGATGCTCCACTCTTGACATGTATGCATCAGTCACAGGCTGGACCATCAATCAATCACTCGCTCACTCAACCCAATCCAATCAATCACTTCACTTAGATTTGGTCGAGAACTTGAATGCCAAGATGTTGGCCGAGTCCAACAGAACATTGTTGGTCGGTGCTACTAGCTATGACACTGGTCTGTTTAACACTTGGGAGAAGGATGATGATGAGATCGTGTTGGGCGTTAAGGCCTCGGCTTCTATTCCAGGTTTGTTCGAACCAACTGCTGTGCACGGCCAACTATACATGGACGGTGGTGCCACCTACATGACGCCAGTGACCGACACTGCCCGTCTCTGTAACGATACTGGCGCCGAGACCATCCTCATCGACGTGATCTTGGGTGTCGGCAAGCCAGAGACCTTTGACAACGTGACCAACTGGAAGACCCCATCGCTCATGCTGAGAACCGCCTCAATCGTCGAGCACAACATCTTCCTCAAGGACATCGAGACTGCCTTCCAAGCCTACCCATCCATCAAGATCAACCTCTACTACCCAAGCCAACGTCTTCCAGGTGATTTCCTCGGCTTCCAGTACTCCAAGGAGATGATTGCCATGGGAATCAAGGATGCCAATGCCGAGTCCAGTCTACAACTTGACATCAGCAACTACAACGAGTTGCTCGCTACTCTCAGACAATAAACTATCTTGACTTGTCTTGTCCCTTCCCCAACCCTCGTACCCTTACCCTACCATCGCTTTACCCTATCCTACCCTTCGCCTACACTTACCCTAAACCC